AGTTCTTCATATATACATTCTACGCTCACACCTCGCCACGCAACAAAGACAGATGGGATCGTCCATCACTAAGTGGCACCTTGTTCAGCGGCGCTGGTTCGCGGTGGCAGCTCCGAGTTCCTGGACTAGACAAGCACCTCGTACGCAAGTTATGGGGCCACGCTGCCTTAAGTCAAAACGTCGGGTTCGGAGTAGCGAGGGAGAAGGATCGCCGTGATGCAAGTGCGTGTATAGCGTCACATTTCCGAAAGACTCGAAATACAGTACCCCAGTAAAAAGAAGAAGAAAAAACAGCTTATCATACAAGTATGTGTGTAAGGTATTGCGGCCCCCGTCTCCTCGCCAAGAGTGGGAACTACGAGTTTCGGGTTTTGACAGATGCGGGTAGAGCAAGTATATTGGTACTGTTTCATTCAGTGTGCTTTGCCGTTTACCAAGGAGAAAGACAATGCTAAGAGAAAAGAAGCCAGAAGCCGAGCATGTAGGACCACTTTACCGTTGCATCGCAAAAGTGACCGTAGCATGCATTGCCGTGTGTCACGTATCTGTCGTATCAGCGAATCCCACCCCGAAAGGGAAGGACCCGCCAATATTGGGAAAAGAGAGAAAAGAAAAGAAAAAAGCAAAAGCAGCGAGCGTAACGCCGTATAGGCAGCCTTGCCATGCCTTGCCATCCATCTTATCACCGCCTTTTGGACAGGCCCCCCCCCCCCCAGATCTGGGTTCGCATGGCGGTGCTCCGTGCAGAAAGGACTAGTCATGCATGGCATTCAAGGCTTGGGAAGCGAGCTTTTCGGGCTTTTTGGGGCCATGTCAGCCCCTTCTAGAAGATCAGATGGAACATGGGAAAGGCCAGAGGGCATCTAGTCAGCGCCGCATGCAGCCTTACTGTGATGGTCCCTTCTTTCTGCGCCCGGCAGCACAGCCCTATAGGATCTGGGATTGGCGGTCGCACACATAATACTGTACATGGCAACATGATTCATCATGCATATACGTGTGCAGTGCAGTGCAGTGCTTCACTCTCGCCTTTCGACTCATCCGAGGCTACACAACCCGTTCAATCTATCTGCGAATGCATCCCTTTCCAGCTCGCCGGGCAGAAGGATTATTATGGTACGAGTCTTGTTACTAGTTGAACCCCCCCCCTTTATACCGGAATCGCTCCCGCACAGTACATGTGTCTAGTAACTGTAACCAACAGCGTCACTTATACGACTAGAAATCATGCAGCTTACCCTGAAACTCCCAGATCCAGATGGGCGAAACGCGGCAAGAGGATCATACAGACGGGAGGTAGGATTAAAAATCGAAAGATGGCACCATGGCGCAGCAGCACTTGAAAAAAAAACTGCCGCTGTTGCTATCCGCAACGCCGAATCTTGGGAAACGCCAAGCGAGGTGATACAGCAACAAAGCTTCAACTCCGCCAGCATCATGACATTCTTGCAGGGTAGTTATTCCGAATCTCTCTCCAGCCTTCTTGATTGCGCCTGGGGCGCTGTTAGCCCAGGACTCACTTATACAAGTACAAGGCGAGCAGGCCGCTTGCTTTCCCCATCCCACATGGCCGCCGTTGTCTCGGAATGCACTTTAGGGCTCCATCTTCCCTGGAGGGCTCTTGGGGCCATGGCCCCGGGCTGCTCTGTGCTTTTGTTTGACACTTTGATATACCTGTACATGCTTCGGTAGTTACTTGTAGTTGCTCTTATACTACACCCATGAAAGGCGCACGGCACATAATCAGAACTGACCCGGATAGTACGGAATGGCAATCCTATTCTTGGAGTTGTTACAAGTAACGTGAATGTACTCCCAACATGCCGATCCTGGAGGGCCGGGGCAGCGAAGCCGGCGTTCCGGGCGTCGCCGGCGCTTCCAAGTCCGGCGCCGTGGCTTTTCACTTTTCACTTTGGGCGCACGGGCCGATCCGTCAGTACCGCCCAGCCGGATATTCTTGCATAGAGACAACGTCTACAACATAGAGTGGTAACTGACTTATACGGATATGTATCATAACCCTAACCCACGGCCTCTTCGTGCGTTTCATCTATTGTTCATTATAAGAGTGAACAACTTGGTCCTTTCATCAATCTGTTGTCACCACCAGTTTTCTGCCTTAACCCCCACCGATCGTATTGACATGCACACGGTGATTTGGGGGCAACTTCCCTTTTCGAGAATTCCTCAGCGTCCCATGATACCCTCACCTTTCCATTCGGGCATCCAACACGCTCAAATACTACACATGCCACGCCCAAAAGCCATTCTGCTGGATAGTAGGTAGTATTCTGTTTAATATAGCGCCAGCACTGCCTTTTAGCCCCAACCCAAGTATGCCTTGGACGTGCCCACGGTGTGGCAGGCCCTGTAAGTCGAGAGGCCTTGCAAGTGGGCTCTTCGCCTTTTATCCAAACGAGCACAGGCATCTTTCTGGCCTGATCACAGCCAGGGGTTCATCACAAGTGCTTGCATTGCCCCTCGACCCCTGTTCCCGGTCATCCATGGGCTGGGAATTGCGATTAATCTCAGCAGTCGTGATGCTACTACTGCTTGCAAGGGGAAATATAAGCCTAAACCCTGACATGTCTCAACCCTGCTGCATGACAGGCCACCGGATTCAGCAAAGCGTGAGAAGCCGATAGCCATGGCCAGCGTCGCAGCGCATTCGGCTCCCACGTGGGAAAGAGGCTCGTTTTGTCGAGTAGAAAGCTCCAGTTTCCGTGCTTCGGCTTCTCAGGTTGAGTGATTTCTTCACTATCCTCGGGAAGAAAACGTAAGTCGAATGCCTCCTTGGGACGCTTCACCTCGGACTGAGCGTCTCTCTCTCTCTCACACCTTCAGTCACAGAAGTCTGTTAACTGCTACTCTGCTGCCTCATGGACTGACACCACTGACAGGGGCAGACAAGAACAACGCTTGATAGCGTATTCGTGCGACTTCTAAATGCCCTCTAGGCCTGGCCCTGTCCATCAAATCTGCTGATGGCCCTGCAATATTGGAAAATCAGCGCATGGGTACAGCACGGAAAAAAGTGAAAAGGCAAGAGACGAGCAAGGGACAGGGCCTGGAGCTCTGTGGCCTTGAATTGATCCGACTCGCCCGCGCAATTATGATCGCTTCATCACGTAAGCGCGAGATCTCGCGCTTACGGGGCTTCAGATGAGCCCGATGTTTGTGCTGGGTTGCTGCATCAGGAGAGCCGAAGCTCAAATGTTGATGGAGAGCGATATTTGGTCCAGTCGAACGCCTCTTTGCCGACACGCGGGGTGGCGAAGGATGATGGGATTGCCCCCTTACAGAGCCCATGTGTCTGTCGATGGGCAATGCGTCAACGGGAGTGACATTCCCACCACAAACGATTGATAAGTCTATTTCTCCATCTGGCATGTAGGTACATGCGAGCATGCACACCAGCTGCAAAAGCAACCACTCATCACCTCATTTGGAATCGCCACGGCCCAAGTGGTATTTCGCTCTTCTCATGAGACACGGGAAGGTCAGCTCGCAAATACTACCATCATAGGCTCACAGCAGAGAGGACCGGTAATCTGGGAATTGGAACGGAGCTGTTCCACCAAAGAACCCGCTTGCCATGACTCGTGCCTTATCGTCTGCTTCTCTCGGGAAACGTGGCATTGATGAAACGACAGAGATGTGGAATCTGGCATATACTGGAATAGGAAGATGAAGATTCTCTATCCACCTTGATACCCATCAAGCCAGTATCGTGGAGATTGTTGCATGGAACTGGATTTCCTCCGGCGAAGCAGGACATCTTCTGGTCCCGTGCTCGGCAACTCCTACCTTCTCAGCGCCGTGCAACCTAGAGACAACCACCTCCGACTCGGAGTCAGCTCTCCGAATATCTGCGTTGTGATTGTTCCTGTCTGTGCTTCTCTCTTGCATTTACCGAATGCTAGGACCAAGAGGTCCGTGTGATCCCCCCTTGTACGGAGGTAGCGGCAGGGTCCTCCAAGAGGCCGGGGTATCGGCATGTAAGACGCGTCTTTTTTTGTTCTTTGGCCCTCTTTCTCTTCTCATTCTCGACGAAAGCCTCCGTCGTGCAGTACAATTTCCAACAGAGCCACCGTGGGAGGAGAAATTGACAGAAGATCCTCGAATTGCATCTTGGGATGATTAAGGGATGTAGTGGACCTGTGATCCTCCTTCACCGTAGCGTTTCAGCGTCTTGGCATGCTGGGAAGTAGGTAATACCTAGTACTAGTGGTGTAATGCCCTGCTTGTCGACAATCTGTAAAAACCTCCTCATTTATGCTAGCACTGATCATTTGCCGTGCCGTCCCTGTATGGGACGATTGTCTGCCAATAATTGCGAATCACGTCCTGAGAGGCGCTACCGGAAAGATTCCAGCTGTGGAGAGAAGCACTAGTATCTGACTTTATTTGCTGCTCTGGGATAAGTGCCGCGAGCAGGGTCAAGGGGGGGAGGGGGTACATTAGAAAGAGAGTCGAACTGGGAAATGGTATACAGTCGTTCGTTTGTGAAACGCCCTTGCAAGTGTAAGAAAACGGGGTCCTCTTTTTGGGTTATCCTGGAAGATGATCTTTGCCGACGTCTGAGGAGAAACTGATGAGTACGAAAATAGAAATAAAACAGATCAGACAGACAGACTAGACAGGATAAGCCATCGTACCATGGGGGGGCTGGAAGAATAAAAGCTGGTCCTGAAATTACTTACACCTCGGTGGGCGCTTGTGTGAGCCGTGGACAAGCTTTAAACAAAGTGCCTGGCTACTGTGCCGTTCCTAGCTCGTATTGGAATGGACTGATATGACATCTCGTATTCTTCAATGATCGCCGCCTTGCCAAAGTCGGGCTTAGACGGCATTTGCTAGTATATACAAAAGGCTCGATTGCATGCTGTATAATCGATGACGATGACGAGAAGAGTTAGCCCGCCACCCTTAAAAAAATATATATAGCCCTTCCAAGTATTTTTGCACTGCCCAGGCCGGGGTTCCAATTTTAAAAATCCCTAGGCCGAGCTGGGGCGGAATCCTTCCACAGATGTGAGATGGCCACTATGTCCTTTGGAAGGATGAAGGATCGAAATAGGAATAATGAAAGGGTCAAAGTAGAAGCGGTTAGCATGTGTGATTGACAATAGAGAAGAAGTCTTGCTTGCGAATGTAATAGGCGAAGAGTATAACTGTACTAAGTGGGACGTGTTAGTGTATACGGCAATTGTGCTGGGATGATCGATCGTTGCACGCACGCGGCCGTCGGAAAGCGCCAGACGAGATGGACAAAATCGAGCTAGTAGTTAGATTGGGCGCAATCAATAAGAGAGTCATTTGATTTCATGGCAGTTAGCTCGTAGACAGTGCGTTAGCCGCGGTGGTGTTAGCCGCACTCGTCTCCTTCTGTCACTCAGAACAAGGCACAACTGGCGGTTTACCCCTAGACGACCATGTCGCTTTTTCAGTACATCTACATCGTGTATCAACTGATTTAGATAGGTTGCTTACATCTTACTTATACAGAAATGCGTTGGCAAACGGAAAAGCCCTTCGGATCTTGGCTCAAGAGGCGGTAAGCAAGAAATTGGGCATCTATGCATGCCAGCAATAAGCCAATGAGCCCCATCGAAAGGGCGTCACTGCCATGTAATTTATGGTCAGATAGTTGGGCTAGATAGAAACTTGATACTAGCATACCAATCTTTCCGACTCTCCCAAAAATGAAGTTGATCAGCCGACTAAGTGTTGAGTTTACTCACGATATCAAGCATGAGTACGCCAGGGGGGCATCGTGTAACCACCGTGAAGATCAACAGCCAAAGCTCAAAAGTGAGCTAGACAAGGTCAATTTTCAGCTTAGGAACACGATCGTTAGGCTTCAATTTGACTTTGGCGGTGAGTCCTGTTCTCCTTGTGTCTATCCGAAGCGAAACGGATGGCTGTTATTGACGTTGATATTGTAGGACAAGTAAACTACGGCACGGGCTTCTTCATTAACCTACCTTCTACCAAGTATGATGTTATCCTGACGGCAGGCCACAATCTCATTAGCGAGGAGAAAGTCAAGGCTCGGAATCTGACAGTTATCTACCATGGCAACCATAAGGAGAAGGTGACTGAATTCAAGATCTGTCCCCAGTATGAGGAGTCTCTTGGAACGAACCCCAGGCTACCCACCCACGTCAATTATGATTACGGTGTCATTCTATTACCAAAAGACGAGGGCCAGGCAGATAAGAGGTTGGGCCTAGGATTGGATCTTAGCCTCAATATTGACCCCTCTTTACAGGGCTTGAGGGATGCATTCGTCAGCGGTTATGGAGATGGGGTTGGCAGTATGACTCTTCGAACGTGCTTCAGTCCCCTCAAAGGATTGGGAAACAAAATTGAATACTACCTGGAGTCGAAAGAACAGGGCATGAGTGGATCACCTATATGGGTGACACACGATGGTCAGATGACTGTTATTGGAATTCAGTGAGTGGGCAACAATATGCGACTGCATAGAAATGTTAGGCACTAACAGCATTCTCTTCCCCCCCCTCAGTAATACGACTCCCGAAAAGAAAGGTGCGAGAGGCATAGGAACAAGGATCACGGAAGAAGTGTTTCGTACGCTGTGCCTCTGGACACAATCTGGTTTCTTCGATAGACGATTTTGCGCTCCCGGCGGGAAAACCAAATCACACAACACATATCTGTCTTTTTCTCAGAATGAAGACTCTGCCAGTGTTTTTCTGGGATCTTCTTCTGCGGCCGCCGATAGGAATAACTTGACGTTCGATATTGTACCAGCATACATCTTCCCCAAATGGGCAAACAGATCTCCCCTTTACGCATTCAAGTTCCGCAAGCCACCTTCTTGTAGTGACAGGAAGAAATGTTGGGTTGAGTGGCAACCAGCAACTCAACAAGCTGTACTGGTTGAAACTCTGAAGGATATACACTTCGTCAGGCTCATCCAGCGGCCAAGATTTAAAGCAGCGAGATATTTTCTTCTCCTTCCAGACATACCCAAAGATGGGGGAGACGGCCAAGAGCTGAGACTATATGACGATGACCGAGACCAAAGCGATATTGACGTTGGAAAGACAGAATTTGGGGGAGTGTCCTTTGGAGAATTCAAAGAGCGTGGTATTGTTGGAGTAAGTTCAATTATCAGGCTACCCCGCCAGATTGCAAAACTAACGCTACTATCAGAGTCGAACATTCATGATTGAATAAGCACACTATAGTCGCTCTGTTGACGTATAATCAGTTAACTCATGTTGAGCTGGGCGGACTTTTGCTATAAGCTTCAACGTTCACTCTCTTTGTAGTATCTCTTTTGTCATAAACCCGATAAGTCGAGATCCTATCCTTGATAATTATATTATTCTCTTTTGTCTCCAATACAAGCTCATAAGCCAAAAAGCTTTGATGCCTTAGCTGTGAACTTAGCCTATCTCTATCGTAGTGTGTAACACAAATAAAACTATATGGTTGGCTGAGCGTGCGTCCTATGAAAGAATGATTAAGAAAATTAGCAGCTTAGAAAGGGAACTATAACCACTTATGAATAATCAAAAGAAAGTCTGTTAAGTGTTTTGAAAAGGTAAAATTCATTGAATTAAATAAAAAGTCTACTATGATAGACAGCTGGTTATGATTCAATTAAAGAAATAATTGCGCATGAGTAGTTTTAGAATAAGTGGCATAAACGTATTGAAAGAGATATGCAACAAAAGAAACTGTAGTCAAAGAATGTCTGAGCGCAACGCTTGCCCGAATCCCACAAAAGCTTGACCCATAAGAACTGTCTCCTGTTTAGATCCGACCATGTCACAAATTCAAGTTGTTGATATCTTCACCCATTATTGGCTCCAAGAGTGTGCGCAGTAGCTATGCTTTCGTTAGCCCAAGTCGTAATGTAAATAGGAAAACATTGCAAAGACAATGCATACCCAACGTTCAAGCATCAGTTCATTATGCCTGAAGGTTTCAAATTGATCATCAAGGCGCTCTTTGATTTAGAAACGATACATTAGTTTTACCGACTCACTTGTATTATGGATAGTGCAACTTACGCGCCGTGCAATAGAGCACTTCTTTAAGTTCCTTATCGTCTTTGAGTTCTTTGAGGAATTTATCAGCTCTGGAGGAGTTGCCAATTTGGCTGATTTGGAATCGAATAGCTGGAAACTGTGTTAGTACTCAATTGAATCGCTTTTCGTATGTTAGGACCAAATGTATACTTGAGGGTGGATAGCCGTTTTCTCGAAGGAATCGAGTGCATTTTAGGATCTCCTTCTTGAGTTTTCCCGCGGGTTCGTCGCTGGGGCATCCATCTGTAATACAAGAAACAAGAATAGGTCGCTCAAGTCTCTTATTTTTCTTTATAACGTCGTATACCAAGGGCTTTAGAATTTTTTCTTTCAGATTGGTGCCGATCGGCGTATGACCACTTGGAGTCACCGAATTCATAACAGCCTCGACTTGTTGCTGGCTTAGTTTATTGTCATGTATATCGCGGTTAAAATTGATGAATTGTACGCTAGATCCATGGCCCGGCGGTACCACGTAAGTAGAAACTCGAGTGACTCGACGAACCATTTCTATCTGGTCGTCAACCCGGGTGCGTGCCTCTCGAGATTTCACTCGGCTGCTAGCTTTCATAGAAGTGCTATCGTCTAAGCATATTAAGATATAATTAGCATATTTAGACGACTCTCCGTGAATAAATAAAGAATAAATCGTTCAAAATGGTAAACCAACTTACCGCAGTAGAGCACTGGCTGATAGAGGCTAAGTCTTGTAATGCCTTGAATATCCACATCTCGAATAAGTAGATTGTCTTTATTGTTTTTGAAGTCAAATGCGTTGCCAGCCATAGTAGGTATATAGTCAGGGTTTTCTGAGAAGAACGGGCTAAGACCGTTTTTCTTGATGTGATCATTCAAGTCTTTTTCAATATCTTGCGGTGTGTTGAACCTTGACTCCGTCGAGATGGGCATATCGGTTGTAGCAGAACCTTTTCCCTTATCAATAGTTGGTATCTCGGTGCGGTTAGACTCATTGAGATCAGAGCTTTCGGGACCAGTTTTTTCAGTAATAGCCTCTTGACTATCCCCTTCTGTGACATATGGTCTCATTGCAGGTGGGCTTTCAATAGATTCCGTAGTAGATGTGCTTGTAGTAGGCACTTTCGCTTTGTGTGATGCGGACTCTGACCCGAGTTCTTTCCCTTCGACGTTCTTAGGCTCTTGCCCCTTGGCTTCTTCGGTTTTAGTTACCTTGGCTTCATATTCTTCTGGTTGAATGTCGTTTATGCGAGCATCATCAGTCCGAGGATTCTGGATTTGAGGCTCTTCGGATTGAACATTTTTTGCTTGAGATTTGCCGGGCTGGACTCGGTTGATCTGAACCTCTTTGTTCTGAGCCTCTTTATTTTCAACCTCTTTATTTTCAACCTCTTGGCTTTCAACTTCCTCAGTTCGAAGTTTCTCGGTTTGAGGGTTCTCGGTTTCGTATTCCTTGATTTGAAGTTCCGTGGTTTGAGGTTCCGTGGTTTGAGGTTCCGTGGTTTGAGGTTCCGTGGTTTGAGGTTCCGTGGTTTGAGGTTCCGTGGTTTGAGGTTCCGTGGTTTGAGGTTCCGTGGTTTGAGGTTCCGTGGTTTGAGGCTCTTTGACATGAGATTCCTTGCTTTGAGGCTTTTGACTTTTCTTTTCGTTTTCAAGCTCTTCTTCCTCAGACTCTTCGTCTTCAGACTCTTCATTTTCAAACTCTTCGTCTTCAAATTCTTCTGTTTGAGTTTCCTCGAGTTGACCTTCAAGGGTTTGATGCTCTTCAGCCTGTGCTTCCTTGGCCTGGCCTTTTTGGGATTGAATGTCTTCGTTTTCTCCTTCTTCAATTTCAGAAGGAGCTGTTTCGGCTGCTTCAGAATCAGTTCCCTCCGAGCCAGATTCTCCTGCTGTGCCTTCCGAATCAGCTTCTTCTGGTCGATCTTCTCTAACCAAAGCTTTATCCGCTTCGGCTTCATTCATGCCGTACTCGTCAGTGGTAGGCTTCTCAAATCCGGTCTCTTTTGGCCCAGTTTCTTCGGTTTCGGATCTGCTTGATTCCGCATAATTTGACTCAATCGCGTCTTCCTCCGCCCCGTCCATTGTGAATTCATTTGTCTCTGGCAAAGTGACTGCGATCTCGGCATTCTCGGATTCGATATTTCTCAAAGCATCCTATGGGTCTAGAATTAGCATATACTGTATATTTGAGGTCAGAGCTTTGCTCACCCCTTGAACTGTGTTCTGATTGCGCCCGCTGCCCAAGAATGTCCGCCGTATGGCATTCCAAGGCTCTGCAAGCCCAATTCTGCCAAGGAAAACAGAGCTCTGTAAAGACGTGCCGTTTGAAATCTCCATCTGTTCTGATGTCTGTGGCGAGATGATAGCTTGGGCAGGGGTGGTCTCAAGGCCCACAGTAGCTTGAGTCTTGTTGTTGTTCCCCATTGGAGTGCTGCAGTTGTCGATAAAGGGCTCTTGGAGTCCATTAAGACTCTTCATCGCGCTTGAATTACCATGCTCTTGCTGAGAAGATGAGCGCTTACCCCAAAGCCCTTTCGATATGGTAGCTGGAGCATAGTTCTTGCCCCTTCGCTTGATCATTGTGTAAAATGGGTACGGGCTCCAGAAATAGTACCTGTTACGTTCCATTTCACCAAGAGAGGGTACCAACTCTGTACCTTCTACTTTCCCTATAGCTTCCAATCTCTTGCTGCGAAACTTAATTATAGAGAGAATGTTATTGTCAGGATTTTGGTCAAGACAAAAGACCATTGGTCTAATGCGTTCAAACGGTTGTCTATCTTCGGCAACAGTCAGCTTAAAGGCTGAGCCGGGTATATCTGCCTCTGGATCGACAATCTTGGCGGCTGAGAAGAATACGTCTAATCATTGTCAGAACAGAACATGTTCAAATCGGGGCCCCAAAAGAGATGTTGTACGGACCATTCCATCTGCCTTCTCTATTCTCCAGATAGCGAACACTCCCATCAGTGCTGATATAGAACAAAAACACCGCGTAGTTGGTGTTGCAAGTGGCTAGTGGAGTTCCGTCAAGTGCAGCAACAGCTGGCAATTTGACGGCTTTCCACTTGTTTCCGTACTCATTGATGCAACCGAGATTACCGTCTGGCTTCTGGTAAAAGATAAAGACTGTGTTCTTGTCATAAGAAACTGCAAGCTGACTTCGTGGGTGGACTCGAGTATCCACGTCAGTAATCTTTTCTTCGTTCCAAGGGGCATCATCGTCTATCTCGTCTTCTTCGACTTGTTCATCGTCTCGAAGAGGATTTGTGAAGCACTTGATCGAGTCGTCCTGATGAACGGCAAAGACTTTCTGTAATAAAGGAAAGGTCAGATTAGCCTCTTTTATCCCACTTGACAGTTATGGACTCTAGATCTCGCTCACCTTATGACTGCGGTTAACAACTGGTGCTGATGTGCCTGACCTGACCCCATCGGCGATTAACTCATCATCAATAAGTTCGGATCCAGTCCACGTCTGCATGCGAACGGAGCCGTCCTTTTCGTAGGTGAAATGTGTGGTTTTACCATCCCTTGAAGGGGTTCCTCCGGCGGCCAGGAGTAGGCGACTAATGTCCTGTAGCCTGTACATGATGCAAACGATAGATATGCTGATGAGGCGCTGCTAGAAAGAATCAAATCCTTGGGACAACCTCTTCTATATATACATCTACTGGACGCTCTAGCTTGGGCACGCTTGTCATATACCAGGGTTGGTTAGCCGCCCTGCACTACAACGATACCGAAGCTTCGATCGTACCCAATCATGGGATGGGGGTGTTTGAGGCTCAAAAATGAGTGGATGCGATGACGTTAAGGTGTAATTGCACGTAGGAGGTACATACATGGAAGGGGAAAAAAATTTCGGGAGTCACGAGGCACCGTTAGGCAAATGCAGAAGAGACAATTCGAGCACAAGAGAAGGCATCATTGGGTTCACGGCATATCAAAGCAATGCGAGAATCGGGCTGAGTCGTCTCCATAGTTGTGAGCTGGCGTGCGTTTGCATCCGAAGTGTAGCATAGAACAGCAAATGAGGCATCCGATCTATCGGAACCCGTTTTGCAGCCTCTTAAACGTCCGGAATAACATCTCGAGCAGCTCGATGCTCAGCACGCATAACCCCAAAATCTCTCACCGAATGCAGTCTATGCTACGTGTCATATGCATGTAGTACCCTGTTGCGTCGCCGAGCGTGCGGCTGAGGCTGCACTGCAGGCACGTTTTACTTGGGCGCTGGGGGCCTTGCTTTGGGTTATCGAGATGCGTTACTACCTATGGAACCAAGATACAAGTAGTACCTGTAGACATGGGTGCAACACCATGGCCCAAGCTTACTATTACATGTAGTATCTATATCTATCTCTCCACTTATACCCGTTCGGGTTCCCCGTACTGGATGCTGCAAGGGAAGAGCGTGGAAGAGGAACACGTCAAACGATCAACGCCTACTAAATGGATGAAAAGGTGAATGCATCGGATAAGGTTGGGCATGAGACATGCCAGCAAATTGAAAACGAGGCTGTGCTACCGGGAGGCTCTTTTGTGTCTCCCATGAATTGATGGCCTTGTTCTACGGTATCCGATTCTCACGACAAGGGTCGTATGCGGCGGCTAAGACAAGGGAAATAGAAAGCTCAGCCCCCAATATTGCATGCCAAATGATTTTGAATTCAGCCAATAGCGGTCATAGTAAAAGAGCCTCGTTCCCCACGCCCTCACCGAAGACACTGGCTCGAAATTCTTGACGAAACAAACCGCAACTATCTGCCATTAGTTTTGATCTCAAAGTCTTTACTGTTATGACTAATTACTAATGCTGCTGAAAGGTCACATCTGGGTTTAGAATCCTTTTAACTGACAAGGCAACTTCAGATATCCCTTGTAACTTGCTTACATGAGCCCTAGTCCCTCAGCTGCTTCCGAAAATACACGCGATCATAACCATCTTCACTCCTTCTCCCTGTTTCTATATACCCAAACTTTGGATACAAGCTGATATTCTCGTGCATCTTCGCATTAGTATACAACTCCAGCGAGTCGATACCCTTTTCTCTCGCCACGCCCTCTGCAAAATCCATCAACGTACGGCCGTATCCTCTTCCCTGAGCTGCAGGCCCAACAACAACATTGCTGATCTTGACCGCACCACCTGCATCGTCTATAGCAAGTGTAATAGCGCCAACAATTTCGGAGCCTTTGTCGTCCGAAATGGTTTCCAGAACGAAGATATCTTGATTCTTTGGTAACTCGTTATAATTTAGGAGCATAGGCGCAGGGGGCTTTCCCATACGCTCTATGTATTTCGAGTAGCTGGCATTGACGATGGTCCGCAGAACGGACAAATCTTCCACTGTGGCCTTTCTGATGCTGAGACCTCGATTTATCTCGTCTTGAGAGAGAATAGCCATGGCGACAAAGTGTTGATGCTGATTGAGGCGCTCAATGTATGGCGCTAAAGAGTTAAAAGGAAGAGGCTCAACTGACACAAAGCAGCTAAGTTAAATACAACCTCAACCCAATCTAGTGAGTCAGTAGCCTCCGCTAGTCGGAAGACAGGATCATACCCCTTGCTCTCTGTGCCTGAATGACATTTTATTAACCAAAATAAATGCAAACAGGAGATTTCGCATCGACTTTTGGCCTTCTATGAGCGACGAGATGTCGTTCGCATCCAGTTGGCAGAAAAAGGATGCAGGGCATATATCACATACCGCTAAGGATGCGAACTGCGTATGATGGTGGCGCACAGCTTTCGGCAATCTCATTTAATAACGGGCTATATTTATATTACATTGCCATCGACGTCGACGTGCATCGCCAATTAGGCGTGCAGAGTAGCTAAACCCGAAGATCAATGGTGGCTGCCACGTCTGACCATGTACATCTACGCGAGAGCCCAACGAGCCCGATGATCTCATATTACATCCCCCAGGATTACGAATAGATTTTTTCACTCGCATAGAAGCTTCTTTTCAGGGGTGAGAGCCACGTCCAGGATTATGCGAGGTCCGGTTTTCTTCTCCAATGGCTTGTCTATACCGATTTTTCTTTTGAGATGGCGATGCCAATTCGTCTATCCTCTAAGGCATCAACCAAAACTGGCGTCAATCAAACTCACTTTAGACCTCTTTCCGGGGCTGAGGAGTCACGCTCAGGTCTAAGATGATGCGAGGTCCAATTTTTTTATCCAATGCCATTTCTGCAACAATTTCTCATCAAGATGGCATTCAATTCTTATTCGTCTATCATCTAAGCGGTCAACCAGACTCGCCTTCACAGCTCATCTCTAATGTGCACAGCCTCGTCCAGCGCCTCCATCGCCATAATCTTCACCACCAAGCTCGTCCAGCCGGTGAAATGCTGCGTGCGCTGACCAGCACCCGTCTCAGGATTGTACTGCTCCCACGCGAAGCCCGTCTCCTCCCAGCTCTTGTAGACCGTATCAACCAGATTCGTGCGCAGCTTGTTATACAAGCCCCTGGCTTGACGCTGGAAAGGTCCCTCTTGGGTGCCGATTTTCTGCAAACAAAATAGTTAGTTGATGCATCCAAGAAAAGTATGCAGCATGCAATATGCAGCACTCACATATAATTGCGTCAATGCCATGTAGTTGATAGGCATCCACACCGGGCTGCGCCAGTAATTCTCTTCTGTTCCATACAGAGGATCTTGCTTGCTCAGACTACGCAGTCCATGAGGACTAAACAAGTGGTTCTCATCACCAACCAGATCAAGGATCTTGCCCAGCTTGGCATCATCCGGCTGCATCAAGCCGACCAAGAACGGGAACAGCGAGATGTAACCCTTGTGGCAGACGAGAGCGTGCTCCTCAAACTCATCAATGCTTGCATCGCAGTAGCATCCTTCCTTCTCAGACCAGTGAAGGTCATCAAGGTTGCGCTCGATAGCAAAAAGATTCTTCTTTAGTTCTTCAATTTCATCAGCCATGTTTAGCGCATCTGCAATGTTGATAAGTGATTTGGTCATGAATCCAACCCAAGACATGAGGTCAACATGGAGCTCGCCAGGATGAGGTGGCTGCGGCCGGGGGTAATCATCCAAGCCGCTAGTAAGACAATGAGTCTCAGTCCGGCCCCTCCATCTGTAGGCCTCCTTGGAAGAAAATGCTTCGCGATCATACGCCTTGACTTGGCCCCTCTGTGTCTTGCGGAACCAATCGTACTGTCGTCGGAGAAGTGGATAAATCTTTTGGAGGAAATCTCCGCCAAGTTCCAGGTTATCCAGGTGAGCATTGTACAGGGTGTGTCCCTGAGATAGCTTCTCTTTCTCGGCGGGTGCGCTGCCGTTGGCGCTTCGTAAACGTTCCATGAAATCCTCAATGATCAAGAACAAAGTCGGTGGGTTGGCGTAGTGGGGGTATTGGACTTGGAATTCCGGTGGCACCTTGCTTCTTGCCTCTGGGCCAAGAATCTGCTCACGAGGAATCCATCCATCGCTGTCCATAGTGTTATACCAGCTTTTGACAATCTCAAGGGTCAAGTCGATATCCCAATCAGCAATCGGGATGAGGTGGAATCCCTCGTCCCAAAAGAATCCTCGGGGAAAGAATGGTCGCGATGGAACACTTGTGAATAGCTCATACGGGCCTTCTAGCTGCTGAGCCTTACGAGCGCGAGCTTCAGCTGTATCCTCCCAGAAGCCTTCGTTCTCTTCTTCATACTCATCCGCATAAGACCGATCGATCAACTGGTGACCGTGAAAGTATCCAATGCCTCCAATCAAATTGGAGAACATGCTCTTGCCAAACTTCTGGTACTTTTCAGCCGTATAAGGCGCCTTCAAATCAAAGACACTTGAGAATCGCTCCCCGAAAGACTCTGAAGCCACTTTGATCTCTCGAGTGATGTCTTTGCTGGTCATCTCCTTACCCGCAGAGGCTGACGAGAAGATGATATCGAATTCGAATCCTCCCTCAAAGACCTTTTGAACGACATGAGCATTGCCGCCGCCCGCCTGAGACTTCATTCGATAGATCTGCCACGGCGGAGGGAAATTCTCCTCGTCATAGTCCTGTTGCATATCTTTAATGGTATCTTGCATGAATTGGAACACTGCTGGTTTGGCCTGCCACAAATCACCAGCTGCAAGGCTGACACTTCGAACCACGGTTGTGTCACCACGTCGAGTAGCGCTTATTTCATGATCAGAAGTTGGGTGGTTGCCAGTTCCCTTGGTGATGACGACGTTGTAGTCTCCGAGGGAATGAGAGCTTCCCTTGAAAGTGACATCGCCCTCAAATCCGATTCCGCCGTTATCATCGCCCTGGGCGATAAGATCGCCCAGTTCTTCTTGAGCAACGTAGTAGTGCACCAGATATTTGCTGTCAGGGGGTGCATCATCTCGAACAGTTGCTTTTATCCGGGCGCCCCAACTGCCACCATGGCTGCCTCCAGGCACCTTAATGAAAGAAATGGTGACATCGAGGCCGTTTCCTTCATCGTGTATAGTTTGAACACCACCAGTCCGTGCATCAAACTCGTCCCAGCCATATCCATGAATGTCTTGGCCTTGCTCGCATGTATATCGGAATACTACACCATGTATATTAGCAAGGAAGCTCATCAAAGCAGCCGTCGTCACGTACATTGCTGGATATCCATGTACCCCTCAGCCCTCCCCCACATCAAACCAGTCCATAGACCCTGAGGCAGCCTCGGCCTCACTCCAAAATAGAGGTTTGGCTTGTACGGGCCCCAGAGCAGACTCTGGTTGTTCAGACGGCCAATTTCGTTGATCAGGATGGATTCATCGCCAATAGCGGAGGCACCAGCGACCAGCGCCGCCGCTGAGGCCAACAATTGGGCGAATCTCGCCATGATTGATTCCCAGAGCTCAGCTCTATGTAAAGAGATTCCTTACCAGAAGTTCCTCTTCATGAAAAAAGTAAAAAATAAATAAATTCCAATGGTATGAAAGAGCTGTCTTCCTCATTAAAGACAGCCGCCCTGATGAGTGAACACGGTGGCGCTGGTCCTTAGTGGGCGAATGCAAGGCTGATGAGCTACAGCGGATAAAAGCTCCAAATGGCCAATCAAAGAGCACTGATAAGCCACCCCAGCCACACCCTCAGCCTCTTACCCCTGTAATTCTATTGTCTTCAGCCTGGCCAAAAGATTCTAAACTTTTAGCAGCGACGCTACCCGACGTCATATCCCAATTGCTACCAACCCAAGAAATCCCTTCACAGCTTTTACTCTTCTTTTCAAGAAAACATCAAGTGACATTCACACAATGAACGACTCACGTCGATCCAGGCGGCCCGACAGCCGTCAAATGTGGGATGAATCAGATCGTCGCGACAGAAACCCCGGTCGAGACCGAGACCGTGATCGCGAGCGCGGCTGGGACAATCGAGACCGAGGAAAAGGCCGTGACCGTGACCGAGGACGAGACCGTCGAACCTACAGATCACGATCGCGAGACCGACGCGACAACCAGAATGATCGCTCCGCATCACCGGACAATCACCGACGAGACCGCGGGGGGGAAAGAAACCGAGGCGGCAGAGATCAACGCAGAGGCCGAGACGGCGATAGACGAGAGAGCCCTCGCCACTACGATGATAGAGATGATCGCGATGCCTATAACAGAGACAGAAGATGTAAGAAGCCCAAAATGAAGATGCACTATCCGCTTCAATCCTTGCTAACCAAAACAAAAACACAGCAAACTATCGCGACGACCGCCGCCGCTCAGCCTCTCCGCCCTCCCACCCATCCGCCCTCCCCACCCGTCCTCATCCCGAAACCATCTCTCGAAAGCCCCAATCCGACGCCACAAGAAGCCCTTCACCTCGCCGCGACCGCGATCGCGACTCAAACCGGAAAAACGCACCTCCTTCGCCTAGCAAGATGGACCAGGACGAATACGACGAAGACATTGAGGTCGAGGGCCAAGGCGATGACGACGACGGCCTCGCCTCCATGCAGGCCCTGATGGGCTTCGGCGGCTTCGGCACGACAAAGGGGAAAAAAGTGGCGGGCAATAATGCCGGCGGCGTGCGAAAGGAGAAGAAGTCCGAATATCGGCAGTATATGAACAGACAGGGAGGTTTTAACAGACCACTGAGTCCATCGCGGTGAGAGAGAGAGGGGGCTTGCTGAATGAAGATTCGGGCGTTTCTTCCTGTTTTGTTTTATCGCTGTTTCACTTGTTGTTTTCTAGGGTAACGATATCCATCATGGCATAGCACTTTGAGTTCTATCACTTTTACATGCTTGACACCTTCTTGATATGAAATGGAGCAATGGGATATATAGTTAAGTGCAAAAAAAAAAAAAATGTTAGGCTCTCGCTACAAGAGAAATAAATCTTAATTATACAACTAAATAACAACGGATGCGATAGAAACATTAATGTAAATTACCACACCTCGATACTTATTGACCATCCGCGCTTTAACACACATCTAAATGTATTGTATACCACGCAGACAGCGCAGCACATCCCACCGTTGATCAATTCCATTAAAGCTTTAATCATGACATGGAAAAAAAAAAGCACCAAAGGGCGAGCGAGGAAAGAAGAATAAAGAAACGAGTGATTAATACTTCCTCGTCTCGCCTCTCGCGGTCGTTGTGATTGTAGACATTAAGTATATATGCATCATACTTGCTGACATGACAGGACGTGTGTATACATATATGCTAATCCATGGATTATCATGTTCATGGGGTATTCTTTTTTCTTCTTTCTTTAAACAAATACACAAAGTAATGCTTTAGTCCTGCATCTTCTCGGCGTCCTCCGGCTTGCTCGCTTCGCCAACAGCCTCCTCATTCTTGAATTCCTCCGTCTGCACTTCCTCCGTCTTCGCCTCTGTCGGCGACATTATAGTCTCCTCCTCTTGTCCTGGTGTGCCTGGTGTTGGTGGTGCCTCTTCTGCTATTGATAATATAGAAGCTTCGTCCTTTGGTCCGTCTACTGTGCTTGAGGCCCTCTCTCTTCGCCTCCGCCTTGCTCGTCGTTCCTCTTCGGCCGTCTGTCTCCTGGCCTTTCTCATCGTCTCTCTTCTCTCAATGTCCGCCTCATCGTTTCCATCGCCCTCACGCATGCCCTGCAATAATGCCGCAGCTCGGTCAGCTACATCATCCTCCTCATGGCCATCTCGCGATGGAGGAGGAAGAGATGATGAAGCTTGTGCATCTCCTTCTTCAGTAATGGCCGGCTCAGAAATGGTGAGATTTGCTTCGACCGCTGAGTCTTCGTTGAGATCCTGAATATGCTGACCGGAGGCTACGCGAACCTGGTGGCGGTCCTTCAAACGGGCACGGCGGCGACGGTCTCTCTGATCCCGTACCTGTGGTGCGGCTGCTCGAAGTCTCTCAAGAAGAGAGTCCATAGCACCAGTGCTTGACGGTGATATAGGCCCATTGTCCAAAACACTTGCGGCTTTGCTCGCCGCCTGCTTGCGCTTCATAGAAGCCTCGTTGCGCTTTCTCTGCTCCTCCAGCTGAACGTTCTTGTCGCGAGACTTCTTCCATTCGATGACAAACGTAGCCAGCTTAGTGAAGAAATCCCTTCGGGCGTTTTCGTCTGCTGGGTCTTCTCCGTAGAACAGCATGATATCCTTGTAAGTCTTCATCATCTCTTCCAAGTAGACTTGCATCTGTTCTGCCTTTCTTCTGGCTTCCTTCATCACCCTCTGGACAACTTGGCCTACACGATCCTGGGGGTGGAATTTCTTCGGATCGCTCAAGTTACCATTGTCCAATGACATCTGAACATTCTTCACATTATCGATATACTTCTTGGCGTCGGTCTGAAGTTGTTCAATGTTGATCTTTTGCGCCGTTGTAACGGCCGTAATATCGTCTGCAAACCCTTCCCATTCCGGATACTGGTTTCGCACGATACGCTCCACAAGATCGGCCAGCGTCGATTCATTCTTGTCATCTTTGACCATGCCCAGTCTGGCGAGCGAGCTAAGCTTGAAACCGCGAGCCTGCTTGTTGGCATCGTTCATGTAGTTTCCGATATCCAAAATGAGACCAAGGACATTCATAAGGGCGACGGAATCTCTCAATGACTCAGAGACAGTCACAACGTCCTGCATCTTGGAAATGATTTCATCGTAATCGACTTCGAAACTCTGCGTAAGTGCTAGCGCCCTCATTCTGCTCTTCCAGTAATGGTGTAGCTCGAATGCCGTGTACAAGTATAGCTGATCCTGTCTTGTGAGCTCCTCAGGATCCATTTCTCGGGTTTGGTTCGTTGCATCTGGCCCGGTCAAATCTTTGCTATACGGAGCCATCTGTTTGGCAACGTTGTCGTTGATGTTGCACATATCATCCTTTGATAAGAAATCCATGATACCCTGGTTTGTGATAATGATGTCGTCACAGTGGATAATCATCTGTACAATCTTGTCAACAGAGGATTGAGAATGTTTGGCAAAGGCGATTTCTGTTTCACTCTCGTTAGCTTCAGTCCACAGATATAGAGAAATTCATTGATTCAAAGACCATCAACGTACCAAATGCCTTCCGCAAGTCGGATGATATGAGCTGTTTCTTGTCATCCTTCTTACCACCACCACCACCAATCTTCTTGATCTCCTTGGCAACGAAAAGCTTCTCGACTTCGTCCAAAATACCTCTCCGACTAAGTTCGTTGTACTTCTCTTCTCGCTCTTCGACGGAGGGGGTGTGAGCTGCCCAGTGACTGGTCTCAGGGGTATCGACCTTCTCCCAGTGAAGGGCCTTAAGTTTCTTCTTAGGCCGCATCACCGGTAAGCCCACAGAAGGCGCGGCAGTGAAGGCGGGTTGCTGAGGTAAGTAGTGACCAGAAATGGCACCAGGCATCCCGGGAGGCGGCGGCGGAGGCGGCGGCATGCCCTTGGCACCGGGCATTGGGGGCGGTGGAGGAGGTGGTGGCATCCCTCCCATACCAGGCATAGGCGGCGGAGGAGGTGGAGGCGCGGGGAATGAGCCCGGCATCGGTGGGGGAGGAGGTGGAGGCGGCGGAGGTGGGACGCCGGGCAGTTGACCGGGCATAGGGGGAGGTGGCGGAGGCGGAGGCGGAGGGGGTCCGGTGATTTCGACTTTGGGGGCCTCGCCTTCTGCCGGGGTGATGGGAGAAGACGATTCCATGCTCGGGTGAGATGGACCGGTGGTGGTGCCGTCGTCGGCTTCGGAGTCGCTGCCGTCGTATCGCTTGATCTTGGAACCAATCTCGCCCGTGACTTGAGCAAACTGAGCCTGCTGCTTCGAATCGACTACTGGACGCCTCATCTCGATCAGTCTGGGGCGCTCGATAACGACGCCCTCCTCGTCAAGATCAACGTCATCTTCCCCGATAGCACTCTCACGCTTGGCCGGCCTTCGAGAAGCCCTCGGCTGGCGATGAATAGTTCCGAGTACACTGTTTGTGAAATCTCTGGGCGGAGTACCGCCTCCAGGAGGCGTACCCGGCTCCTCATCGCCATCCATGGCTTCTCTGAGAGCACGAAGGCGATCAGATGGGCCGTCAGAATCTCCCCAGATTCTACCTTCCAGCTTATACTGGGTCTTTTGGCGCTCAAGCTGCTTCTGTAGACGCTCCATAAGGCGTTCACGGTCGAGAATGCCCTGCATTTGTGCTGTGTTATCCTTGCCAGGCTTGGCACCGATGCTAGTCTTAGCAGCATTGGATGCCGCGATATCTTGGGCGTCTCGCAGCATGAGGTACAATTCTCTCGTCTCAAGCTCGTAACGCTGTGCCTCCTTGGCTCGAACACTTTGAATGTTATTCAATTCCACTTTGAGGCCATCAGCTTGGCGTCTCTGAGCTTCGATAAACCGAGTCTGCTCGTCCAGCTGCTTTTGTAACTTGGCCACGAGCCCATCCGCTCCGAGCTCCAACTTTGCCCTCATCTCATCTCGTTCCGCCATGGCGGCTTCAGCGATCTGGCGAGATTCCAATGCTTCATCGAGAGCCTGTCGAGCTTCTGAATCCGTGTGCAGCTTGTCCAGCAGACTCTGAACTGTAAAGTTGAGACTCTGCTTGAGGTCCATATTTGGCAGGCGGCGATCCATGGCCACATAGCTAAGCATCGAATCGACAAGCTGAAACATTCGCAGCCGTTCCTCGCCATCGCTGGCGCGGATGAGCAGAAGATGCTGCAGCGCAGATACAAAGTAGTCATGTGTCTTGGTTCCATGCAGCCGTTGCTGGATGGTGTCGGCAATTTGTATAGGGTCAGTCAAATCCTTGAGATCCCCCTCGACATTATCCTTCATGCTGGTGTTCTCCCTCTCGAGCATATCCTCATAATCAATGGCCTCGTTGGTACGGAACCGATCAATCTGCTTGTCCAACAGCTCGTATTGAAAACCCTCCATCTTGGTCAAGATTCTCTTGATGCCACAGGCGTGGAACTGAGCTCTGATGTGAACTCTCATCTGGAGATCCTTTTCAGGAGCATCAATAATCATATTGACCAGCATCAGAGTAGCGACCGCATATTCCATCAACAGGTTCTCCATTCCAATACCTCCGGTCCGAAGCTCATCGCTGGCACCCACGAGACTGCCCATCTTTCCACGTCCATCAACGGTTACCTCCACCAGTCGCATCCAAGAATCAAATCTTCCATTTTCGCCAGCCTGTGTCTTGACTTCATCCAAAGCCTGGATGACTTTCAGATGTCCCTCGCCATGGTTCCCCCACGTACAGAGGAAAGTCAAAATTTCGCTCACAAGCTTCCGCGTGGTGAGTCGAGAAGAAATCAGGCATGTGGCCAAGGCCAGCAAAACCTTTGACTGCATGAGGGCATCGTCGGCGCCGAATTTGTTGTTCATTAAAGCCTTGAGACATTTTACGATGTCGTATTCGCGATCCAAATTCTTCTCTAACCGGGGGTCGACTGTCGAAGAAGTAGCCGGTCCTCCGTTGGTGTTCTTCCTATTGATCTTGAGCAACAGAGTGACCAGAGCCACTTGTCCCTGGCACTCGACAAATCGCTTCACCCAGCCAATCTGTTGTGTTCTCAGGTTGACTTCGAGGGACCCCATGCCCTTCGCATCCAGCTTGTCCTCCATGACCCTCCTGACATACCATTCCGGAGTGCCCTCTTCATCGGAGTAAGTCGTTACGTCGGGCGTAGCATACTGATTGGCTCTGGCGGTTTGCTTCCGTTTCTGTTCTCCTTGCCATTCTGTTAGACGATCTTGGTGCAGTAATGTCCACTTCTTCTCCGCGGGGTAGGCCGTCATCTGTCTCCTAGCCTGCTCAGGGAGATTGTGCCATCCTCGCTTCTGCATAAGCTGCATGAACATCTGCTCGACTACGTAGTTGTCATCGGGTTTGGGGAAGTAGAAGCCGTCGTGGGACGCGGGTCCGTAAGCGCTCATTTTTGATAACCTGTGAGACGTGTGCGTCTCACGAGGAGAGTGAGGCGTGAAATGTGAGCTTCCGGGCGGCGACGGCGCAAGCGTGGTGTGCGAAGAGCGGGCTGAAGCCGGGTTAAGGTAGCCGCCGCCGCCACCGTGCGGGTTGTTGAAGCTCTCTCCGGAGGATCGGGCATAGAAAGGGTTCTGGTAGGAGTCGTACCGGACAGGATACGAGCCATTGGTGGTGGAGCTGGACGTGCTGCCACGAGCCGGAACAGCTCCTCCAGGCCCGGGTCCCGGCCCCCATTGCTGGTATTGTGCCTGCTTGCCCGTGGAGGCCATGGTGATGTTGTTGACTGACATGTTGGACGATGTGCCCGGCCGCGCAGGGGTGTGGGGGTGGGAGTTCTGGCTGGCCATTGTTGACGGGTCGATGGACGGGTACTGATGGAAGTCGAATCCGCTGACATTGAGCTGGTGCGGCACAGGCTCGCGGCGCTGCGGCGGCCCTTGGTCGGGCCTGGGGAGGAACTCGAGGGAGACTGGCGATCGAGAGCCCGGCGGGCCGTCGTAGGGGATGGACGTGATCACACCCGCCATCTGGTTGATGCCAGCATCAGGAGAACCGGGCTGGTCGACCGAAATCGACGACGACTCCCGCTTGTGGCGCGAGGAGCGCGAAGAAATTATGGACGCCGTTTCGAATTGTTCTGACGAGCTCTTGGGATCGATGTCGGTGTAGCGCTTGTCGGCGCGGTGCTTGCCTCGAGAGAAGAGAGATCTGCCGCCGGAAGACTGTCTGGACTTATCGGCAGCGGACGACATGATAATTGATCGTGGAGAGAAGTGGGTAGGCGAAACACGTAACGGCAGCGGAGTGCGAGCCCTGGACCGCTCGCATGATGGAGGCCTAATTTGCCGGCGAAAGAGGGACAGACAGGGCTGGGCCTGCAGTGGGGGGAGGGGGGATCTAGAGGATTATTGGATGGCCTCGGGTTTGGAGTTTCTTTTTGGTATTAGCCTTCTGTTTCGTCTTTTCTGGCGCTGCTGTGGCCCTTCTTTTTTGCGTCCTCTGATGCTTCCCTGGTCCTGGTCGGCGCTCGAAAGCTGGGCGATTGTGTTTGTGTTGAAGGCTGCGATGGCGTGAGGTTTGATGTTTTGGAGCAAGGCTGAGGTACTACAGAAGACGGGGCCGCTGAAGGGCCTGGGAAAGCTGGGCTGGTTAGCGATAGGGGGCGGGGGCGGCAGAATCAATCAATGATGAATGACTGGCGGCACGCACACACACCTCACCTGCGCCAGGGGAGTGGGGTTTTATGGGATAGTAGCAGCACAGATTATTATGGATTTTTCAGCTTCCTTCTGTCCCAACCTGTTGGGTAATGTGTTCTATCTATCTGCTCTTTGAATAGCAAAGCGAAAGAGAAAGGGCTAAAGAAACAGCGTAGACAGCAGGCGCTTCCGTGTGGACAGAAATACATGTGAAAAATACATTTGATGTCTGGTGAGACAAAGATAAAGGGTCCTCCCCTGACAACAAAGAGACTGCCACAAGACGAACGAAAGCAGGGGGTCTGCCGCTTTTAGGCTCGCCCAGTGGCGAAGCCAGGGAACAGCGACCGAGCCTGTCCTGTAGCTCAGGTCGTTTTTGGGTCACGACCACTAGACGTGCTAACAGCGCTAAGAGTGGCGCCGACGCTGAAGCAGAACATCGAAGCAGGCAAGGCCAGCGGTGATTGGGCGCTGGGCTGGCGCCGACTTCAGTTGACCGTGGCCCCTAAATCGTTGGCGCCGCAGCATCGACGGGCCTAATTGGGTCCTCGGTGCATGTGGATCGCTGAATATGGGCAATCGAGGGTGGGTTTGTCTATAATCGACGGCAGGCGGGAAATGAGGACCAGGGAGGTGGAGGAGAATTTATTAAGAAGTGGCTGCTGCCGCCAGGAAAATGATGACATGTGCGACATGGAAAAAAAAAAGAAGAGAAAGATTTCCTTTGATCTCGAAGGTGGCCTCTTTTTGTGTGTATTATCGAAGGCTTACCAATGACAGCAGCGAACCCTGAGCTATCCCTCATATGGGCGGCATTTCAAAGCCAACGAAATTCCTCAATACGAACCGAGGTGCTTCGTCTATAGACTTTCAGAGTCGCATCTGCTAGTATGGCGCATGAATTCTTGCTTGTGCTACTGTATCTGCTACCAGTACCACTAGCACATACGCCCAGACTCTCGCTGCATTACGTACAAAGTGCCTCAGTCTTGGCTGGATCGTCCGACGATTGTTGAGGCGCAGATCAGTATCAGTCTGTACATCGCAATGACTTGAGGCTCTGGAATAGGGACATCTGTAGCAATCTCCAACAGCCGAGCGACAATTAAAGAGCTGCCAGCCCATGGCAGAGAGACGTCGGGGGTCCCTCGTCTTATCAGTGGGGAAAAGCCGACTTGGTCCATGCCACGCATCTGGAATGCGCCCGTGGAAGCGTCCAATGTCCGATCCCGTGGACCTGCCGAGTGATGCCATAGTAAGCCCACGCGATCTCCCAGCAGCTGGATATTCGTCAAGTTTCAGGTGCCGTAAGAGTAAGGTAGTACCTTTGCCTGGCCTATGTACACGATATTCCGCACTTGCAGTAATATGACATTGGTGAAAGAGACTCTTAGTATCACTGCATGTACATCTGGTATATCACTGTATAGTCCAAGCAGCCGTTACAAGAATTGCTATCAACCACCAGCACAGAGTGATGCCATCGTGGTACTCATTGTCTCGACATGCTTCGTATACTTCAAGTAGTAAACCACATGTGCCTACAAATAGACTCTTCCCCAACAAGCCTAGCCCAGCGGTGTCCCAGCGGGCTCCCTTAGCGCCTCCGGGGTACGTAACTCATCCCGTTCCGGCTGGCTGGCGGCCTGTCGTCGCAATTGCGCTGCGCCTGGGCTTCAACTTTCAAAGAAACACCGTCACCAAAAACCGCAGACTCTCGCTTGTTTCTACTTGCGCGCTCGTTCCTTGGCTAGGGGGCCAGACCCTGACTGCCATGATCGCCATATCCCCTCGAACGAGCAGCACTCAGTAGATCAAGAAAACTACTCTTCCCAAAATACTAAACCCAGCGCTTCTTCTCTCTTGTTTTAAAAATAGCAGCCAAAATGGGTGACACACTAGTCGTCGTCAAGGTAAGCCTCATGTGCCCATTCTCTCCATCTGCCCGCTGAGACAACAAACCACACGTCGTCTAGTATCTACGGATCTACCGCCAGCAACAGAGCTAACCAAACGTCACAGACGCTCGTCATCCCCGCCGTCATCTCCCTCATCCTCTTCCTCATCCTCACCTTCGTCATCGTCCCGATATGGCGCCACTACCGCGTCCGCTACAGCCAGTACCTCCCCATCGACGCAATCTCCGAACACACAACCGGTTGGCGCTACCGCATCACCAACCGCCTCATCAGAATCGCCAGTGCTCCCCTCACATGGCGGAGGAATAGGGAGGTGGCCTCTGGCGCCGTTGACCTCGAGGAGGGAGAAGAGCTGGGAGAGATAGACGACGACATCCGGCAGGTGCTTGAGGCTATTGCGCGGTCGAGACAGGGAGCTGAGAGTACGAGACGGCTCAGCCGAGAGTAAGTCTTACCTTCATGGCTACAAGACGCTCAGATATGCCATGTTCCATGCCGGCTAACTTTATACAAGGCTAGAGGAAGGCTTTATCGACGACAGCGACTCTTCAGATTCGGACTAAAAAGAATGGTACGGGCAATAGACATAAGAAAGAAAAGTCAAACATACTATCCCTCAAAATCATCTCTGAACCACCCCCTCCAGGTTGTACAAGGCTTGAACTGCTCCAAAAGCGGGCTAGACCTCAATAACTCGTCAAAAACAATTCCATGCTGGCTGAGTCTGCAAAGACAGAGTACCTAGCCAACACTTGGATCTACCTCTGCATAATGATCACAGACCTCAACACCAAGGATGATTCATGAGCCAGTACGGTTTAGTTGGATAACATATCCCATTGTTTTAATTATAATAGACAAACATAGAGTCATATACATGGACAGGAAGATATAATACTCCCCAACGCTAACGCCCCTGAGTAGTCCTTGCTCTTGATATCTCTCAAACTCTTTGATTCTATAATACTGCTGAAACATCGCTGGGTGAAGCATCGCTAAAATCGTCTACGTACTGACTCAGGGTATAAGATATTTCAACGAAAAGGAGAGAATGGATGGATGACACGGCGAAGAGAAGAAGACCGCTCTGCACCCTCCCCCCCGGGAATCATATCATGCTTCATAATTGCTCAAGACCCCAAAAGTTCAAGATCCCGCAAAAAGATGCGCTGCAGTTCGTACTCCCATACAAAATGTGAAAAAAACGCACTCTCTCGCATGTCAATACACACTCTCTTCCCCCATTCATCGAGCCACCAAACTCTGTGTTCATGCTGGAAAACTTGCTCGGCTTCGGATATCGAATTTATTACCATCAATAACAGCTTGGCGCGGAAGGGGCGTGGGCGGAATGGGCGTGGGCGGAATTGAAGCGTATTAAGGATTTTGCGCTGCTTTTTTCTGTGAAGCAAGGAATCTGGTTCTCTCACCAAAGCTTTCTCAACGTATCGAAGCCACTTGAGATTGCGACTCAGTTTGCTGCCCCTTCCCTTTCTGCAGAACTCATAGGCTGATGGAATGGCAAAAGCTGAGGCATCGGTATGCAACGGATGTGGCGTAGAATCGTATGACGTGACAAGGTGGCCACAGCGGTGTCGGAGGCCGATACAGTCGTGAGGGCATCTTATATGAGCAAAGGGAAGCCACCCGGCAGCAAACATACAAAACCCATACTCAATCCATCGAAGGAGGCAGTCAACCCCGAAAGAATGCCCACAGGGGAGATAGACTTTGGGCTCTCCCTCATCCGAATATGGTTCTTTACAAAAATGGCAAGCATTGGGATCGCTCTCATATCTGCTCGTCAAGTCCAGCGGTGGAGTAGTGCCAAGTTGGCTCGCTAAAGGCTGAATTGTAGCCTGACTCATCGGACTGACGTTGCCGATATGTTCAGATGTTGGCTCCGACAATGTAACATTGCCAAGTTGGTTTGCCAAAGGCTGAACTGTATTCTGGTCACTCATCGGACTGACCTCAGGCGGACTCTGCATGTTATGAGAACCGAGAGACTCTGACATATTTAACCTCAACGGTGTACTGGGCATGGTAAACGGCTCTCCAGAAATTTCCATTAGGCTCAAGAAAGGCTGTTTCGGCAAAGGTTCGCTCAGAATCCCGGACGTAACCGCCAACTGCGTCTCGGCTGGTGCTAATGGACTCGGTGCTCTGATGGTCGGGGCTGAGTCCTGTGTGATTGTCTGGGTGACGCTGATTTGAAGATTCTCAGGCTGTAGTGGCTCTGAGTCACTGCCTTTGTTTGCTCGGGCCCACGGAGGTCTAAATACTCGTTTAAGCCGATCCTTGATCGGCTGCTTTGAACGTCCAGCCCCCATTGTTCTTCTCTTTCTTTGTTTTTGCAAAGTTGCCGCAGGATTGAATGATTAGGTGATGGCGCCCATAGCGAGACTGCTGATATAATGGATTGACGAGGTAAGATAGACGAGCAATACGACGTATGGTACTATATGTTGCCAGTAGCTGCCTGGTTATACAATGCTTTGGGTTTTTGGATGTGGAATGTTGAGTTCAGGTTGTCAGTTTAACGTGCTCCAAACTCATTGGAACTGCAGCTGCCTAGGTACATGTAGATAAGCATTGCGCCTTCATTGTTTAGGGCATACCTTGCTTGGAAGGCTCGACTTGGGACTCATATGGGCAGGCAGATGTCGATATTGACTATCACGGATCAGACTTTCTTTCTCAACACTACTTAGAATCTGCCTACCTTGGGTATACACGCTTGCCTAAAATGCCTATTCTTGTGATTCTATAGAATGTCTGCTCAATTCGAAAGCACCTGCCTTATCAAATGACTTCATGTTGGAATTCATCTCATGCAAACGTCAGCCTTCTTCTGTAGGTATGGGGTAGAAGCTCATGATACAGTGCGCTTCTCCACAGCCCAGTAGCGATATATACTACAATCGAATAAATCCTTCATATTGAATACTCACCTTTTTTTATTCGTTTTTGTAATTTAATATGCAAAGAATCCATCAATTTCAATCAAAGTCCTCTGCTTTTCGACTTCCCCATATCCTTCATCAGCGGATTTATCCCTACAGCGAAGCTCCAGTCATCAGTGCCAGACCCGCACCAACCATTTTAGCGGTCCCATGTACACGCGCCCTGTATTTCCATCCGCTAACTCCAAACCATATTACAACCTCACCCCAACTTTCCACCGTGAACTCAAACATTTCCATGAGCCACAGCAAAAATCATCGCCCAACATGAGGTTCCACAGCGATTTGAAAAACATTCGCACCTTTGCCAGTGAGTTCTACTTAGCATCATCATCTTTAACCAACTTTCAGCTAACCAGCCTTTCCAGAACTCACAGCCGCATTTTCCACTCTGGAGAAGCTGGTATGGCTACGCCTCAGCGATGAAACTGCACACTTCACAGTCGTCCCAGATGCAGGCTCGCAGATCTGGTCGTAAGCAAATCATCTCACTAATGAGTCAATTAGAGTGCTGATGCCTTGGAAAAAGAACACTGCCAATGGACTTCCTCTTCGAAAACTGCACCATCCAATCCGCCGAGCCCTCCAACACCATCAACCTAGAACTTTCTCTCCAGCCCCTCCACCGCGCCCTCAAATCCGCCCAGGGCAGCATCTCAGCATCTCTCCGCCTCACCAAGAAGAAAGGGGTGCCCGTCCTCTCCATGACAATCACCACCAGCACCAAATCATCCTCTTCGAAATTCGGAAACGCGCCGCCACCTGCTGCCGCGCCTCTAAAGCCCCCTTCTTCCTTCGACGACCCCTTTGGCGACGTCGACGAGGACGGTGGTGCTGATCAAACTCACCTCGAGACTTCTCTGCGCAGAGAGCACGAGAAGATCATTACCCAGGACATCCCCATCCGCGTGTTGCACCCCGACACCGTCGCCTCCACCATCCAGCCCTCGCTGCAGGAACCTGACGTCCACATCCAGCTCCCGCCCCTGCTCCAGCTGAAATCCATCTCGGACCGCTTCACCAAGCTCGCCCTCGCCTCTAGCGGCGGCGGTGGCTCCGCCAGCAGCAAATCCCCTCGGCTCGAGATCAGCGCCAACATGCACGGCGGCCTGCGCGTGCGTATTGCCACCGAGACGGCCGACATCTCGAGCGCCTGGACCGACCTCGACAATCCGCAACTGGATCCCGCCCAGCTCAGGGTCCCCATTGAGGAGCACCCTAGTACAAAGTTCCGCGATCGTGGACCCGACTCTTGGGCTTCAATTTATGTCGACGGGAAAGACTGGAGCAGAGTCCTCAGCGCCGGCAGGCTCGAGGGAAGAGTCATAGCATGTTTTTGCCATAACCAATCTCTAGTGTTGTATGTATACATACCACATTATGACGATGGGGCTGCAGATGATGCGGTCCTAACAGTAAGTTCAAAACCTGCAATCTTCTCATATAAGCTTACAAAGGGTATAGTATCATGTCCAAGCATATAGTGCATAGGCTGGAGTTCAAGTTGCAATTCGGCGTAAAAGCAAATCTTAAGGAGTTCCAATGGAATGGTGTATTGAAAAAGGGATCAATGTTTTTTTGTTTTGTTATTTCCATGAAAGATATCCAAAAATGCTAATATGTGTAATCATGCCATGTGTATCTGCATCAGTCATCCTCTCATACCTTCATTCAAGACCTTATTGTAATGAAAAAGTCACCCTTCCTCCAGCTAACAATACATCAAACAACGTCGTCCAATCATATAATACAAATACCACCGTCATCTGGTTACAGAAGAGAGCAAAATTGCTCCGCAAACCAAGTAAATATATAGAAGCAAACTCTAGCAGTCTACAATTGTCTGTAGGTCATGCAACTATTGAGCACTTTCTGTTGATTTTATTTGGCCATAACATCGACATAGCGGCCTTTTCTTGCCTTCTTCTGCCCGGGTTTACGGGGTCCTGATGCACTCAACAAGTCATCGATACTGCTGGCATTGCTCATGCTCGTAGTAGGTCTGCTTGATGGTTTGCTGTCGGTACTAGCGCTAGACATGGATCGTAACATGGGCGGTGCGCCAAGGCTTTCCTGCGACGGGGCTCTGTTGAGAACTGCGGGCGGAGCCAACGAACCAAAAGAAGATGAAGGCGGAAGGCTAGCTCGGCCTTGCGGAGGAGGCGGCGTTTGTGGAGGTGTTCCGCTGACGGATCGTGGACTGCCGAGCGCTTTAGGTGGCGGTGGAGTCGCCGCTTTCGCTTCGACTTGCTCGGCTCCGGGCTTCTTGTTGACCCATCGCTTGAGTTCAGGGTCATATACAAAGCTGCTCGCTTCACCAAGCTTAGCCCTGATGGGCTTGCCTGGGGATGATGCTTCTCCAGGACTTGCAATCTCCTTCTTACTGCCGCCACTGAACCAGCCTGAGAAGCCCCAACCTTTCTTGGCTTGCTGCGCTGCAGCAGCACGTTTCGCTACAAATGGTTAGTAAAGGCTTCCTGGAAACTTTTGAGCTGCAAAAACTTACCATCTTCTTCCGCTGCCTTGCGGAACATCTCTTCATTCTCACGATCTTTTTCCGCTTTAGATTTTTCTCGGGCCGTTGAACTACCAGTACCAAAATCATCATCGTCATCATCCATGAAACTCTTCTTCTTGGGCTTAGGTTCATCATCATTTTCCTCTGCAGAGGGCCCAAGGTCGGGCTGATAGGTCGGGGGCTCATATCCGTAAGGTTGGAAAGATGGAGGCTCATAGCCATTTGACGCGCCCTCTGTTGCGTCCACATTATTAATCCCAGTTTCGGATATGCTGGTGTTATTTAAGGGGGGTTCATATCCATAGGACACCGGTTGGAAACCTGCCGTAGAGGGAGTTGTGGCTGGCTCTTCATGGGGTTGTTGTGAGGAGACCGGCTGTTGATATAATGGCTGGTATCCACTCGTAGGAGCCTTACCCTTATTACCAACATCAGCAGTCATTGGCTGGTAGCCAAGGCTCGATGGCGCAAATCCATTGCCACGTCCAGGTGGAGAGCTAGGGAGAGAGGGTGAGACCCCGTATGCGCTCGCAGGGTACTCACTTGAGTTCAGTGTAGGCTGAGAGAAAGAAGAAGGCAGCTGTGGCGGCTCAACGCCATAGGTAGGCTGGGAAGTTGCTGGAGCATATCGCGACAACGCCGATGACAATGCCGACGTAGCAGCAGGAGCACCAGCCCCTGGGTATGCAGGTGAGCTGATGCCCAGGGTGTCAAAATTCGAAACCGACGGGGAGCGGCTCATGGACGGCGTTCCTATACGGGCAAATGGGCCACTCTCCTCGCCCGGGGTGCCATTGGCGTTTTCAGACTCATCTCCGGCGACGAACTTGTTAAATCTATTCCACATGCTATCGGAAACCTTGTTCATGCTAGGTTTGGACATCCAAGAGGAAGATTCTTCTCTCGGTGCCTGTTTCAAGCGGCGCATGAAGTCATCAACGGCGGCCTCCAGAACTGGGTGATGATAAGGCGACCTCTTCGTCTGTGATGACATGGCTGAGAGAATAGCGTCGCAATATTGTAGAGCCCTGTCCCGGTAGCCATACTCAGCCAATGTGATGGCGTGGTGGAGTTTGTAAGGCGCGAGATGGGGAGCGCCAGCAGCAGCAGAAGAAGTGCCCGAAAGTGAAAGCCCGTACTCATATACTTCACTAAGCTGCAAAGCTTCTGTATCCCTTCCAACCTGGTGCGATTGTTGTCGGTGATCCGACCCCAAAAGGACAAAGTCTACATTCGGATCATCGAAGCCGCCAAAAACGGATATCTGCCTGCCAAAGATAAAGCAAATATGGGCGGCTTCAGCCCTTCCATAGCTAGACAAGAGCTTGCCTAGGGCGTTCAAACCGCGGACGTCGTCAGCGCTTCGGTTGCTCAGAACAAGCGTCAAGGTCTCCCTCCATTTATCCAGCCCTTCCATAGCGTCCTTGGTAGGCTCAGAAGACGACCCAGTTGAGACAAGCTGAAGGCCGGCGCGTGCATGAACTGGAACCAGCTCATCGACACAGTCGTCGTAATTACCTGATAGGATCTTGTATAGAGCGGCGAGTGATTCATTACTCTGGCCAGGGTGATTGACTTCTTTGCGAACAAATTCTTGCGCAACACGCTTGTACAAGTCAGGCGAGACTGTATGAGAAATAAGCATGGCATGTCCCCACAGACGCTTATCAACCGCTGCCCAGACAGCGGTCTCACGGTTGCCCTTGAGAAGATCGAGACGGATTTGCTCCATGGTAGCAGAATCAGCGCCGTCAGACTGCATTGAAGTGGCTATAGCACCATTGATGCTTATAGTAGGGTCCGTAGGAAACAAACCATCGTTATCCGCGGTGGGTGTTATAGTCCCCGGGGAGAGGACATCTCGCACAGCCTTCTCGGCCGCGGGGTTGCCTTCCAAAATTCCGTCATGCTCGATGAATATGCGAAGGATCTTCCACAACAGCAGGCGCTCAATACTTCGTTTAGCTTCGAAAGAAAGCTGCGGGTGAAAGGACACCTCGGGGAGTTCCTTCTCCAAGTCGTCGATTCCCGAAGAAAGCCACGCGAGAACTTCCTTTTTCTTCGACTTGCCCTTCAGTGGACCGGGAAATTTGGCTAGGCGGTCTGGCAGAGACTCAATATCCTTGATATTCTGCACTTTGACCTCTCCCGAAGCTCGCAGCATCGACGGTGCTGTTTGGTTCATAACGTATCTCGGAATACTCTTTGGGAAAGAAGTCACCACGGTACCACCAACTCCCCAAGAAATAATGGGGACGCCTTGCCATCTCTGGAGGGGGTCATGCTCTCGGCCGTCCGTAGGAGCAATCATATTCATATTCAAAGATGGCGGCCGAGGATGGGCATGGGAAGCGTGGGCAATCTTGACAGAGGGGGGGGACACAGGTGAGTGTGAAGAAGAAGGTCGGCGAGCAGCCTCTGCAGGCTTCGGGATATATTGACCACCTCTAGTGGCCCCCGGAGACTGCGTATGAGCGCGAGGGGGTGGAACAAATCCAGGCTGCGTCGAAGGAAGGTTGTTAGGAATGTAGCCAGAGCCTGGTCGCTTTGGAGGCGATAGCGTAGATTGAACGGAAGGAATGGGCAAAGGTGGTGGCGAACGGGTGTTGTTAGGCACCGGGTCGTCTTCTTCTTCAACCTCGCGGGTAGGGGGAAGAGAAGCAACGCGAGTGAGTCTCGGCTCGTACGAGGAACTAGCTCGTCGCTCGGCGTGGACAGCTTCTCCACTGGCACCAAACGGCTTGTCGCTGCTAACCTCAAAATGTGCCAGCGGACTAGAGGTTCGCGGAAGATGGGGCAAAACAGCTTGAGGCGAGGTTGCTGAGACGGCTGCTGCTGGGTTATAGGCGGCAGTTGGAATGGGAGCGGGCGGTGCAGGAGAATATCGGCTCGTGGGCGGCGGCGCACTTTGGCTGCCAGCTGCTTGGGGAGGGGGAGCTGGAGAATATCTGGATACATTGGCAGTTGGTGTAGGCAAGGGAGCGTTTGGCGATGGAAGAGGTGCGTATGGGTTTACTCGCTCAGGAGCGACAAGATTCATCTTTAGACTAGAGCCGGGAGCTGCAGGTGGAATCTGGGTTGCCATGGGAGGGCTCAAAGGAGACGGTCCATGAGGTGATGTGGCCAAGCCATATGGGTTAGGAGAAGCTGCTCTGTTGCCTGACCTGGACATCGAACGTGGCTTTGGTGCGGTGGGTAAATCTTCAAAGAAGCCTGATTTGTGTCGTAAGAGAGGCGATTTTTGAATACCACCACTTGGAGGGCCTGAATCGGTGGCACTCATACTGGCGCTTCGCGGAGGGGGAGGTGGCTGAAGCGATGAATTGGAATTGCCCAATTGGAGTTGCTGCATACTAGCTCGTTTCCTTGGCTTCACCGTAGAGGTGACCAAATCTGAGGGTAGGTCATACGGCGACGAATACCCTCCCTTTGCTTTGTCGGCAAAGCTTTGGGCTTTGGGCGAATCCGTTGCCTGTTGAGGAGGCGCTTGACCATATTGCAGTGGAGGCTGGGACACTACTCCCTGGGTTGGGGCACCATAAAACGGGGATTGAAGCGGTGGTGTGACAGGCGTGTACGCAGACGCAGATGCAGATCGCTGTAGAGCAGGTCGATATGAAGTGGGCGCAAAAGCCGGCGTTGATGCCACGCTATTTGTTTGTGAGCTCAACGGCGCAGTCTGTGCTGGGGGCTGGGCTTCGTCGAGCTCATCCAGTAATCCTTCGTCGTCACTGCCCAGGAACGCGGCTGCATCCACTTCCGGCTCTTCTGCTAGTGTGTTTTCAATAAGGAATTCGTCTTCGTCGTCATCACCAGCAAACGCTTCTTGCCATTTTGACGCGAGGTCTTGAGTATGGGGTGCCTCCCTTTCATTTCCGTTGCCAATCTCTTCAATCGCTTCGGGTTCCTCCGTCACTTTGACTTCCGGGCCGTTAAATCCCTCTTCATCCCACTCGAGGGTCTCGTCCGGAAGTTCTTGATCTGCAGATGCCAGGACCTGCATAGTTGATTTCCGCTGCATTGGCTCTTCTTCTTGACCTTTACTTGTAGCGTCTGCTTCGGATTGATTGATTTGATTAAAAAAGTCGTCATCTTCATTGTCATTGTCATCGTCAAAAGAAGGGATGTGCGTATTCTCACTGCTAGCTGCAGGGTCGGCGCTGGCTTGTGTGTGTGGTATCAATGGTACGCCTTCTTCGTATCGCGCTTCGGATGCTTCATCTTCAGCCCATTGGATGTCCCCTCCTATCGATGTGGAGGGCGCGTGTCTGTGGTGCGAATCTTTTGAAGCTTCATCCACGATATCTGAGCTTGGCTGGGGATACGCATCAGCTTGATACTCTTCCTCTTCAATATGAACATCTCGCTCCGTCTCTTCCAATACGTCAAGCGCCTGATTTGATGGCAAAGGTGTATCTTCGATGAGCTCCGGATCTTCTGCCATAAGAGGTACGACAGGAAAAGAATTTGACCTCTCAGAAGGGGGCATGAATTTGAAAGGATCTGTATCAGTCCTCGACAGAGTCCACTCGGCATCATCGTCATCGCCGAAACTGATTTCGGTCGAAACTGTTCGAGCAAAGGAGAAGGAGCTCGAATGCTGCGCAGTACGGGTCGCCGGCCCAGTCGCATCTTCTTGCTGACTCTCTGTTTCAAGTGCCGAGGGCTCCGTGGGTTCCTCAGCCGTTACGGTCTGCGGCTCTGAGGCCAGCTCAGCACCCTCCTCGACGCCGCCAGCGCGGGGATAAGACTGGCCCTCCGTGCCATGCTCGGCCTCGTGATGCTCAACGCCATTTTGCTCTTCTTCGTGCGCCGGGCTATAGTCTAAAGTCTCGGCCAAGGGCTCTGCAGATGCTGATGGTATTTCGTGGTCGTCGTGGGCTACTCCGATATCATGGACGCTGTTTGGCATCAAAGCCGGATTCCATGAGGAGGTGAGCGGCTCGCTAGCCATGATCAATTGAAGGTCGAAAGGAACGAGTCCTCGCCAGCAAGGCGCGAAACAGAATCTAGTTTACTGACCAAATGTGTTAGCAGACAGAGCACAATGCAGACTGCGCAACCAAGATCGGATATCAGACTCGTTATTGATATCTCGAGGTGCGCGCGAGGACACGAGAAGTATCAGCGGTACCTTATACAGAAGCGAATCGAATCGAAAGCGCAGATGGTGGATGCTTTAAATGGAGATCATGTTCGGGAGCAAGGGTAGCATGAAAAAACACGGCTATCAACGAAGCAGGCCTTGGATGGGAAGAACGACAAGGGCCAGTTGGCACGTATTACTTGGAGAAGCAGATCAGGAGAAGAAGCGAGCAGAGCACAGAGCACGGGCGTCCAGCAGGTACCGAGTACCTCTGCGCTAGCGGCGTAGTGGGAAAATGCTCGCCTACAAGGCCGTGGTGCAATGTGTTCGTTACTGGACGGCGAAGCCTAATGTCACATTCCGTCATCCAGCAAACCGATGACCTTGAGGACGCCGAGGCTTAGCCGGCGCAACATGCCACCTTCGACGAGCGTGTCGACGCGGCGGAGGAATGTTGAGACTGCTGAGTCGAGTTGCCTTTTACTAGGGTTACCAAGTATACTTTCATCTACAGTCTGGTCCTTCATTGAAACGGACAATGTTATTCACCGTGGCAGCGGCGTTGAGAGCCGAATGTGCTGAATATGGATTCCCATGCAGACACTAGCAGTTCCCAGGTCAGACCACACACAAAGGTACAGAGCTCAGTCTTACGCACATGGCCTTTCTGATATCGTCAGCCTCGTGTGGTTACCGACTTGCTGAGGCCATGTGTCTTTCTTCACCGCGTTAGCTTTCATCCTCGCCATCACCCTGTACCAGATATCTGTCCATTTCATGTCGTCGTAAAAACAAAGCTTTGGCCCTCCATGAGTCAACCGGCAAAGCCCCGCGATTCACCGGCTGTCTACCTGCATTCACTATACGCCATCCCTGTGCCACGGGAACGATCCCCGCAGTAGCTTTAGATGCGACAGCCTTCTTCAGGAAGGTCTTATTGGCGAAGGCAGTGATTCGGTCCAGTCGGTGCTGCCATCGCAAGTCGCCTGCAGGATACAGGTCGTACGGCCATGTCTGGATGCAGCATTTGGATGCGGGCACATGCGCAAGCAAAGTACCTGAAGAGGGCACTCATGTTGGCCGCTGCGTGCTTGTAGATGATGACACGTACGCCGTAACTTTAATGATGGTAGATACATACCTAGGTACTGTAGACAGAATATTCTTCATGTGATGAGCTTAGTTTACGGCTCCTGCTATTCATGTTTTGCGCTGCTTTAGACGAGAGTTGCTTGGAGTCGCAATTCCTTAGTAGTGACAACCAGCTGCCGAGTGCCTACTACTATAGTAGTACACATACCTATACCTTACCATTGCCAAATGCTCTCTGTAAACTCTCAGGATCAGTCAAACTTCCAAACTATCCTTTCATATACCCGCGCTTCAGGCCTTCAGGCACCCATCTTCATCATGTGATGGCGGCTTCGGCTTCTGCACATGTACGGTTGTAGCATCTATGCATGCACATGGATGCATCGCTACCTATGCTTCGTCTTCAATGCTTACCTACGCAGCTCCAGCGATCGCTAGGCACGATTCGTAGCGCACGTGTGGCTGCGTCGGCGCCCCACCAAGGCACTGATGCGACCGAGTCCCCTGGCTCCGGGAATTAGCGCGGAGCCTTACGTATCCCTTGTGTTTGTTACAGACTTGACACAGCCAACCAGCACCGGCGCTGGCTCCCTCTCGAGCTGCAACGAACAGACAGCTTGAGCAGCCATTGTTTTTGAAAGAACAAGATACACTTTTGGCTCATAGATTCCGCTGCTGAAGCGTACACCAACAGCTGTTATCATATACGGCCCGTTTGGGCAATCTTGGAGGGCATCTGGCAGACCGAATAATGCTTCCCACCGCATTCGCCCATCGACCGTCATAATCTGTTCGCACGTTCTGGGAGCCTGCTCAATTCGCCGATTTCTTGCTCGAGTGTGCAGCATGAGCATCCGGCCACAGCGGCAGCTTTCGCAGAACGTTACACACTACTGAGGCCCCGAAACCAGCTTGAGGCGGGATGCCTCCTTCACCTTCATACCAGCCGCCCGAGTCTCCGTCCAACGATTCCGACTCCGACCTCGACCTCGACATCCAAGAGCTCGACCCCATTTCAACGGAGCCAGCTCGAGAGCTGCAGCAAAATCACCCGGCTGAAGAACGGAGAGCATCAAGGATAGCTCTAAGGAACTTGCGTATGGGTGGGCTGCGGCGCACAAAGCGAGATAGTGGATATGGAGACCTCGGTCGGAATCGCCAAGACTCAGACGATCTTGAGCAACAAAACTTAATAGGGGACCACGATGAAGCTCGGCATCCATGGTCAGAAGCCGGCGGGAGCGGAGAGGATGATGCGCCGTTGCTGGGAGATCAGGGTTCGCCGAGTCGAAGACCACCATCAACTGGGCGCTTTGGCTTCATACGTCGACTGGTGCCAAGCTTTTTGTCACGGAAGAAGCCCGATGTCAAGGAACCAGAAGAGCAGGAAGAAGACGACCCGTTATCTGCAAGAATGATTGCAGTGGGCTCCATCCAAACCTCTCGATTCCCGACTAACATTATTTCCAATGCCAAATACACGGCGTTTACCTTTCTTCCTGTTACTCTGTACAACGAGTTTTCATTCTTCTTCAACATGTATTTCTTGCTGGTCGCATTATCACAGATAATACCAGCCCTTCGAATCGGTTATCTGTCAACCTATATTGCTCCCCTGGCTTTTGTTCTTTGCATTACTATGGGGAAGGAGGCATACGACGATATTGATAGACGGAGAAGGGATAACGAGGCAAACTCAGAGGAGTACCATGTACTACGATTTTCAGAACCGGGGAATTTCACCAGAAATAGTAAGCCGCGCAGGCCGTTAAAGTCAGAAACGATCAGGCGCAAGCCTCGAAAAGTACAAAGCGAACGTCATGACCTCACCGATATCCAGGAGGATAATGAGGATGGAGATCAGCCAACTTCCGTTGTTGAAGAAATAAGCCGCAAGTCAAAAGACCTGCGAGTTGGAGACGTTCTCAAACTCACCAAAGGGCAGCGAGTTCCGGCTGATGTGGTAATCTTGCAATGTCACTCTACTGAGGGGACTACAACGAACCCATCAGCGGACGAACCCACCGAGCCAGAGGAGGAAGAGACGTTGCTTGCATTTGAAGAGGGAGAATCTAGCTCTAGCGCCAAAGGAAAAGCACCTGAGCAAACACCCTCCCAGAACGATCATGCAAACAGCGGTCCTTCCGGGGAAACATTCATCAGAACTGACCAGCTGGATGGAGAGACGGATTGGAAACTCAGATTAGCTTCACCGCTGACCCAAAGTATTGCTCTGGAAGAATTTGTCCGCCTTCGCATAACAGCTGGCAAACCCGACAAGAAAGTCAACGAATTCGTCGGGACGGTTGAGCTGATGCCATCTAGGCAGGCTGCGACCAGCCAGCAAGCTCTGGCCGACAATGAGGGCAGCAGCGATTCCAAGTCGGCTGCGCTCTCTATCGACAATACGGCTTGGGCGAACACTGTTATTGCATCTCAGGGCACCACCTTTGCAGCCATACTATATACTGGTCCGCAAACTCGATCTGCATTGTCTACTTCTCCCTCCCGATCAAAAACTGGACTTTTGGAATATGAGATCAACTCGTTGACAAAGATTCTTTGCGCTCTCACGCTTGCCCTGTCTGTCATACTGGTGGCTTTGGAAGGCTTTGAAAAGAGTGGCGAAAACGCCTGGTACATCAAAATTATGCGATTTTTGGTCTTGTTCTCAACCATCGTTCCGATCAGTCTCCGAGTGAATCTGGATATGGGCAAAAGCGCATTTTCGCGGTTCATACAGCGAGATAAAGGTATCCCAGGGGCGGTAGTTCGCACAAGCACCATCCCAGAAGACTTGGGGCGAATTGAGTATCTATTGAGCGACAAAACTGGCACACTGACTCAGAATGACATGGAAATGAAGAAGATTCACATCGGAACAGTTTCATATGCCAACGAAGCCATGGACGAAGTCCAGTCATATGTTCGCCAGGCCTTTTATATCCAGCCCACCACTGATCCTGCGTCTCAGAGCGTTCTCATTACTCCATCTTCCGCCATGTCCAACACGGTCAACATAGGAGCCACCCGTACACGGCGCGAAATTGGTTCACGTGTGCGAGACGCTGTCCTTGCGCTCGCGCTTTGCCACAATGTGACACCAACATCAGAGATCGAAGACGGCCAAGAGGTGACCTCGTATCAGGCGTCTTCTCCAGACGAGATTGCAATTGTTCGATGGACCGAGTCTGTAGGCCTCAAGCTGTCATACCGTGACCGCAAAGGAATGATGCTAGAATCGACTGAGACTGGAAGGCCTGTTGTCCGTGTACGAATCCTTGATGTTTTCCCATTTACATCCGAAGGCAAGCGCATGGGAATCGTCGTTCAGTTTCTCGAAAACGTGCACGATACCAACCCCGGCCTTGGCGACGGCGAGGTCTGGTTCTATCAAAAGGGTGCAGACACCGTCATGAGCCCGATTGTGGCGGCAAACGACTGGCTTGACGAAGAGACAGCTAACATGGCGCGCGAGGGCTTGCGTACTCTTGTTGTTGGGCGGAAGAAGCTCTCACATCAGCAGTACCAAGAGTTCGCTTCTCAGTACCACGAGGCTTCCCTTTCCATAACAGGACGAGATGCGGGAATGCAGCGGGTTGTCTCGCGCTACCTCGAGAGCGACCTGGAACTGCTGGGCGTGACGGGTGTGGAGGATAAGCTGCAAAAAGACGTCAAGCCCTCGCTGGAACTGCTGCGAAACGCTGGTATCAAAATCTGGATGCTCACCGGTGACAAAGTCGAGACGGCAAGATGCGTGGCCATCAGCTCGAAGTTGGTCGCACGAGGCCAATACATCTACACTGTCGCAAAGCTCAACAGAAAGGACAATGCCCAGGAGCATCTGGATTTCCTGCGAAGCAAAACAGATGCCTGCCTGCTGATTGATGGAGAGAGTCTTGCATTGTTCTTGACTCACTTCCGCCTCGAGTTTATTTCCATTGCCGTTATGCTACCCACTGTGGTTGCCTGTCGATGCTCACCCACACAGAAAGCTGAGGTGGCGAAGCTCATCCGCGAGTACACGAAGAAGCGGGTTTGCTGTATCGGTGATGGTGGCAATGACGTTTCCATGATTCAGGCCGCCGACGTTGGAGTTGGTATCGTTGGTAAGGAGGGCCGGCAGGCTAGTTTGGCGGCCGACTTTTCTATCGAGCAGTTCTGCCATTTGGTCAAGTTGCTGGTTTGGCATGGGCGAAACAGCTACAATCGCAGTGCAAAACTAGCCCAGTTTGTCATTCATCGTGGTCTGATTATTGCGGTTTGCCAAACTATGTATAGTATAGCGTTGAAGTTTCAGCCCGAAGGATTGTACAAGGTATGTAGAGGCGTCTGTTTTTTACTTGCCTCTTTTATTTCTTAGTTCTGCTGCTAACGTGGGATAGAATTGGTTAATGGTTGGTTATGCCACAGTCTACACTGCGGCCCCCGTCCTATCACTCGTACTAGACAAAGATGTGGATGAAGACCTGGCAAACCTGTACCCCGAGCTTTACAAGGAGCTCACTTCTGGCGCTTCTCTGTCCTACCGTACATTCTTCGTCTGGGTATTCGTGTCAGTCTACCAGGGCGGCATGATCCAGGGCCTCTCACAAATCCTCACAGAAGTTGACGGCCCAAGAATGGTTTCCGTCAGCTACACGGTCCTAGTGCTCAATGAGCTTCTGATGGTGGCCATTGAGATCACGACGTGGCACCCTATCATGATTTTCAGCATTGTGGGGACGTTTATCTTTTATATTGGATCGCTGCCGTTTTTGGGAGACTATTTCGACCTCGCATTTATAATTACTTGGTATGTTTTCTTCATCTCTTGTTGGAGTAAGAATAACAGCTAATTTTTCTACTTTTCAAAGGGGATTTGTTTGGCGCGTGTTGGCTATCGGATCCATTTCTTTGATCCCACCGTATGCAGGAAAGTTAATCAGGAGGACGATGAAGCCGCCTTCGTATAGAAAGGTGCAGAACAGGTGATTTTTTTTATTTTTCTTTCTTACTTCTCTTTTAGTCCTTGGTTTTAAATTCGTAAAAAGCGAAGAGGAGGATGTGGCGTATTGGCGACTGAGCGATTTTCTTGTTATGCGTTGCAATGTAGTAGGCACATAGATGGTTATCGTTGTTGGTGTTGTTATGTTGTTATTTCAGACGAAGAAGAAATTCGAAGATTCAATACACTCAATTCTCGACACTTTGTGATCCTGGTGTATAAATGCATATCTATCTATGAGTGTACATGTCTTGGGCTTGGCCATTTTATAATCCCCTTTCATACATTTGACTCTATATTACGACATCACTACAACTTCAGAACGAGCCATTCGTTTGCAAGGCTCGGATACTTTCTCTGAAGCTGTGCTGCTACGCCCCCTACCGGCCCCTGAATCTGCTGTCCTCCAAGCCACGTCTTCGGTCCCGCGTAGTGAGCAACAAAGCCATCAGGGCCGGAAACCACAAAGAGATTTTTCCCAGCTCCAGCGCCGCATTTGCAGTCATCTGCTGCTGCAGGAGTCTCGAATTCGGGTGCCAGTTTCAGCGCTGACGAGTCGTGCAGACGGCATCCAGGAGTGGCGATGGGTGAGACGCCTTGTTGGTCCCCTGATGTGATGGCTTTTTGAAGATCCGGTTCACGGAAATGTGTTTGTTCGTCGTCAATAGCGACTTGTACGTGCAGCCGGTTGCCGTATATTGACTTCATGGCTTTGAGCTGCCGCGCCACAGGGCTGGGGTCTTGTAGCTGAGAATCCAACTCCACCAACTGGCTACTATCTGCAGACCAAAATTGCCACCACGATGACCGTTTTCTCGGTGGGCCACTACCACGCTGTAGCTCTTCTCTCTTTCTGATTGCCCAGAGGATATCCACCCGTGTTTCCGGGCTTTTATCTAACACTGCCTGGGCGACTTGCATTGCTGGGGCGACGCCTGTCCCGCCAGCCAGGAAAACGACTTTCTTCCTGTTGCCGAGTCGTGCCAAGACGTCGAATCCTACATGCGGTCCTCGTAGCCAGACATCGTGACCTACGCGAAGACGGCTAAGATAGTGGGACATTTCGCCGCCTCCTATGGCGCGCACGTAGAATCTGAGGCTTCCATCTGAAGGATCCTCGCCATCGAGAGGCGGGAGTGGCGTGTAGTGGCGGGCGATTTGGACTTGAGGCTGCTTGAACTCGACAGACCATTGGGGGTAGCGCCATGAAGATGTGCCGGGGGTGAGATATGGCAGCGAAGGGTTATGGTGCTGAGGCGAGATTGTGAAGACGAATGATGTGGGGGAGACGGCTTCGCGAGAAGTGATTGTGTAAGGGGCGAAGTAGTCGGCGTTGAGAAGCGTGGGTTTGGAAGACGTGGTGGAGTAGTAGATGATGGAGCCGCCGAGGATGGCGGTGGTGATGAGAATAGGGAGAGTTTTTGATCGTTTGGGGGGAGATTTAGAGGTGGCTGTGGCGTATTGTCGAGAACAGTATTGTATGGATGAGGGCGTTGCTGTTCTTGTTGAGATGGCTTTTGTGAGAGGAGCTTTGTGAAGCCTTGCCGCCCAGACGGCTCCCCGGCTTGACATTTTTGGGGACTTTGCGAGTTGAATTGAGGAGATGAAACAGGAATAGAACGAGTTAATTTGAGAAAGAAATAAAAACACCGATGCTAATCAAATACAATGGAGCAGACTTCAATGATAGAATGTTGCTTAAAAAGGTATTGTCACAAGTGTATAAGAGAGAAAAAAGCGCCAACAAAGGTTGAAGGCGAGTCACGTGCTCCCATATAAATCGCCAACTCAGTATAGCAGAACCAAGCTTCAATTTCCAAACTCATAGAATGCTTCTCCCCTAAGTATACAGAGAACAAAAAGCAAAAACACCATTTCGCCATTTCTCCATCAATTTTTTACAATCTGAAAATCAACAAAACCCATCCCATCACTCCCCTTAAAGAAACAGATAGACAAGACACTCAAGCAATCGAAATCTCCAAGCTGTTGGACTCATACTGGCCCGAAAACTCGTCCGGGTTCGAAACATCATCCCAGTCCGCCTCGTCGATATCCTCCGCGCGGCGCCTCCAGACGGACATCCACTGACCGCTCAGCTTCACCGTCGCCGACGAGCCCAGACGCCGCAGCGGCACCGGGTCGCGGAGGACAATCTCGGCCGTCTGGCTCTCGCCCGGGCCGAGTGTCACCATCGTCTCCTTTGGCGGGGGCCAGGCGCGCTTGAGGCGGATCGTTGGGTAGTCGAGCGGCGCGTTGATGCTGCTGCCGCTGCTGTCGCTGTCGGAGCTGGAGGAGCCGGAGCCCGGGTAGATGGCGAGGTTGCCCAGCTCGAGGATCAGCTGGTCAAAGGGCGACTGGTATTCGGCGATGGTGACGAGGTGCGCGTTGTTGTTCTTGACGGTGGCGATGATGGTTGGCGGCGAGGCCTTGGTCTGGGTGATGGAGACTTTGAGTCCGTTGAGGGGATCTGCTGAGGCCATCCTGTCTGTCTGTTGCCTGGCGGCTTGTTTCCGATTTAGATCTTTTGCTTCTCCCCCCTTTATCTCTGCAACAATGGTTTTCTTCTGAAAAGAGAGCAGGAAAGATAAAGGCGAATGAATTGATCTTTTAATCTAAGTAAGAGAAAGCGGAAGCGTCAAAGGCCGTTTTTGGCGTGACTCGCGACTCAACTCCGGATCCGGCAAGCAAGAAGGAAAAAAAAAAGGGAGCTATTCACAGTATCACGAGTATGGGACCAACTTCCTTACACAGGGACGCGCTTCGTGGGTCCCCCTCACCATTCATATACTCGCGGCGTTCCGAACAAATCCAAAGCTCGGGTGGCCCGACTGTTATAGTATAAGCAGCGTCGGTGCGGTCTCACACACACAACTCGCCGACTCATGCAGTCATCAAGCCAGACGCATGGACACAAGGTGGGTCGAGAGGAACAAGCATGGTTTGATTCTCAGACACTAGCACAGACAAAGTCAGTCGGTCGGTAACACGACCAGCGATGATGGGTAATTGTCATCGTATGGGAATGCCCTCCATGTTCCCCCCTCGTAAGCCAGCCAGTGGTTCACGCTGCAACAACTCGGCACTTGTAAGACGCCCACTTTGAGTCGGATGGATTCTGGCAAGAGCGGCAAGGCATGCAACAGACATGGGGCGGGCGGCTATAGTGGCCCATGGGCTTCTTGTGGCGGGATTCATTCAGGATCCCTCGCCATTAGCTGGGCAAAACTGGGGTAAACCGTAAATCACATGCGAATCGATTAGATTAAATTGGCGACCACAAGCTGCCTAACCCAGGCAGTTGTCCGAGCATGTTGCCGATCCGTCCAACGCCGGAATGGGATGTATGTATGTACCTCTGCTGATGGCTGCAGGTCCCGATGTCTCTGGTTCCGAGCACTTACACGCAGCAGCTCCGTCACTTTGTCTCTCTTGCTCAGCTGGTCATCTTTTTGTGTCTGGTCATGAATCATCTAGACTATATCATCTATCTAATTTGAGATTTGTGCTACTAACAAATATATCCCATTATCCAGCTGATGTCCTCCTTCTGTCTCACCATCTCCGTCATAGACCATCATCTACAACCTCAATATCCGCCTCTGTGCATCAATCCCTCCCCGAAACTTGTCCTCCACCACCCGTCCCTGCATCACCGTCTCCCGCACAAGTCCCTCCACATGTTTCGGCTCTACCCTCCCGTACCAGACCCCGCATCCCGCCAAAGCATGCTGCTCGCCCTTGTCATTCGTAAATCCAGGCGGGACATAGATAATCACGTTGCCGGCAAACTTGTGGCCTCCAATATGGCTAATCAGTCCAACTCTCGCCACTTTCTTCTCCGGGCTGCTGCTCCCTTCTATCCTCTTCACCTCCTCGCCATCCAGGCTCCCAACCTGAACCGCCTCCTTGGCAACGTGGAAGCCTTCCATCTCAAGCTTCTCTTCAAACTCTGTCCTTAGCACAGGCCCCATTGTGCCGCATCGTAAATCTCGTCCTCCGTGGCCGCATATCAGCACCAGCACGTCCTTGACGTCCTGCACGCCGGGTAACAGGCCCTGAAATGCCTCCTTTCGCGTAAGTCGATCGCGGTGCACGGGAGACAGTCCGTCGTGGGCGCTGTGCAGCTTTTCAGGCAGTAAGAAGCCCTTTGCGAGGGCCTTGACGCTGTCGAAGGACACACGCGGTAGAAATGGGACGTATTTGAAGGACGGTAGTAGGTAGGCGGACGTCGACTGGATTGCCTTTCGGGGAGGCACCGAGCTCGGAAACGAAGAATTGATGACAGAAATGTGGTGAAACGGCTGTTTTGTACGCAATTCATTAGCCCTGTAGCTTCAGCCCATAAGCTCCCAGCTTCCAGTTTCACTTCACTTACATCCGTATACTTCCCCCCTCGTCCAAAAAGCTCCTTCAAATCAGCCGCCAAATTATCACCACTATTCTCATCCTCAATCTTAGACAGCCAGTCGTCCTTGTCCGTACACACCACCACATGCTCCGCATACCCAGCCATGACGCCATTCAGCGGGTTCTGGTGGTCAATCTCCAGCCCGTCTGGCATCGCCGGCGTGTCGGCGCATCCGCATGTCGGCGACGGACAGCTGGGCACGACGGGAAATGGAGGCGGCCGCGCAGACCTTGTGGCGATGCTTCTTCGGCTTGCGATTATCGCTGCTGGGACCAGGCGGTTGTTGGTACGAGATATCCAAACACTATAGACTTGAGACTGGATCTGAAGCTGATGAAGCGACGATGGCAGCAGCTTCAACGGCCGGTGGAGAGGTATCCGCAATGACATACTGACGAGAAGTGGCATAGACGGATGCCAGCGCTCGACATGTTTCTATGCTATGATTGAATCTAGAAGAAGATAAAATTCTAACAAGGCGGTAATTCGGCATGTACAAGTCACGACGGGCTCGCAGTGGTGATAGCACTAACCCCGACGCTCTCCATTGGCAATGCAAGGATCATCAAAAGACGGCGAATGGGAACGGGTCAGTAGTAATCGCTACATTGAGAGTTGCAAGAATCTCGGAGACCGAGATGCGGGCTTTTGGGCATTTTCTTGCCTCTGCCCGGCAGCAGAAATCCCCACCACGGAACGGCCCCATGGCGCTAAGCTGGCAGTGGCGGGTTTTCTGCATCATGTAAAGCACCATGAAGATGAAGTATCAAATGCCTTGACAATGGTAGTGAAAAGGCATAACAAGGTACCCGTAATATGTAGTAGTATTAGTTAAAAACAATATGCCGTAAATGTCGCTACCACCATCTTATCTTTCCCCCCTCTCTCAATATCTGTCTGTACGGAAATCTCTATATGAAATCACCCATGCCTAAATACACAATACAGAAAATATGTCCTCCTCTCTATACAATAAATTCCTTGCAATCTGAAAGTAATCCCGAATCAATGCCTTTCGTCCAATTTGCTATCCCAATGCCTAAACGAAAACACGAATAAAAGAGACAAAGGAAATAAAAGTTGGGATAAATACCCACCACCTTCTGCGCTTCTCACTCTCTCCAACTTCCCCATATCTCTCACCATCCGGCGTCAGGTTCAGGCTTAGTTGCCTCTTCGGTCGCAGTATCCGGGGAGCTTGGGCTCGGAGTTGGCCCAGCTCATAACGGTCAAGCTAGTAGTGTAAACCATGGCAATAAGGCCAAAGATGCACAGCGCAATATCGGAGTATTTCCAATACCTGTTTCGTGCGACTCCCTTGTAGTGGAGCAGGGGCTATGATAGACAAAGTCAGTATATTGTGCATTTGATATAGGGTGATAGAAGGGAAAGTGAAGGAAAAAGGGCTTCTTACAGGATAGATGTAGACCAAGGGGATACAGGCAAAGTTGCCCACCAAAGCCACAAACTTGTCCAGGTTGTCGGCGCCACCCCAGGCAATGCCAGCACACATGGCCACCAAGAAGAACCGGAAGATGTTCTTCTGCCACTTGATCCAGGGGTTGTACTTGCCACTCCTCGTAAACAGCGCGGTCTCGGCAATACGAATAGCAGGGAAGATTTGCAGCGGAGTGGATAGCAAAATGGCCATCGAGTAGAGGAGCTGCACGCTGTTGACCATGCGGTTATCCTGCGGCAGGTTGAGGAGGACAACAGTTTGCGTCTCGGATCCGTACGCAGCGTAGGAAATGGCGCCCATGACAGTGAAGAGGACAGTGATGATAATCATAACAAGAAACATGACCCTGGGGAACTTTTCGGGCTGCTTCATCGATTCCTGGATGGGGATAATGAGACCAATACCCTCGAAAGTAAAAATGGCTGTACCAATGAAGAGCGTCCAGTCCTTCTGGTTGAACATGATGATGTCGGCGAGACCATTAGCGGCGAGCGTCAACACATCGTAGTAGAAGAGATACGCGAGTCCTATCAGAATAAAGGCATCCGCAATCAGAGCTGTAAAGCCGAGCTTGCCAATGTCTCGGATGAGAGAGAGCGGCAAGAAGACAATCATCTGCAAGAAAATCAACACTGGAATACTAACAGACTTCTGGCAGTCTGTCACGGCCAAGATGAAGGCTTGCAAGTTCTCCGATGTAAAGACGATGTAGGCGGCGACAAATCCAATCTGGCTGAGAACAATCGACGCAAGGATGACGGCTCGCATCCATTTTCCATATAGAATACCGCCCATGTCACCAAACGAACCCTCGACATTCAGTCGTGTCGTAACCAGCAAAACAAAGCAGTAGTAGCTTAGAATCGCCACACCAATGAGGACAAGGTTGCTGAACATCATACCACCATTGAGGTATGCACGCGGCAAGAACAAGACACCAGTTCCGACAAAGGACTTGAGCAGCAGCAGAGCAGCGTTCATCTGGGTGTTCTGGCCGCTGCCGCCACGGACCTTTCTCCTGCGCTTCTTTTTCGAGGGGCCAAGCAGAGCACTATCCTCCATTGGTTCTTCGTCTTCTTCTTCTTCGTTATCCTCGCCAGATCCAAAGTATTCGTTGGGGCCGAGAGCCTCGTCGTCTTCTTCCAACTCTTCACCGGCAAAGTGGCCATAGATGGACAAGAATTCTAAGAAGCTTGATGTAAAGAGGGGTCGCTGATTGCTGCCCGGGGAGTCAATTCCTCCATAGCCATCTTCGTGGTGTCCAGACGGGCTGATGACGTTTCTCCTGAGATGATTCCTTCGGAAGCCTCCTGGCACTTTGATGGAGTTGATGTCAAGGGTCTCGCTTTCAGGTTCGGGTCTTGAGTAGTCAAAACTCTTGCTGCGCTGCATCCTCGTCTTGGCCTCTGCCTGTTCAGCCCATTTGTAGATTCCCCGTGTTACATCACCGCCTTGCAGACGCAGACTCGAGAATTCCTCCTCACTCAGGCCAGTAGTACCAGCCCCGGCATCGGCTGCCTGTTTGCCCTTGCCAGTCTCTGAAGAGGCCTCTGACGTGGGATTATCCATTTCACTGGGCTGCACCAAATGCCTCCTGACAATTTCCGGGTCTTCGTAGGGCCCGGTGCTCTCCGCCCCGATGCGGCTTCTCGAGTCAAAGGAGCCATAATTTGTCGGTGTAGCAGAGCGGCCTCTTCCGGGAGATAACGGCCGGACCGGCGGTGTGCTGACGCGGGCTGGAGGAGTGCCGTGTCGCGGCGGCGTTTGTCCCAGGGAGTCGGACAAGGCGGCAGCCAGAGCTGACACGCCAGGGCCTTGGGCAAACGCTGGACTATCGCCGCCTTCAGGCTTTGCGAATCCCGGACGAGGCGAACCGCTTCTCATGGGCGATCCAGCCCGGACTGGCTCGGCAAGTCTCGCGGTAAGCTCTTCTCGGGGCACTGACGACGAGAATGGCCGATGCTGGGAGAGGCTGGGCGAATGAGATCTCGCAATGTCCTGCGGTATCCCGCTTCTTGACGGCGAAGACATGATTGCTGTGATATTCAAGCTTGTTCTAGCTCAGGTCTGGTCTCCTATCGCATATCGAGTCTGATACAAAAGATACGTATCGATGCTTTGCGTTGAAAAGCGTCGGGCAAATCGAAAGGATGCGAACCGCGCGAGGGAGACTCGGTGACAAACAAACACGGGAAGATTAGCGATAAGGCGCCAGCGGTGTTCAAGGTCGAGACTCGTGAAAAGAGTCGATGTTTTGAGGCTGCTTTGTCTGCCTCTGCCGATGCTGCTTCAATTGGGAGTTTCTGGAAGAGGAGAAGGGACAAACGGCTGAAAGATGATGGAGGATGAAAGAGAGTGAAAGCTAATCTGCCCGGGTCTCTTTGGCCGAAGCTACGAGAGTGCGTGCCTGTTCCCAAAAGGTCCTGCACTAATGACGGACGAGGCCGCGCTAAGGCAGCTCAGGTAGCAAGGTACTTATGTGCTCACCCAGCGCCGGCGCCAAACCAGGTACTCTGTACGATCAGCACCTTGCAGTCGTCAGGGCTCCAGCCTGCGCCAGGCCACGCAGTGGCGGCTCCGGTCTGGTGACTGTATTAGGGGACCACACGTACTGGGGACTACTAGGGAGACATGCTAGGGGGGCTTAGTAGTGGGCCTCCGGCGGCTAAGGTCCGCTATGACAGCAAGAGATCTGCTCGATTGCAGGCTGGACTGTTATTGAACAGCTAGCACGGGGCAGCGCTTGAAGGGGCAGTTGAGATAGGGCTTGCATGCATACAACACACATTTGATATTGATATACAACGCTGCACTATAATACGACGACTTTCAGCCAATCCATCCAGCACGCAAGCACTGCCGCACGAATTACATGATTTGACTCATCGATATCAAACGAAGAGGGAAAAAGGCGGGCACCACGCTTTACTCTGGGTGTGGAGGGGTTCGTTTCTCAAGGGCCCTCGGTCGACAATCCGTCAGCTCAGACAGCAGATGGACTTATAAGACACCCGAATTAAATTCAGAGAGCAGACAACTTGTTTTTGGCGGGCAAAGTTGGTTTCCTAGCCATTTGTTTGCAGTCAAATAAACATTATAAGAATACTTTACAAGTACTCAGATGCCAAGATGTCAATCAATACAAAAAACTGTCCCGCATCTACTGGTTGGGATGAAGATACATGTCTCGAAGCTTATCAGCACCTGTGAAGAGTGACGGCCGATAACGGGAATACGAGATACGCAGGCGGCAGATCTGATTCGCCCGGCCTCATATCAGAACGATTCGAGATATTACGTGATCTAAGACCCTGAAAGAGACTGTTTCAGTTCTTGTGATTTATTCTCCCTCATCTTACATATATGTGACGCCGTGCCCAGTCCGATATAGATAGCACTGACACACGAGACTCGCTCGTACAGAGTACCCGATATCTGCTGTGCTTGCTACCGGTGATGTGCATGTTACCACGAGTATCACCAAAGCAGCCACACATATGAACATACCATGCATGCAATCTCCTGTCAACCGCCAAAAGTTTAGACATCAAAGTCCAGCCCCAAGACCACGCCTCCGGATAAGAGCGGGACAGAACATGGCCCTAATTGGATGGCGGCGATGACACCGAACGCCCGTTGTCTGCGCACAGCGCAGACAAACTCCCAGCGGCTGGTCACCAGCTTTATCATGAGGCTGACCACGCATCCAGATGACTGCTGAACATGAGGCTTGTGGTAGCGCACCGTCCATCCGCATTCTACATCCACCTCTCCCCGCGTCCTTCTCCAGAGGACTCAGATCTCGATACGCATGTCACAAGTGGCCCAGAGAGTAGCAGATATATGATGCACTTGGTCATACAGGGCTTTGAATACCTCTGCCAAATGAACACTGAACACCACGGGACGAGCCGATGCGGCACTAAACAGCGATTGTCCCCCGAATTTCTCCGCGCAGATAGGCCTACCTGAATTTTATATCAAGGTACATGCGTACATACCTGTTCATATACGCTCCTCAGGCGCTTGCTGGTTATTCCAGGGTCCAGTACGCTACGCTTTAGCTGATTGCAAAATCAGAATCAACATCAGCTCTAAGCTGGAAGGATTCGGTATCCCTTGTACTGGGGGTGGCTCGGAATGCCGTCATGGCGCGTGATATCGCCTAGAGGCGGGGCAGCCAGAGGGATCGCCACGCATATGCCTGGCAGTTCTCGGAGGCTTCTCTGTGTCGAATTATTCATCTGGCTGTAACGGCTTCAGATGAACTGGTTCTTCCTTGAAATAACTAGAAAATAACAGCCGGTGTTGACGGCATATTGCAGCCCTATCATCGACGATAGCACGTCGTGACCATCTTTTACGGCGGCAATTATCAGACGTTGAGAGGCATAAACCGCCCACGAATCACACTCTTCATGTCCCGCAAAGACCGGCTGAAGATCGCCTTGCCCATTGCTGGGATGACGACGGTGCTCTACACCACCATCGCGCTACTGCGGAGCCTGCGATTCCCACCTGATCTGTGTGGCTTCTCGCGATAGAGGCCAACGGCGGCCCAGTACTAAGTCTCCATACGAGTTAGTAGCGTTCAACAGGCTTATAATATACCGCTAAAGTGCCGGGTCTTGAAGCTACTAGTAGTAATGATACGATTATGCCGCAAAACGAACCGTTGCGGTGTAAACCACCATGTAGGCAGCGGCACAGATTTGCCCACATACATGTAGCTTAGAAGCTGATTCCAGCTTCCAGGTCCAAGATGGAAAGCATCAATACGCCATCGTACATACAATATCCATAGAACAGAGCCATTATATGTGACAGAGCATGCATGTCCATATGCACAAAATGCATACAAACTTGATTTCGGTAGCAACTCGACTCGGAAAATGTCAGGCATGATGGCGTCGATGGCTCTCCGTGTCTCCTCTCCAGGCCTCTCTTACACGAATCGCCGCTCGCGCTCCCCCAAGCCCCGCCGCTGATCCCAAACCCTTGGCATGACGCCGGCCTTGATTGATTTGCTTCATCTCAAACGGCGTTTAGATGTACAGTTTTAGTATAGTAAAGTTCAGATATTGATATTAACGCCATTGCCCCAAGTGCCGGGCTGTGTACTTTTTTTTTTCCCGATGGCCTCTTTATTCACTTATACCCCGTTGTTGGCCAGAGGTAGCGGAGAATGGTCATAACGCTGTTGTTTTCTTTTTATCTTCTCATCTTCGATTTATAGCACCCAGTCCAGATTCATTCTTCACGTTTTGACCGCTGTTGGATCCTACCCAAGTCATTGTAGCGGGCAAGGCATCAGGGCTGGTTGCACGGTTGGCTGGTTGGCTGGTGGTGGCACTCGGGATATTCCACGCTCGTTGGCAATACTCGCACTCTTGCCACGCAACCTTTTGAGCCTTGCTTTTGAAATCATCTCCCCATGCCTCTTCAAACACCAGAGAGAAAAGGCTCTTTGACAATAGCCATGGAGCCCGTAAAGCCCGCTGGTGGTGCCAGGTTAGGCACCATATCTGGTGTCTACATCCCCGTATACCTCAACATCTTGAGCATCCTCATGTTCCTCCGATTTGGCCAAATACTCGGTCAAGTTGGCTTCATTGGAATTCTAGGTAAGTCGCAAACAAGAACCCAGAATAATTTGCAACGTTCATTTCCAACCCGTCTCGCCATATTAGGTCTTCTCCTCGCCGCCTATTGCATTGATCTGCTTACTGTTCTCTCCCTTTCCGCCATTGCTTCTAATGGAGAAGTCAAGGGCGGCGGTGCTTATTACTTAATCTCCAGGTCTCTCGGCCCCGAGTTTGGCGGCTCTATTGGCATCTTGTTCTATCTAGCTCAAGCTCTAAACACTGCCATGAATGTAGTTGGTCTCATCGACTGCATTCGACTCAACATGGGATCTAATTTTCCTCAAGGATATTGGACTGGCTATGGGCTCCAAACAGCGGCCTTGGTGCTTTGCACATGTCTTTGCTTACTTGGCTCGTCAACTTTCGCAAAGGCATCGAATGCACTGCTCATCATCCTTACCGTGGCTGTCATGAGCATTCCCATATCAGCAATCTTGAAATCTCCGTTTGAGGATGCTGCGGCTGGCGTCAAGTTTACGGGTATCAGTGTTGATACGCTCATTGGAAACTTTGCTCCTCGGGCTTCTGATAGCAGCTACGAAGGCCTCAAGACCTTTCGTGAATTATTCGGCGTTCTCTTCCCGCGAGTACATTCCACTTCTCCTCCGTAGCAGAGCAGATATACTAATATCAGGGATTACAGAGCGACTTCGGGAATATTTGCTGGAGCTTCCATGTCTGGGGATTTGAGAAACCCAAGCAAAGCTATTCCGCATGGAACACTGTGGGCTACTCTTACAACCTTCATCGTGTACTTCACTGTCATTCTCTCCATGGCAGCGGCTACCACTCACGAATCTTTTCTGGCCAACAATAATGTCATCTCCATCACAAACTTATATGCCCCTATTATCTTGGCCGGCGAGTGCGCCGTCACTTTCTTTTCGGCTCTCATGGGAATTATCGGATCAGCCAAGCTGTTCCAAGCGCTCGCCAGGGATAAACTCCTTCCAGGGTTGTCTATCTTTGGAAGAGGAACTAGAGTTGGTGATGAACCAATCTTTGCCATATTCCTAACATATGCCATCGCTCAGGTTGCCCTGTTTGCAGACTTGAACCAAATTGCCACCCTCATCTCTATGGGCTATCAGGTTAGTGCAGGATCTCAAGACCACTGTCCTCTCTACGATTCTCGATACTAAGCAGCTGACGAATGAAAATAGATGACTTTTTTTGTCATGAACTTGGCTTGTTTCCTGTTGAAAATCGGATCTGCTCCCAATTTCAGGCCTGGCTTCCAGCTCTTCAGTGCCGAGACGGCCTTTTTGGGAAGCCTCTTTTCTGCTGTGGCCATGTTCTTTATCGACGAGGCCTACGCTTCAACGGCAATCTGTGCTCTCATATTAGTATTCTTGCTGATTCATTACCTATGCCCGCCCAAACACTGGGGAGATGTCTCACAGAATCTCATCTACCACCAAGTGAGGAAATATTTGCTAAGACTGAAGCCCGAACACATCAAGTTTTGGAGGCCACAAATCATACTCCTTGTCAACAACCCACGGCGGCAGACGAGGTTGATTCAGTTTTGCAATTCATTAAAAAAAGGCTCCCTTTACATCCTCGGTCATGTCATCGTAACAGACGACTTCAACACGGGAGTCCACGAGGCGAAACTGCAGCAACAGGCTTGGACACGCTACATATCCGAGTTTTCTAGGATCAAGGCCTTTGTTCAGCTGACCATGTCGCCTTCGATTAACTGGGGCATCCGAAATCTCATCTTATCCTCTGGCCTCGGAGGCATGCGACCCAATATTGCAGTCCTGGGATTTTACAACATGGAAGATCTACGAAGATCCAGTCATAGGCTACGGGTACCAGACATCCCAATGGCCCCAGCTTCCAAAATGAACCGTCCGCCAAAATCTCAGAGAGCCTATACACGAAACCGTGGCGATACGTCCGCACGTTTGATGGAAGGCTTCTTACCGACTGACGCAATTCGTACGGAGGATATGATGTCTCCCACGGAGTACATGACAGCATTGGAGGATTTGACCTTGATGTATCGGTTGAACGTAGCGGTGGCGTACGGATTTGACGGCTTGGAGACGCCTCGAAAAGACGAGGACAACTCGAAAAAGTACATTGACATGTGGCCGATTCAAATGTCCGCTGAAGTTTCATCCGATGGCAAGAATATGCTGACGTCTAATTTTGATACATGTAAGTCTATTCGCATTGCAAGCTGCGACTCCCTATGCATGACTAACATTTGCTAGACACACTCATTCTACAACTAGGCCACATTCTCCGCAGTGTTCACACTTGGAAACAAGCCTATACACTACGTGTCATGGTCTTTGTTGAATACGAAAACGAAGTCGAAGAAGAGTTGGCCCGAGTCCGCGCGCTTCTGGAGAAACTGCGTATCGACGCTGAAGTTCGAGTGTTTTGGCTGGCATGTGGCCAGTTGGACACGTACGAGCGCATCATCAATGGCAAAGGCAGTAGTATAGACTGCGAAATCATTGTTGGCGACGCATTGAGAGACGAAGAATGGTGGAACGACCTGGAAGACCTCCGCGGACAGTCAGAGCCCATGACGAATAGCCAGGAGTTTACGCACCTCGCGCATATCATTACTTCGACCGCTGGACGGCCGGGAGTCTATAATCCGCACGAAGAAACAGAGTCCCGGAGACGACGCTCGAGTGTGCTAGATCTTCCCGGTATGCCCAAGAAACCGAACATTGGCTCTTTGTCGAAGATGGGTATCAACATCGGCATGCACACGCATCATCTGAACGAAGAAGTCTTTGAGGACTCTGATTCAGACTACGAAACAAATAGCGATACAGACTCTTTGAGTACGGTGCGATCCGCTACAGATCCTTTATTGCGCGAATCGTCATCTTCGAATGCCTCACAAGGGCAGCTCTCGCCTCCCGGAATCCGAGGAAATGGCTCTTTTGATACAATCACCGGACATGGATATATGTACTCCAACAACGGCATTCCCTCACTGACTCCATCATATGGCACCATGTCTGGATCTCAGCCGCCTTCCATGGCGCAGCATCGTTACAATTCAGTATTTTCTCCAACGCCGCGACAGGGCGAAGTTGATCTGGACGCGACCCCTCGAGCAAATAACCGACAGAGAAGCAGCTTCAAAATGGAAATCAGGAGCATAGAATCCTTTCCTAATCTAGACCAACTTGCAATGCCCGAAACTCGTCGCAGCAACTACCAGCCAAGCAGCACTGCGACATCCTCAGTCGCCCGATATTCGGGGGACGACGATACTTCAACGCCCCGGCCGAGCATATCGCGGCAGTCGTCCGCCGCTCGCTTCTCAAGCCGGCCTGTTCCAGAGATGAGAATCACAACAGAGGAGGGAAGCTCCCGAATTGGGTTCGCAACTACAAATTCCTCGAGCCCTACGACGCCTAGAATTGACCGTCCATCGTTTTCGCGGCAATCGTCACTGAATGTTCCATCGCAACCGTTACCTCCATCCAGGAGAAATATGGTTGGCGGAGGAGGCCCACGCGCGATTTCCTATCATGAGCAGCCAACGTACTATTCACGCGCGAGCACAACAAAATCCCGTTATCACTCCCGGTCTCGGCGAGAATCTCAATATCCAGACAGCTATGGCCGAGGAGACGTCAGCCTAAATATTCCCGATCTCGTGCAATCGTATAGATCTGGCGCGGAGTTGGGCAACGCAGAAGGCGCCCCATACTCGACACAGGGCATTGCTTTATCTTTCAACGACTTGCCAAGCAGAGCGCAGCATCTGATCCTCAATGAGCTGATGAAACAGAATTCAAAAGAAACGGCTGTTCTCCTCAGCACGCTACCGATCCCCAATGAGGGGACGTATATGAATGTGGACAGCACGATTCAGTATCTGTCGGATGTTGAGCTGCTGTGTCATGACCTTCCGCCGGCGCTTATGGTGTTGAGCAATAACATGACGGTCACTGTGAGCTTATAAAGCGATCTACCTGTGCATTGTAACCAAGTTGCAGCGCAATTACGCCGAAGCATCTTGAAAGAAAGGATACATGTGCCTTTGATTGCTACACGTGTCTAAATGAAAACTAAGGGGATCAGTGTATGCTTGACTGAACTTTTGGGTAACAAGTTGGAAAATGGGGTAAATCTCTTCTTCTGTATATAAATAGCAAATTGTACACAAAACTGTTTCTATGAACAAGATGGCACTGGTGTTCTATTTATATGGTCGGTACCAGAGGTGTGTGCTTGAACAGAAGGAACCCTGTCCCGTTGCTCTTTAAAACCGCGAGAACATACAAAATGAACACAACACTGTTCAATAATACCGCCAGTTCATATAACAAGCAACAGCCCGCTTTTGACCAGAGATTCCACATCCCATCACTCAATAAAATAAAGTCTCGTTACACAAAATAAATCCATCCGCTCTGCAACGCCCCCTAACTTTTCTCCTGAAAATGCGTATCAAACTACCATCAAGATCACACCTCAACTCATTTTCCCCAAAAGAAAAGCCCAAAAAACCCGCCTTAGAAGTTGATACAGACAATCATCCCATAGCAAACCATTACAGACACAATTTCGGCACTTACAAGGCGGAAGCACACCCAATCATCAAGAGTCCTCAGGATCGAGCTCTTTGGCGAAGGGCGGTTTATGTCCCTCATTCTTCCCATTCTCCGCCAACTCCAACAACCTCATCCCCAGATAAGTCTGGATCATCAGCCCAAACACCTCCACAAAGTACTTCCCCGCCTCATCCAGTATGCTTCCTCTGCATGGGATATCTGGGACATGAATACAGCCACACCACTTGTAACTCATGCAAAACAAAGTACGCAGCGCCACCGCACCGTGTTAGTGACGAAGATGAGTATATTGACGACTTCTTTCCTCCCAGCCCTTCTCCGCAAGATGAAACCTCGGATGCACAAATTATATTGCTAGATGGATGCATTGCCAAAGGGAAAAAATCTTGTTTCATAAATGATGCTAATAACTGTGCTACACTTGCGCCACCAAGTCCAAGCTTGACGTGCTCTGATGATGAGTCTGACGGCTGTGTTACACCGGCGTCATGCTCGAGCTCTATGTACTCCCAAGATGAATTCGACATAGGTATCAGACGTCATGAGTTTCTCGTTGGATCAAAGGGGCCTGGTTCAGAAGCACGCTTCACAAGCAGTACGAATAATTGCGTTACGCCCGCGCTGTCAACTTCGAGCTCGGTATACTCTCAGGATGAAGATGAAACAGAAAGAGCAGAAACAGATACGGTTGGTTATTATGAGTTAGATTGTTTCGCTGGTTATTTCGACGATTGTCAACAGTTGAAAGGCGAAGGTTTGGAAGAAAATGTGGAGGAAGACTACAGTTTAGCAATCGATATTTATTTTAAGTAGCGATAAATGGTTAATGTTCGTGGCAAAAGAGAAATCGGTGCGGGCTGTTCGTCCAAAAGTCTTAGCTTTTTATTCATTTGCTCATTTAGCTGCATTTATCTTCTATATCCCCAATGATTTCATTCCTTTTCAAGTTCATAACGTCGTCTATATCAAAAGAAAACCCTATATCTATAATATCCTCTTAACAACCAACTCCCCTTTATTCACTCCCTCTAATTCTATAAAGCCGCCAGCTTCCAGCCTCTTCTTCCATTTATTGCTTTCGTATCGTCCCAGTATCATTGTCAGTCGCAAAAGAACGCCGCTGCTTGAAGCATGCTCTTCTGTGCTCTCAGCGAGAGAGGTAAACGTCCATCGGCCAAACGCCCAGTTCAAAATGTATCGACCGCGCGGGTTAGACTCTGGCTGTGGAACGTCGGGGTCAGAGTTCCTGGGTGTAGATGAAAGGGTAAGGACGGCTTTGATACGATACGCCTCGTCCTTGGGGGCTGATTTGAGAAAATTGAGCAGCTTGTCCGTTGAGACGGCAGTACCGCTGTCGCCTTTGAGCTCGACGGAGAGCACCTCAACCTCGCTCTGGTGGCCGTGGCTATGGCTGTGATTGTGTTTATGAGCATCACCGTTCGTTTGGTGACTGTGCTCGTGGTTGCCATCAACTTCAGCCTCCGTCAGCTCCTTAGCCAGACCCCCGTCAACACCAAATATCAGGCCCATATCAACAAATCCCTTGTCGCTCTTCACCCGCGCCACATCAACATCTAAATCACCCACTCTATCCAAGCACTCTTCATAGCGATCTTCTCCCGCCGTTTCCCACTTATTAAACACAATCAAGTCGGTATAGCGCGCTTGAATCTTGGCCGTGTAGCTTGTATCTTCGTATCCCTTCCAATTCTCAACGTCAATCACGCTGATGACCCCGTCAAGCACGTATTTCCCCGTGTCTCTTGCGATCCGGTTGACTTCCAAGGCCAGAGTTGCCGGGAAAGCAGATCCGCTCGTCTCGATAATAATGCGATCCGGTGCGACAGTCTTTTCGAGTTCAGCCAGCGCGGGGCCGAGTTGGCCTACGAGGTTGCAGCAGATGCATCCGTTGAGAAGCTCTTGCACGCCGGAAATGGCTGAGCTGGACGCCAGCTGGGAGTCAATAGCAAGGTCGCCGAATTCATTCTTTAAAAGGGCGAGCTTATAGGAGGGGTTTTGGGCGCGAAGTTGAGGGATGAGGTTGAGAATGAGGGTTGTCTTTCCGGACCCCAAAAAGCCGGTGATAATAGTGAGAGGAATCGGGGCCATTGTCGCAGAATGGCCTCTATTTGATCAGTTTATATCGAATTGGACAATAAATCAGATACGAAAAGAAGGAAAAGAGAATGGAAGAAGCCAACAATCACACCACAATACACTAGGATGTCATCGGAGAAAATATCTCGGCTTGCAAATCAGATCGATCTAGGAAGAGAGAATGCGACGGCTTAGCTTATCTTATCAGCGCCGTCTCTCAGCGCCTGGATTTCTAGTTGCATCCACCGTAGCAGCGCTATAGCCAGCGCCAACGTTACGCAGATAGGGCCTTGGCCTTGGCCTTGGCCTCTAGTTTAGCGGCCTTGGAAGTCTTCAGCGGCTGTCATGCACACTGATCGCCACGCATGCGCGTGTCTTGTATCTTGACATTGACGTCACATTTCGTAAAAGATCGAAAACGGGCGACTTCGCTATATAAGTCCCAGCCATGACATCCTTTTTGGCGCAAACCTGAGATATCTCAGCCGACATTACAGCTTCCAGTGTTTATGCACGTAATACTATCTCTTTGACTCTGGTCCAGACCAAGTTGAAAAAGCAATCGCCATCATGCACTCGCCATCCAAGAATCAAGACAGCCCACTACAGGCGCAGGAGCAGGAGCAGCTCGACTTCAAGCAGCAGCTCGACCAAAAGGCAGATGAGAGCCGTAATCGCGACAATGGCAATGGAGGAGAATCATTCATCGAATCGGTTGTTCACAAGAGTAAGTTGCTTATTTGAACAGTCTCCATGCTGATGAGTAGCCAGCGATCATCAACACGTGGGAAGAAAATCGCCATGGTCGTATGATTCGCTTCATCTACAGCTTCGTCGCGATCCAGCACTAACATGCCCTCGATAGTTTCACAAGCCATTCCAGCTACAGTGCCTATCCTTGGCGGATCAAATCCAGAGGGCAAGGTGGAAGACGAAGGAGCAGCCGGTCCTCCTAATCGGCCACAGAATGACGTCCAAATCGAGGAGTTTGTGAGGGAGCAGCATCGAAGCAAATTGGTCGGTGAGACTGAGGAGACGAAGTCTTGAAAGAAATGCTGAATCCACGCACATGTTAAGTGGAAATACATTGGTAGATACCCGGTCGTATATACTCGTTTAATCAGATTTGCTTCTTTTCGCTTCAAATAGAGATGCCCACATCGTGATGAGAATTTTGGCTTCACCATCGCAAAATATGCTACCAGGCACTTCTACAAGCCGCTCGCACGCAGCGATCCCGCGCAAATTACGCACAGGAGCTCACGACAAGAGGCAGCCCACGATCTAAGCACGCTGAAGCGATTTAACACGACTAGAAAGCCGTCTACAAAGCAAGCTGGTACAGACTGCACCGACATTCATTCGTTCAGCTTGGGTTCAGCCGCACCTTGGCGTTACACCAAGGGCGCGCACGAAAAAAAAGAGACAAAAGAAAATATCACCGAGCTTGTTTAGAAGCTGGCATGTCCCCCCTTCTTGGCATCTGCCGCCCACAGAATTTTTGTTTCGAAAAACGTAGCGGTAGATTTCCTATATCCAAGGGTTTTACTTTTCTGAGCGTTTCCCAACGAGGGGAAAGGCAACGCAACACCGTGGGTTAGCTAGGTGAGGGTCGTGGCAGCTCAGGTGCTTTTTGATAAAGAAGAAAAAGAAAGAAAAAAAACTAAAAAGTTTGCTTGCGATGGCTGTTTAAATGGGCTGCAGCAATGTGGGGTCGTACTAGGCTGGGTTGATGACTCAGCATTTTTACTACGCAGATTTGCAGACTTGGCAGAGCACTTATGGAGCTGCGAAGACGGGCATGCTCAGATATACTTCTCATGGCCATTGCTGATAAGATAGAGTGAAAGAAAAAGCATGGAAAATTAATTATTCAAATACAGACAATCCATCTAAACAGGCTCCAAAGACAAGTCTATAAACGAGGCAGCAAAAGTATATCATCCCATCTCATCTCATCGTCAAACACCAATCCTATCAATTCAACCGGTCCACCTTTAGGCCTTTTCCAAGCAGCTCGTTTCCCACCTCTGCAATCAAGACCTCATTAGGAAAAATCTTCTTCTTTGCTGATACCGTTCCTTCGGCATCCAGAGCGCGGAGTAGATCGGCAAGCTCTCCATCAAGCTTTGTATAATAAACTAGGTGGCCCAGTGCCGAAAGCATGCCCTGGAGAGCCTCTTGTGAGGTCTCTTCCTGAGAGATTGCCTCTACAACAGAGGCTGCAAGCTCAACAAGGTCGTCCTCTGGTAGACTTGGCTTAGCCTCGCCAAGCCTTGACCTGCGATCAGCCAAAGCAATGTTGAACAATAGAGATGATGCCGCCACGCGGGTATTGCTGTGGCTATCGTCGAGAAAACTCGTTGATATTAACCGGGTGATGGGCCCGCGAAGATGATCGTGTCGTAGAATCTCGTCCAGAAACAAGGGAGTAGAGAAAAGATTGCATGCCATTTGCAAAGTCACAAGACGCAGTGCGTATGGGCACTCGCTCTGCTCGTTAACGGCATTGAGGATACCAGCAACTGTCTTGTGCGCCGTCTCTTCAGCAAAATACCCACTTACTCGGGGGTCGAGAAGGGCGCAGCGCAAAAGATCGACCACGGTGAACATAATTTCAACTGGTAATTTGGCGACTGTCTCCTGGAGAAAGCTTGCCATATGTCCCATGTTTGGCAAAACAGCATCTAGAGCTTCCCCATTGGCGCGGTCTTCAATAAATCTTTTCAGCTGCTGAATTTCGGGCTTGCCAGAAACATCTGGCCCCATCTTGGTCATTAATTTTTGCATTGGAGGCACCTTTCCAAATAGCACAGGCTTCGTATTGGGGTTAGCAAACGTGGGAAGGCGAAGCTTCTCATGAGGGTGGTGGGGATGCGCCATCTGTACGAGCAGCTGAAGATTTCCTCTGAGAGTTGCTGCATCAGCGCCAGACCATCGGTTTTCTTGTTCTCCTTTTAGATATGTGATGAATGTCGGGGTTGCGCTGATCGAGTATTGGCTGGCAAGCAGGTTTGCCTGTGGCTGAGCGATGTCAATCTTGATCAAAGTTGCCTTGCCCGCAAACTCTTCGGCCAGTGAGTCGTATAAAGGATATATCATCTTGCACGGCGCACAGGTTGCAGAAGTAAAGTAGACCACCGCGCAGGACTGCTTCGCTTGATCCAACAGAGCAGATAGCTCTGCATGGCCAGTCACATCTTTCACCGAAGCTGTCTTGACAGGTGCAATGGGCTGAGCACTCTCCTGCAGTCCCAGGATAGAGCCGTTTTGTCTGCTGGCATTGACCCCTTGAGTAAGTTGAGGCATCAGCATGCGTCCAAACGGCGAGTCGAGAACTGCTTGTGGCATCTGTGAAATGTGGCTTGGAATGCCCTTTCCGAGGAGGAAATTGGAAAAGGCATCTGTGAAGTTGTTGCAGTTGTGGCGGAACAGATCATAGGCCTATATTCATTCGAGTTAGCAACTACGTAATTACTAGAAAAATCAGCAGTGTCGTCATACTTCTATCGTGAAAACGGATCTTATCGACTCCAAATAGTCCCCGATTACGTCCATGGGTAGATCTGTCTTGCCCAGATGCAGTCTCTCCAAGGGTTGGCCCAGGTGCGAGGTGCCTGGAACGATGGAGATGATGCCGCCATCATAGACGTACTCGCGACCCTGAAGCTCGATAGAAGTATGATAAATGGCATCAAGTTGGAATCCAAGGAGGCCTAGCGACATTTGACGAGCCAGACCGCGAGACAGGTCGTAAACAAGGAGGTGGACGTCCATCTTGGGCCGTGCCTTTATACGCGAATCGTCGTGCGTCCTAACAGTATTTCGCAGAGGCGATGTGGCTAATCCAACAGGTTATAGACTTAAGTGACTGGAAATGCTGAGTGCTGGTTGTGAAAATTTCTTCAGAAAATAGAAATGACTCAAGTTTGGGAGTTTGGGCTGGTTCGAGTTTATTTATTGAAGTTCAAGGCAGCGAAGGTGTACGAAATCACATGGAAAGCATCCAGCGCACGAAACCTGACGTATAGACCTAATGCTAGGTACTATCAAGAGGCGGACTTCGGCTTATAAACTCCGCTGTTCTAAAGCCGAAACCTACTGGATACAGTCGATAGTGAATCAAAGGCGTTGAACACAGTACAAGCTTGCTCAACGAACTCTATAAAAATCATCAAAGAAAAAGCATGCTAACTTCTATAATTCCTGGCATATCAACTCTCTTGAAATGTCGCTGTCTCTACGATTTGCATCTCTTGGCTTACCCTGTAATTTGACGGATTTTCTGCACTAAGCGGCCGACCCACTGACGCATCATCCAGGGGGGCACTTTGGCAGCTGGTTTCAGGGGAAATGGAATGTGGCGAATGGGCTCTTCACAATCGCGTGGCTTTGCTGGGCTTAGCTGAAAGCGCGACCGCCTGTAGCGTCAGTGTCACAGTGGTTAAGAGCGGCGTGTGGTGGGTGCATCAAGTACTCTCCCATACAGAATATGCGTGTAAGGAACCTTGTCTTTGCCCCTCCACCTGGAGAAGATTTGTTTGGTCTCCTTTTTTTCCACTCCAGATCATTTCCAGACTCCAGCCATGTCCTAGATCCTGGTAATGTTACTTTCTGCCGCCTCCCACCTAATAGGCCTTGTTTGTTCCACAGTCCAACTGCCCTCCAGTCATTCTCTTGACGTTGGCTTCTAGACCTTCATTTTTTCCTCTTTCTTTTTTTCTTCCATCCCCTTCCGCTCTTTAATGCGTCACGGCGTCTCTCATTGATCGCCCTGCGGCCTGATGAGGAGAACTTCGGTGTCGCTGCCCACGAAGCAAGTTGCGCACGATCCCTACGAAAAGACCGATCGATATCGCCCAAGCCATCGAAAGCAAGGCCTGTTTGCCAGCATGAAGGAAACCATGCTGTCTCAGTCTCAGAAATCGCGGTGGGTTAAGACCGGCACGCTGGTTCTGATACTGGTCTGCCTGTTCTGGTGGCTGTCACCGACCGGCGTCGAGGTATACAACAAGAGCCCATTGGGCAGTGAAGAAGGCTCTGTGAGCAAGGCTCCCGCTTCTGCTCCCGCTGCTGCTCCCGTCGCCAATGTCCCCGCCTCCAACAAAGATGCCACCTCCAACAAGGACACCGCCGCCGCTGGCAACGGCGCTCCCAACAGTGGCCAGGCTCCCTCAGACTCTTCTTACGGCACCGATAAGTGTTCCAAGTCGTACTCCAAGGACAAGCCCATCGTTCAGTATGTCCTCATGATCGATGCTGGCAGCACTGGCTCCCGAATCCACGTCTACAAATTCAACAACTGCGGTCCCATCCCCGAGCTGGAGAAGGAAGAGTTCAAGATGACTGAGAAATCCGTCGGTGGCTTGAGTGCCTTTAAGAACGACCCCGTCGGTGCTGCCAAGAGTCTTGATGTTCTCATGGCCGTTGCCATGGAACACGTCCCGGATGCGCTGAAGAAGTGCTCTCCCGTTGCTGTCAAGGCTACCGCTGGCTTGCGTTTGATTGGAAAGGAACTTGCCGATGCCATCTTGGTTGAGGTCAGACGACACTTGGAGCAGGACTACCCCTTCCCCGTTGTTTCTGCCGAACAGAACGGTATCGCCATCATGGACGGCTCGGACGAAGGTGTCTATGCTTGGATCACTACCAACTACCTGCTTGGCAAGATTGGCGGCCCTGACAAGAGTGAGACCGCTGCTGTATTCGATCTCGGTGGCGGTTCAACCCAGATTGTCTTTGAGCCTACCTTTAAGGGCGCCCCAGACGGAGGCATGCCTGAGAAGCTGGCTCCTGGCGACCACAAGTACGAGCTTGACTTTGGCGGCCACAAATTCGACCTCTACCAGCACTCTCACCTTGGCTATGGCTTGATGTCTGCTCGCAAGGCTCTGCACTCCGCCCTGATTGATGATTTGGCCAAGTCTAAGAAAGATGACGAAACCTGGAAGAAGTCCCCGATTGTGCACCCTTGTATCGCTCCCGGCACCACCAAGCAAATTGACGTCGAGGTCAACGGTGGTGAAGCACAAACCTTCAACTTCACTGGCCCGTCTTCACCCGCTCCTGCTCAGTGCCGCAACCTGGCTGAGAAGATCTTGAAAAAGGAAGCCGACTGCAAGCTTGCTCCCTGCTCTTTCAACGGCGTCCACCAGCCTATCCTGTCCAAGACATTTGCCAAGGAGGATGTCTACATCTTCTCTTACTTCTACGACCGCACAAAGCCCCTCGGCATGCCCGACTCTTTCACTCTCCGCGAGATGCACGATCTTACCGACAAGGTATGTGCCGGCAAGGACTCCTGGGATGTCTTTTCCAGCGTCCCCGGTGCCCTGGAGGAGCTTGCGGACCGTCCCGAGCACTGCTTGGATTTGAACTTTATGATGGCGCTGCTGCACACTGGATACGAGATGCCCATTGACCGCGAGGTCAAGATTGCGAAGAAGATCAAGGGCAATGAGCTGGGCTGGTGCCTTGGCGCTAGGTAAGAACTTATAGTCTTTTTCCCTTTTGGACTCTTCATAACTAACTGATGATTTTTTTTTTTTAGTCTGCCGCTCTTGGCTCCTGGCTCAGGCTGGGAATGCAAGGTTAAGGAGGTTTTATAAAATGCTTTCATATACCTTATTAGGCGTTTTCTGAATAAAATGGTTCACGATGAGTCGATTGTCTAGAATGATCGCGAAGCATATTGCTGTACGACGCCCACGCTCTTGAAAGAAAGTGTAATGCGGAATTGGAAGTTGGTATTAATAACATGGTCTTTGATGCGATTGGAATGCGGAACTTCTATCTACTTATATATTATGTATACACGGGGAATCATGGGGCCTGGTTTTTTTTGTTCTGGTAACAGGCTTGAATGGGCAAGGATACAAAGTTAATATGATATGTTTCAAAGAGGCGCAGTTACCATTTCCAAAACTTCTTCCACTACTTCCTCGGGCCCGACGCCTTCTAATAGAGCTTCCACAGCCTCCAATTGACTTCCCCATTGCATACTCCTCTCCTTCTCCGGCTCGATAATTCGAATTCGGTGGAGATAGACTTTCCTCACAGCTAGTCCAATGAGGGCTGGGGTCACATAGTCAAGCTTGTGTAAAGGAGCAAGACTCTTGACGAGCTGGTGGAGATGCTTGGTGGCTGCAGGCGTGATGCCGCCGTCGACAGCTCGGTGCATTCGGAGGAAGGAGACGATGTTCATTTGGTAACGGAGGATGTCGACGTCGATTTGGACTTCCTGGCTCAGTTTTGCTAGTTGGCTGATGTCCTATGAAAACGCTTGTTAAGATTATGGGCGAATAAAAGCCTAGAGATAGATGTGCAGCTTACTATATCTGATATCAGAGCTGTTGACGGCGTCGCGCCATCAACGGCCTTCTTTACCACGCTCTCCGTAGATGCCGTCTCGTCATCCGGGCCGTTGTTTCGACCATCGGCTTCATCTAGGTTAACATATCCATCGTCCGGATTATGCCAATGGGCAATTGAGAAGAAGTCGTTTAGATGCGGCGTGACATGCGCCTCGCCACCGCTTGCTGCCCCCACGACGGGTATGAAGACGAATTGCTTCGGCGCGGCTTGTACCGACGTGCGCGTAAAGATGCGTCTCGTGCGTAGTAGTTCGAGGGCCTGGATCTGGACGACTTGTGGCGCGCGGTCGAGATTCTTGGCGATTACAAAGTGGGCGATCTGAGGAGCAGGGAGAGATGATAGGGGCGAGAGCGGCAAGGAGGTTTGACGATTCGAGTGTGAGTGTGAGTTGAGAGCGAAGTATGATTCTGTCGTCCGAGCAAAGGGCGAGACGGAACGGCCGGGGGTGTTTTGAGAAGGAGGCTGGTGAGGATGGAGGAGCAGAGCTGAGGCGAAGTCTTCGAGCGTGGTGGACGGGTGGCAGTCGACGACGACGGGCTTGAGGCTGAATGTCTTGCGTGCTACCTGCGGGTTGAGATTGATTGTGATTGTCAGCTTCACATTCCTCGGGTTGAACAATCAGAGTGTAAGCAGCATACCAGTTGGAGCTCTTGCACCAGGTCGTCAATGGCGGCTGGCGGAGTGCTAATCAGGACGTGCTCGCGATTGATGAGACAGAGCAGGACGGCCAGTTCCAGGTCGCTCAAGCTGTGGACCTTGTCGAGCAGGTCTTCATCCGCCATCGCAAAGCGCCAGCAGAGTCGCCAGGTCCATCAGCATCAGAATGGCGTGCTGTTTGGCGAGGAATAGATGAATGTTGGAGGAAGCATCATCGCATCTATTTTGGGACGGCAAGCGACATTGCTTGTACCTTGATTGGAAGAGGGTCGCAGAGGTACAGGGACAGTGTCTTAGTGGAAGGCAAACGTTGATGCCCCTACATGTCCTAAGATTGACAGGTAACAGTTTTTTTTTTTTTTTTTGAAGATATACATAATAAAAGTTTAAGAAGTAATAAATACATCTACAAATTTAAAACACTTTATCAATTTCTTTGAAACATTTTATGAGTTTTCAAAATGCAATGTTTGAATGCAATGTTTGGATCGATAAGTGTGCACCAGGTACCTCAGCTAGATTAGGCGCCTGCTTCATGCATGGGGCTAAGTTGGAAACACTCTCCAAGCGCTGTTAGCGGCGCTCCCGCTGTTACGACACCGAAACCTGGGCCCGGATAGGCCCCTACTAATGGGTACCGCCGCTAGAGCCAAAAGCGTCGCCCGCCCGCCAACAAACCGAGAAGCCCAGCCAGCCTCGCCCATTGAAGCCTGCCTGAGAGAAAGCCTCCACGACTCATACGGTCTCGTGACGTCTACGACAATCGCTGCTATTACACAGCAGGCAACTCCTTTACTGCACATCTCCCGCCTCCTCTCCGCCGACAGAAACACTCTCCAGCGTCGTCTTTGTTCGTTGCGACCGTGCGTTTGGCCTTGGGTTGATCCATATCACGTCATTGGAGCGGCGAGCGTGGCCACCGATAACCAGTCAAGATGTCTTCGCGCAATAAGAAGGTCCTTCTCAAGGTATGCGAGCCCTGCTGCCGGTGCCGGCGCCGCGCTGGGTTGCTGCGATGCTGAACGTGCTTCTTTCGATAGGTCATCATCCTTGGAGATAGCGGTGTGGGCAAGACGAGTTTGATGAATCAATATGTACGCACACCCTTCCCACGATCTCCGATCCATCGCCACGACATACGAAGATGATTTATTGATGAAATGCTCTTTGGTGGTTTGTTTTAGGTCAACAAAAAGTTCAGCGCAAGCTACAAGGCCACTATCGGCGCCGATTTCCTAACACGAGAGGTCTTGGTGGACGACCGACAAGTCACAATGCAGGTACGAGGCGTTTTGGGACAATGGAAGAGTCCTCAACGACGGTTACTGATGCACGAGATAGCTCTGGGATACAGCCGGACAAGAGCGATTCCAGTCACTGGGCGTTGCCTTTTACAGAGGAGCCGACTGCTGCGTTCTCGTGTACGACGTCAACAACTCCAAGAGCTTCGAGGCGCTGGACAGCTGGCGAGACGAGTTCCTGATCCAGGCTTCTCCGCGGGACCCCCCCAACTTCCCCTTTGTGAGTGTGACGGTATGACGGTCCTTGGAATGGGCGCATATACTAATGCCATCGCAGGTTGTTCTGGGAAACAAGATTGATGTTGAGGAGAGCAAGCGAGTGGTGAGTAAAAACAGGGTTGAAATGCCAATACGGGTAGCTGACACGGCCCAGATTTCGACTAAGCGAGCCATGACTTTCTGTCAATCCAAGGGCGATATTCCATACTTTGAGACTAGTGCAAAGGAGGCCATCAACATTGACCAGGCATTTGAGGGTATGCATGCACACCTTCGCGATGGTAGCGGTGTTCCAGTTAATGGGCTAACGAAATGATAGTTATTGCTCGAAATGCCTTGGCTCAAGAAGAGTCTGAGGAATACAGCGGAGATTTCGATGACCCCATCAATATCCACATCGACAACGACCGTGACGGATGTGCTTGTTAAGCGGGGAGATTCGACAAGGTTGTTTGGATGAAGACAAACTAGTCAGAGAAAGGCCATGGATAACCAGACAACCAACATACCCGGCTATGGAGCTGATGCATTTTCTTATCGACTGGAAGTAGAGTACGGAGAAACGAGGCCATGCCGGTGTTTGCGCGGATAGTAATTTGTTTTTTCCCTCTTTTTTTTTTTTCTTTGTCAGGGTTGAATTTTTCTTTCTCTTTTCGTTTTGCTTCGCTTCTTGGTTGATGGAATTTGGAGATGCTCGTAATTTTCGATGCAGAGGTGCAACAGCCATTGCCTCGGCTCTGGCTGTCGGGCTCGGAGAGGGGGGAGAGGGGGAAGAAGAGGAGAGAGTTTCTGAGACGGGCTATTCTCATACATCTACTTGTTAAGGGACCATGGGCTATAGATTCTATGCATGGCTGGGAGCAATTTCACGCTATGGACTTGATTATACAGAACATCGATATGCCTTTTTTTTTTCTTTGGCTTTACATGTACGATGGATGTATGTGTGTATGTGTCTGTCTTTGTCTCTTTTCTTCTACCACCCAGATTCCAAAGGGGGTATCCACCAAGTTGCCCAACGGTAGCCATGCTCTGTATCTACGGCCCTTTGGCTTTAAATATTTTCATTCCTCGTTGTTAATTACCAAACCAGGCAGATTAATGGATCATTCGATTCGCAATGTAACCTCTTAGACTTTATAGCCTATAGCATCGACTTATAACGCCCTCAGTCGGTGAGGCCCCACTCTGCACCTCGGCTTGCGGCTTACCCCGGACTCTCTCCACCGAATCATGATCCGACGGGACTCGTTTCCGCCTCGGCTCCGCATCAACCAGCTGTCCATACCGTCGAGATAAATATCAGACCATTGCAGCGTCTCCATGTCTCGGCTGTTCAGTATTTGCGGAGGAATCTTGACTTGAACTCGATCCATTCATTTGCCCTTTTTTCCCTTGACTCTTATTTCTCTTATCACGGCACACATTTCGCAATCATGGCTGCTCGGATTCCAGCTCTTGTAAGCTATTGGAGCTTTCTTTTACGCGAATTGATTTCGGAGATCTGGCGCATGGGCTAATCACATCGCGATGGATAATTAGGTCTCAAAACACATCAGCGAGGCGGCGAAGCAAAAGATTGACGTCGTTGCCAAGTTTGTCGAGGAAGAATGCATCCCGTGAGCCTCGACCAATTCCCAGTCAACTTGTTCTTCTCTTGCTACTACGAAACCGATGAGGGCTAATTATCCAACGACACAAAACAGCGCCGACCCCGTTCTAGAGGCCCAGGTGGGCGAAGGCGATAACCGCTGGGAGAACCATCCTTCCATTATCGAGGAGCTCAAGGACAAGGCGCGCAAGCTGGGCCTGTGGAACATGTTCTTGCCCAAGGGCTTCTACGCCGAGTCCCCCGGCTGGACGAACCTCGAGTACGCCATCATGGCAGAGTGGCTGGGCCGCTCGCGCAGCGCCTCCGAGGCCTGCAACTGCGCCGCTCCCGACACGGGCAACATGGAGGTCGTGGCCAAGTACGGCAACGCCCAGCAGAAGGAGGAGTGGCTCAAGCCGTTGATGGAGGGCAAGATCCGCTCGGCCTTTTTGATGACTGAGCCCGAGATTGCGTCTTCTGATGCCACCAACATCCAGCTGCAGATCACCAAGGACGGCAACGACTACATTCTGAACGGCTCCAAGTGGTGGTCCAGCGGCGCTGGCGACCCTCGATGCAAGCTCTACGTCGTCATGGGCAAGACCGATGCCAACAACGCCGACCCTTACAAGCAGCAGTCCGTCATCCTGGTCCCTGCCGGCCTTCCTGGAATCACCATCAAGAGAATGCTCAAGGTCTACGGCTACGACGACGCCCCCCACGGCCACGGCCACATCACCTTTAAGAACGTGCGCGTGCCGGCAAAGAACCTGGTTCTCGGCGAGGGCAGAGGGTTCGAGATTATCCAGGGCCGACTGGGACCTGGCCGTATTCACCACGCTATGCGCAGCATCGGCGCTGTAAGTTTTGGCTGCTGCATCACAACGTATTGTCTCTATTCCTTTTTGCTAATACATATCTCTTGCAGGCCGAGCAAGCTCTCGACTGGATGCTCGTGCGCGTCAACGACGAGAAGAAGAAGCCCTTTGGCAAGCTCCTTCGCGAGCACGGCGTCATCCTCGAGTGGATCGCCAAGTCCCGCATCGAAATCGACGCCGCCCGCCTCATCGTCCTCAACGCCGCCATCAAGATCGACGAGTCCGGCGCCAAGAAGGCTCTCAAGGAGATTGCCGAGGCCAAGGTGCTCATCCCCCAGACTGCCCTCAACGTCATCGACCGAGCCGTCCAGGCATACGGCGGCGCCGGTGTCTCCCAGGAGACTCCCCTGGCCAACATGTGGGCTGGCATCCGAACGCTGCGTCTGGCTGACGGCCCTGATGAAGTGCACTTGCAGCAGATGGGCCGCAACGAGAACAAGCGCGGCAAGGAGACGGCTGAGAAGCACCAGAGGCAGAAGGCCAAGACACAGGAGCTGCTGAAGAGATATGGCGTTGAGGTTGCTGAGCCTGGCACCAAGATTAAGCACGAGGCCAAGTTGTAATGAGGCCTTGCTCTTCTTGACTTGTTATGACCTTTTTTCTGTAAAATACTGGTAATTGGATTGATGATGTTAATGCATTACAACTAGCGTATATAGTAAAGCAAAAAGTTAGCCCAGATTGGACATAATGACATGAGCTGTCACCATCTAAACTCTGTCTTTTGGGCAGGCTATCAACAGTCTGTGGCTGAAATAGAGTCTATTTGCCATATAGCCTCCAGGATCCCAAGCCATAGACATAAGTAGGTAGTGATAGGTACCTGAGATATAGGCATAAGTAAGAGGTAAGCACCTTCACATGTTGGCATGTTGGTGTAATCTATACAAAATCCTCATCTGGTTTTAATCCCGACCTACACAGAAATAATTCCTTGCCTAATGACTCACAATCATTTATTAAACACAAAGCCAATCTGCCTTTTCCATCCCCAATCCAGGGTAAATCCCCCATAGAAAAGTGCCGTTGCCAGCTCCACTCACATCTTCATGCATACCGGCGGCGCTCCCTACAGGGATGTCCGTTCTTCGCCCGTCGCCCTGCCAACGCCCGTCATTCGTTTACTTTCTTTTTTTCCCGGGAAGACATGCACTTGGCATGGAAGTGGAACGGAACGTCATAGTTTCTGGTTTATCTCTTTCTCATTCTTCCTTTTCTGCTTTAGGTGCATGTGTTTTTGAGTTTTAGCACATGTTTACAAAAACAGCGACCGCCCCCTCTGATTTTGTGAACCCCCTTTTTCTTTTCTTCCCCAGGAGCGAATTCACGACTCAGTAACTGCAACACACCGATTCTGCCAACTTTCATGAAGCCACAACTCTTTCGTTAACTTGTTCTTCTGCCCCTCACGAAAATTCAAAAATGTCCGGCAATAGAGTCCTCGGTGAACGGGACGTCAATGTCACCATGACCGATGCTCAGCCTTTCGCTAAGGACGTCAAGAGCATGGAGTACCATCGCCAGGTGCTGCAGTCCCGGATTGCTCAAGAGCCGTATGTCACTGATCTGTTGCTTCACGATTTGGTATTTTTCAATGCTTGGAAATCTTTTATTAACGTCACATTTTCTCATTTAGTTCCAAGCAATACATCTCCCCGTCCGACACCATCATGAGTCCCTGCACGGCAAAACTTTCGGCACTGCGCAACAAACAAGTCTCCAAGTAGGTCTTGTCTTCAGCCTTTCCCTCGAACTGCCTGATCCTATAATCAACCTCGACGAGTATTCAATAGAGCTAACCAGACGTGCCTTCAATCTAGAGCCAAACCAAAGTCCCTCTTTGCCCAAGCGAGCACAAACAGATTCCAAGGCGAGAATCCCTTCGGCGCACAGCCCACTCAGAGCCAGAGCCAGAGCCCGCTGGGCACCAGAAAAGCCCCGGGCAATGGCGTCTTGACTTCGAGAATTCGCTGATTCAAGCCTACGATCCGCATTTTTTCCTTTGTACTTCAACAATTCTCCTTTATACGTGTGTAAAACAACAGGTCGCGAATTTTTCTTTGGTCTTTTTTTCCCTTTCTTGCTGCGCCCCCCTTCATAACGACGGGAGACGGGAAGCAAGATTGGCAATGGTTAGCTGGGTTTGGATTGGAACATGCCTCGGACGAGGTTTAGAGGTACTATTACTGGTTTAAGGGACAGGCGTTTTCCGAATGACATGCATACCATACTCTTCATGGTGATTCTGGAAAGGGTTGATACGAATCTTCATGTCTCTCTTATTCTCTTTTATTCTTTTTAATGTCATGACAGAAGCACGGTTAGCGGGAACAGATCAGCTGCTTCTGCGCAAGTGCTATCAATACGAATGGATGAGATTATTATCACTGAAAATGATGAGTTTCCTTTTTTTTTTTATAGATTTGCTTTCTCTTCTGTACTAGCTAGTCTACGCCTTCCACGCGGTATTAATATACACAACATCTTCATCCGCAACTGGATGCCCTAATCCTACCCTTTGAGGAATGTGCTTTGCGCTGGCGCCCCAAACAAGGGCATACTTGAATGTGTCCTTGAGAGTGCGGTGTATCCTGTCGCACACGTCCTCAATGGTGCTGTTACTCCGTACAATCAGCGCCTCGCTGAAGTCTGGGTCGGTTCCTTGTCTCTTGGTGTATATGCGGATGAGCTTGAGCTCTTTCCAGCACCTATCAACCACGTCTTGAATGCCCAGGTCGAGCTCGCAGCTCATGACTACAGTGTGGTCTTCCCTGGCGAGCTTGTCCAAAAAATCAAGAGAGACGCTGTCAATCTTGTTGTAGACGTACAGGCACCGGATGTACTTGCGATGGTCTTTCATGATGACATCGATGAGGTCGTCGACAGTGACGTTTTCATCTCGGATGAGCACTTCGCAGTTGAGAATCTTGTAGTCGCGGAGGATGTTATAGATCATCTTCTCGTCTATGTTTTTAGGTGGAGAAACAAAGGTGATTTTCATGCCGCCAGCCGTCTTGACCTTGAGGTAGATATTTCTGAATTCTTTCTGTTAGCCAAATGATAAATGCGAGGCATCTGATGCCACCTACGGGGGCTCGCGGTTCAGTCTGATGCCGACAGATTCAAGTTCCGCCTCCAGCAGTGCTCTTTGCTCAGCTCGCTTCGTCGCGTCCAAGACCATGAGAATCAGGTCGCTCGTCTTGGCTGCTGATATGACCTGCCGACCTCGTCCCTTGCCCTCGGAAGCACCTTCAATGATACCCGGTAGATCGAGCAGCTGAATCTCGGCGCCGCCATATTCCAGCACTCCGGGAATGGCCGTGAGGGTTGTGAATGCGTACGAGGCCACTTCTGATTTGGTCTTGGTGACTTTGGACAGAAATGTTGACTTTCCTACTGATGGAAAGCCTACTAGAGATATTCTGGCATCACCACTCTTGCTGACGTCGAAGCCTGAGCCACCACCGCCGCCGGCTCCAGGGCCGGGTTCTAGAAGCTGCGCGCGGAGTCGTGCGAGTTTTCTGTTCAAGTTAGAGACTGTTGTGTCATATGATATTGAAGTCTTTGTTTATGTTGGCTCACCCTTTTAATAGACCCAAGTGATACTCTGATCTTGTTGTCAGCTTTAATGACTAAACAGATTATTATGCAACTACGTACCAGTGGCCTTGTTTTCTATAATTCTTGTTAGCTAGATTGTACCAAATAGAGCTTGAGTGTACGCGTTTATAAGCTGTTGGGGTCAATTGTCTGATAAGCGCTGTGATAGACTCTGCAGCTACAACAGCACGTATAATGCTACGGGATTCACGAAGATAGAACAAGTTAAAGAAAGGGGCATTCGTGATTGTTCTTACTCTGTGTTTTTCTCATCTCATCCTCAATCCTGGATGTCATGTTAGACATGGTGTCTCTAACAACATGAACTGGTCACTCACTCCTTGATCTTTTCCGTAATGTTCACCATCCTGGCTCACGGTTATTTATAGACGGCAATACCGTCTTATTAACGAAAACTATAAATAAGAAACAAAAAAAAAAAAGATTAGTCCACTAAGACGTATCGTCTAGCGTTACAGAGCAGAAGAAGCAGTTGTGTAGCTGATTTTGAAATTCGATGGCGGGGCTTCTGGCGCATGAAGCAAAAGACTTGGAGGGGCCTTTGGTGATGGCGAGTGGAATCTCACTAGCTCACCGCCTGCCGTTTACGCCAGTTCAGCCTCTTACACAGGTACAAGTACAAGAAAAGCTATTCTAAGTCAATTTACAGCTGCTTTGCTTCTTTCTCTAAGCTTTCATGTACTCTATTTAAGTAAAGGCTATTGTTGCTATTTCTCCTTGTTCAATGCCACTTTTTTTCTTCTCTGAATGGAAACAGGGTGCAATTAGAAGGAGAAAGAATCCGGTGCTATAAGATTTGCACGTGATTTCTTCTACGCCACACGCGCGCCGATTCCTTTCTAAGACAGGCGGCGCCAATTGCCATTTAGCAAGCAAGAAGCAGGTCATCAGTCAACTATTTTTCTTTCTTTAGAAATACAGTAAACCAGTCTCTCTCAGTCTCCCTCTTCTCTCTTCTCTCTTATTCCTCCAACAACGGCCAGATCATGGTTACAGTCCGCAAGAAGAGGCCGGCCAGGCCCCAAGTTGCAGCCGAATTCATCGGCGAGGCTCCTCCTCAAACAGGCACAACGTTCAATATCTGGTAAGTAAAACTGTCGCGATTGCGCACTCATTCTGCAGAACACCAGCTAATCTCAGCTAGGTACAACAAATGGGCAGGTGGCGATCACGAGGCATACCAACAGACGAAAGCGAAGGGACGCTGCAACATCGCTCGAGATAGTGGATATACGAAAGCCGACGGTGTGTCTGGCAGCTATTTCTGCTTGTTCTTTGCCCGCGGTCTGTGTCCGCGAGGAGCCGATTGCATGTACCTACATCGACTTCCCGGGACACACAGCGTCTTGGCGCCAAACGTCGATGTCTTCGGCAGAGACAAATTCTCAGGCTACAGAGATGATATGGGCGGTGTTGGAAGCTTCATGCGCCAGAACAGGACTGTTTACATTGGTCGCATCCACGTAACCGACGATATCGAGGAGATTGTCGCGCGGCACTTTGCTGAATGGGGGAAGATTGAGCGCAGTAAGTACTCCAGCTACCTGCAAACGATGTTGATAATTTTGAGCTCGGCTAACCATGAGCTTTAGTTCGCGTGCTAAACTCCAGAGGAGTCGCTTTCGTAACTTATGTCAACGAAGCCAATGCAGAATTCGCCAAAGAAGCCATGGCACACCAGTATGTATTCTCCAATCTCTACAGCATCATCCATTTGACGAACGCCCACTGACCAGCCATAGATCTCTAGATCACGACGAGGTGCTGAATGTTCGATGGGCGACGGAAGACCCCAATCCCATGGCGCGAGCCAGAGAAGCGCGACGGATCGAAGAGCAAGCTGCTGAGGCTATTCGGAGAGCACTGCCGGCGGAATACATCGCCGAAATCGAAGGCAAAGATCCCGAGTCAAGAAAACGGAGGAAGGTGGAGAGTAGTTACGGGCTGGAAGGCTACGAAGCCCCTGACGAAATCTATTTCGCCCAAGGCCCCAACGCAGTCAATCCTGCTGGAAGACTAGCATATCAAGAGCCGCTCCTGATTGAAGATGGGACTGCTGCAGAGTCAGAGGTTCCGGCTGCCCAAGAGGAACAGCAGTCGCCTCCTGAGAGCGCGGGAGTATTTTCAACCAGCACCTTGGCTGCGTTGAGTAAAGCAAAAATTGCCGTCTCATCAAAACCAGCGGCAGCTACATCTACCGGTCCCTTGGTTGCATATGGTAGTGATAGCGATGATGATGAGTAAACGGGCGTTTTGATATATAATTTGGATATTTTTCTTCTATTTTTTAGACTGGGCATAGGCATAGGCATAGGGAGAGAGCATTGACAATGATACCACCTTGATTAAAACAGTGCACAATATTATGTAGAATGCCGCATTCAGCTATTGAAAATTCTCGAGTAAAGCAGCTCATGTCGCCCAACCCATAAATCAACAATCGGTACGCTCTGCCCAGCCTCCTCAACCGGCGTATCCCATTCCCTCTCCACCATGGCGTTGATCATGGTCTGCACATTCTCACTGGCAAGCAGTTTCTGTGCTTGATAGGGCCCAAACATATTTGCCCTCACTGCTGCCGATATCAACGCCTTGACGTGACTCAGCATAAAGACATAGGCCGTCTGTCTCAGCGTCAACCCCACGATGGCGCAAATCGCGCCGAACAGCGGGCCAAGATGCGCCGAAACGAGGGGAGCCTCGCCGCCCGCCTTGTTGCTCTCGCGCCTCAGCAGCGTCGAAAAGTCCCTCAAGGTGAGTGCATCGTCCTCGCTGCCCGGGACCAGAGTCGCCTTGAACGAGCGCTCCCAGATGCTCAGCAGGGCTCTTCCCTGAGCGACGCTGGCGCGCCGCCCGACAGTGCAGATCACGGCCGCATCGAGCTCGTCGTCGAGAGCTGCGAGAGAGGCGGGATGGCGATGCGCGGCAAGCACAAAAGGCAGCGTTGTGGAGGCATAGGATGAGAGCGATAGAGGCAGAAACGTGCTGAAGGAGGAGGCGCGGCGGTTGTGCGCGGCGAAGGACTCGAGGCCGCTGCTGAAGGCAAAGGAGCCGATGGGGAGGGCGGAGTCGGAGAGGAGGAAGAGGAAGTGCGTGGATGAGGAGGCGGATAGTTGAGGGCGGACTGAATACGTTGGAATGAGATTAAAGCTCTGTATGAGGCTCTTTCATTTTGGCGGAGCGATCGTGACTTACATGGTATTGAGGGCGCTGAAGCTGAGCCGACAGCGCTGAGCCGAGCCTTTGCCTCGTCTAGGCGACTTTCTAAGAGGGCAATTTCACTTTGAATCTCATCGACCGATGCATGAGGAGGTGATGCCATTTGGAGCTTGTGTAGATGTAGAGTTCAAAATCATGGCTTGTCATTCATTTGCGCATTAGACCCGTGCGATATGCCAGATAGACACACACGCCCACACCCACGTCCTAACATCTTCCAGCCAGTTGCAAATAGGTATATGAGCATATTACAAAAACCCAGAAGGGGAAAAAAAAAGTTCAATCCAAGCACCGTGACAGATTCACAAGAGAGCGTTCCGCTTTGCGTTATTACAATCGCTCTCGCTGGTGATATCATCCTGTTCGTACCGTCTCCCTTTGCTGTTAAAATACAATATTGCAAAACACCACGCTGATCCCTAAACCAAAGCAACTAGAACACGCTAGATGGCTCCTAAACTACACGGAGCATTATCATCTCTTTCATGGCCTCACATTTTCCTTGTCAGTTCCATCCCGTCGCCGGGCTCTCTTTTCGGCCATTCTCTTCTCGATCCGAGCAAGGGCGGCAGCTCGGCGTTCCGGTGGTAACGAACGTTTGCTATTAATGTCGTTGGATACGTCTTTGAGTTTGCCTTTGCCCGCGTCAGGTCCGCCGAGGCGAGCAAAGTGATCTTGCAAAAGGTCGACCTCGGCCTCTATGTCATCGGAAGATGATGAGCTCTTGGGATGGATTGTGGGTTTCGCCAGTCTGGGCGCTTCTCCACTGACGGAGGCTCTTCTCTTAGTAGAGGACCTCGGTACAAATGACTGCCAAAGGAGATTTTCGTCGTTCGACTGGTAACCCGGGGCTTCAGCAGGGTCCCTTGACTTTGTTGCCGTCTTCGGCGTGCCATCCCTTCGATATTTGTCTCGCAAGGTGCGAAGTTTGGAGCTGCTTGCCTCGGGGAGTTGCCGGGGCCTTTCAAGGTCTGCTACGTCAATACTCCTCCGGACCCCATTCGTAGCGACAGGGGGCCTTGATAACATGTCTGTAGGCTGGGCTGTGTTAGCCGCTTTCCCGGCCTTGAGAGTCTTGAGCTCTTTTTTGAGATCTGTGATCTTTGTTTGAGCGCGCTCAAGAACGGCCTTGGTATCGGCATCGTGAGCTTCGCTCTCCTTCTTAAACACCTCAAAATCCCTCTTCACCTGGCGAAGTTCGTCGTCTTTCGTCGACGATGCTTCTTTTGCTTGCCTAAGCTGTGCCTTGAGCTCTCTCACAATCGCCGTATCGTTAAAGTCGTCAGTAGTTGAAAAATCCGGAATCCTTCGTTGCTCGGCAGTCTTTAGCTGAGCCTTGAGTGAGGATACTTGGCTGCGCAGGGCATCCAGCTCCTTGAGTTGCGCTCGAGATCGTCGCAACTCTCGCTGAGTTTCGATTATAGTCTTCGCTGTGTTGGGCGAAGTCGTGCCTTGTAGCCGCCTCCATTCTCTTGCTTCCTCGTCGTCTTCCCGTCCCTGATGCAGTTCTTCAAGCTGGGCTTCCAGTTCCTGAACTCTATGCCGGTACTGAGCCGCAAGAGCAGTTTGCTTTGTTAGAGTCGCCAGTAACTCTGTGGTCTCGCTACTACTGGAGGCTCCTTTCTGTTTTGATACCATGTAGTTTGCATTTTCTGTAATCTTCTTCTCCATAGCAACCACCTTTTCTTGTTCTTCTTTGAGTCTCTGCGCCAGATGGATGGCTTCTAAATCTTTCTCCTCCGCATAAGATTTGAGGTGTTTCTTGTATTTTAGTAGCTTCTCCATTTCCGCCCGCGCTTCCTGGTGATATTTTTCGAATTGCTCTTTCCAATATTTTCCAGATTGAGAATGTGGCTCGTTCAGATCTACTGTAAGATCTTGGCCGTTGATCTCACCATTTTCATCGTAAAGCTCTTCTTCCTCCCAGTCCGACTCGCCTGACTCGTCTTTGGCAGTAAAAGTCTCTGTCTGGTTGGAAACGTTGGTGGTGCTTTTGCGCCTCGCTTTATCGAGAACATCGGACAAACGAGTTCGCTTGCTAACGGCAACCCCCTCGTTATTTGGGGAAATGGTCTTTGTCGTGGCAAGATCATGGTTGAACGATACGCGTTTCCGCCTCGAAGCTCCCGTGCCAGGTGTCAATAGGATCCCTTGCGGCTTCAGTGGAGTATCCGAACCTTGATCCGTTGTGAAAGCTGTCGATTTCGCCGCTCTAGCCTTGTCCCGCGATGCTCGCTGCGCATCTCGGACGGGAGTGCCGAAGAGCGCACTTTTGAACGCTCTGGCAGCAAATACGGGCGCAGGAGTATCTGGCATCTCGATCGTAGCGGTATCTGAGCCGAATAAGCATCAGCAAATTACTCTCATATTAGGAAAAGTCATCGAAGTGACGTTCTCACTTACCGCCAGTATCCATCGCGTCCGGCGCGTTCTCCCCGCGCCCCAGCATCCATCCGAGCATCTTGAATGATATGACTGGGAAAAGTACCCAAAGTTGAGATTGGCCCGTCCCTGAGCGCTTAATTGTACTCAATTAAGCTGAATTGATTGGATGCTGCATTTGGACGTTGCTACATTCGCGATGTCGATGCGTCGTGGCCGCGGGTGCGTTTGTTTACTTCGCCATCGGTGTGTTCGCTGGTGACGAAATGCTTGTTTTTAAGATTCGGCTGCGACTATTGACTTCGACTTAGTGATAACGGGGCTCTAACTGGCTAGCAGCGTTTCCAGGAATCTGGCAGTGGATCGATCGCACTGGGTCCGCTGTAGCGCACTGGGCAGTCCTGGCTCAGCCCTGTACAGGAACAGATTCAGCGACTTACTGTAGGCGCTGTACAGGATACTAGCGCGTTCAACTACAGGGGAGCTAGCGGCAAATTGACCAGGTGATGGTATTGCCCCGCCGCTACTAGAGCGCTGATAGCTTCAACGAGTAGCCAGTGGCGCATCTCTCGACTTTCTCTCCTTCATACCAGATTCGCTCATATACCTTTTCCCTCGGACGTCGATATTTAGAATGGCTTCCTCTGTGTAAAGCGTCACGGCTTTGGCTGTGGCTCTTACCCAGGTATCACGCGACCATGGCGCGGAAACAACCTAGGACACTGACGTCGCCGACGAAAACCTCCAAGGATGACTCAAGCTTCCCGGGCCTCAGGCCTCCCGGCCCAGATGCGAGGAATAAGACCGAGTACGAGGAGCAACAGAGGGACGAGATTATTGCTCTGCAGGCTATATACGCAGACGACTTCATCGAGCATGTGGCAGCGCATAGCGCCTGGAAGGTATTTCGTCCCATGCTCCTCTTCCTTGCTGTCGCATGCTGACTTACACCGATGTATAGAAGTCCGACCCGTCTTTCGATATTCGAATAAAAGCTAGTGATGAAGATTTTGCCGTGACTCTCGGGTTTACTATTACGGCGACATATCCAAAGTCACCTCCTGTGCTTACTCTCAAAGGCCAAAGCTATTTGCGAGAGGTTACCCAATTCAAGATCCAAAAGTTCCTAGAGACGCAGCCACGGGTCTTCGCTAAAGAGGGCGAAGTAATGGTTGACAAGATTGTCGAGGGCATTCGTGACATTCTTGAAGATGCAGCGCAAGCAAAGGCGTCTGGCAAACAGTTGCCGTCGCTGGAAGAGGAGCGCGATAGGCACGAGGCAGCCTTGGCAAAGTTAGCGCAGGAGCAACAAGAGAAGGAAAAGCGCCGTAAAGAGGAGGAAGAGAAAAAGGAAGAGAAGACTGCAGCTGAAGAGCTACAGCAAGAGCTCTTGCGACAGAAGCAAAAGGCGAGAGAGTCAAGGTTCAGTCGCCACACAAATGGCTTGAGCCCGCACCGACCGTCTACGTCTTCTGCCTTGAACGTTGAGACGATTGATTTCGACCAATATTGCTCCGTGACTGACAACTTGGGAAACACTTTGGCTTTCAGATCTGTCGCGGGAAAGTCTGATCCTCGCGCCGGACCGGCTTCCACTGTTTTCACTGTGCGTCCAGTCCTTTCCAATGGCCAGGGCAATCAGCCACTGGCGTTGAAAGAGGCTGTCTTGCGTCCAAATGGTAAGGACCAGAAAGAGTTCAAGAAATTATTGCAGTCATTGGAATCTCGGCTACAGGATCTCAAGATTGGGAACAAGATACACCATCGACACCTGGTCGATGTTTTCGATTTCAAAGTTGAGAGCGGTACAGATGCTGATCGCGCTGCTGCTAATACGTGGACAGTGAGGATCCTCAGTCCATTGGCAGAGAGAGGCTCGTTGGAAGAACTATTGGAGCTCGCGGGTCAGCTTGAGATAGGAAAGGTGCGATCTTGGACGAGAGATCTCCTTGATGCGCTGAATTTCCTTCATAATAAGAACATAGCGCATCAAGATATCCATCCCAGGAACATTCTTCTTTTTAGAGAATCCACTGGCGAGATCGTGCCCAAGATATCGGATGCGTCATACCAAAGAGAAATCCACAACCTCAGCTCTAAGAAGCAAGGGCCTTTGGGGCTCGCTACAGCAAAGTCTGCCTACTGGCTACCACCGGAGATTGCCGCTGCTACGAAAGCGCAGTATACATCTAAAGCTGATATCTGGGATTTTGGAGTTGTCTTTGTGCAAATGGTATTTGGTTTGGATGTGCTCCGCAAATACTCTTCTCCTAAAAACCTCATGGAATCAAAATTGTTTTCACAACCTTTCCAAGAACTGGTGGGCCGTTTCTTCAAAGACGACAGGCAGAAAAGACCGAGAGCATTTGAGCTTGGTGCTAGTGAGTTTCTTGCGACAGATGCCCCTATCCTGTTTGACGATACTTCTGCCATGTTGTCCCATACTACTTCTATGAATTCGCTCCAAGCCGTCCCTGTGAGGCTTCGGCGGGATTCTGCGACCAATAGAACGACAACAGTCTCTCGATACACAGAAGACTTCGTGGAAGAGGGAAGACTTGGTAAGGGAGGATTTGGCGAAGTTGTCAAAGCTAGGAAAAAGCTGGATGGCCAGATATATGCCATTAAGAAAATTACACAACGTTCCCAGACAAGCCTTACAGAAATCTTGAAAGAGGTTCGCTTGCTTTCACAGCTTAGCCATCCTGCAGTCGTACGATATTACAACACTTGGGTGGAAGAAATCCCCGATATGACTGATACCGAGGGCGAAACGTCGACTGATGACTATACGGAGGATACCAGAGATACCGGCGCCGAATCTGCCGGCATCGATATTCAGTTCGCTACAAGCACTGGCGGTTTGGACTTTATATCATCCAACGCTGCAGTTGAATTTGACTACGATTCGGACGAGGACGAGGAAGATGATGAAGAACATGACTCATCTGACGAGGAAGAAGACGATGATCAGAGCTCTCTTATGGACTCTGTTGGTAATCGTGAAAAACATTATGAGAAAGACAAACTGGCTGTCCTGCAACGGCGCGCTCGGATGCACCGGTCTTATCGGACTGTACTCTATATCTCAATGGAGTACTGTGAAAAACGAGTACGTATGAGATATCCATGATTCTTGCGCAATTACTGACTTTAAACCCTAGACTCTAAGAGATCTTATTGCGCGGAAGCTATACAAAAACAACACAGAAATATGGCGTTTGTTTAGGCAGATTCTCGAAGGGATGTCACACATTCATTCGCTGAGTATTGTTCATCGTGATCTCAAGCCAGAGAACATCTTCATTGCAAGCAGTACGGATGGTGTGGATAATATCAAGATTGGCGACTTTGGCTTGGCAACGAGCGGCCAGTTTTCTGTGGATCGAACCACTGTCAACGGCTATGAGGCAGACGATATGACTAGGAGTATAGGGACTGCTTATTACTCCGCTCCAGAAGTCAGATCTGCATCTAATGGGCAATATAGCACTAAAGTTGACGTATGTTGCACATGCATAACATTAATTGACTAATGACCGATGCTAACTCGCCCACAGATGTATTCTCTCGGAATCATCTTCTTTGAGATGTGCTATCTGCCAATGATGGGTATGCAAAAGGCTGATGTCCTTGGACAGCTCCGACGGCCTACCCCGGTTCTTCCCTCAGATTTCAAGCCCGCGGATAAAACACAAACTGAAATCATCCTTTCGCTTGTGAACCACAGTCCCAAAGAACGACCATCTAGTGCCGACCTTCTTAAGAGTGGTAAACTACCAGTCCAGATGGAAAGCGAGACTATCAGGCGAACGTTGGCGGGACTGGCAGATCCAAACTCGCCTTATTATCAAAAAATGCTGTCTACATTGTTTGCACGACCCGTGGAAGCGGCCAAGAATTTTGCATGGGACATGAATGGCACCACGCCCAGTGCAGGGGAGCTTCTTAACCAGAGCATTGTCAAGAACGAATTAGTGGCCATTTTTCGTCGTCATGGCGCTCTTGAAGCGACGAGGACCTCGATATATCCCAAGACTATGCACTACGCTGATAATGCCGTTCGACTTCTGGATTCCAACGGGACTGTCCTACAACTTCCTTATGACCTCACAATGGGGCATGCCCGAATGCTGGCGAAGCACTCACAATCTCCTCCTTTGCAACGCACTTTTACCTTTGGTAGCGTATTTAGGGACAAGCAAGATACGGGACAGCCTCAGATGTTTGGTGAAGTAGACTTTGACATTGTGACGATCGACACTCTCGATCTCGCTTTGAAAGAGGCAGAAGTGTTGAAAGTCTTGGATGAGATTATCCACACATTCCCATCCTTGTCAGCATCCCAGATGTGTTTCCATATCGGACACTCCGATATTCTACAGCTAATTTTTGAATACTGTGGTATTCAGCCTTCATCTAGGAGAGCAGCTGCAGATGTATTATCTAGGTTAAATATTCACAATCACACGTGGCAGAAGATTAGGATGGAGCTCCGGTCTCCTGCTGTGGGCATTTCAGCGACTAGCATTGATGAGCTTCAGCGTTTCGATTTTCGAGGTAAGACTTGATTTTCTACCAGCGTATTAAGTAGATGTATTGGTGTCAGTGCTAACGCCATGAAACAGATACACCAAACAAAGCATTTGCAAAGTTGAAATCAGTTTTCGAAGGTAGCGATATGTATCAACGTGCCGCATCAACAATTGCGCACCTCAAAGAAGTTGTCGAGTATACCAAACGATTGGGTGTCAACACCAAGATTTACCTCAACCCACTGAACAGTCTTAAAGAAGGCTTTTATATCGGTGGCATTCTCTTCTCATGCATTTACGATAAAAAAGCTAAAGATGTCTTTGCCGCTGGCGGTCGGTATGACAATCTGATTAACGAGCAGCGTCCTAAGATTGGAGGACAGTTTGAAAAACGCCATGCTGTTGGGTTCAGCTTAGCCTGGGAAAGACTGGCGAAAGCACCCAAGTCCGGTGGCTATTCATTTTTGAAGAAGAGCGAAGAAGATGTAAGCAGTATGTTTACCGGCAAGCGCGTAAGTAAACTTTTCACCCTGCAACTGTTGCGATGCCTTACTCACAGTGAGCTTTCTAGTGCGATATACTGGTAGCAAGCTTTGACGCCGGTATTCTTCGATCTTCTGGCATTGAAGTATTACGGCTGCTCTGGGCACACGATATAAGCGCAGAGCTTGCCAAGGACTCGAGATCGCCGGAAGATTTGATGTCGAAACATCGAGATGAAAACTACTCTTGGATTATAATCATCAAGCAGGATTCTATGCTGAAGATCAAGACTGTGGGAAAGAAAGATGTGCCAGACGTAGACCTCCCTATGGCACAGCTGTTTTCTTGGTTGAAGCCTGAGATTCGAGACCGAGACGCCAGATCCGCAGCAAAGTTTCGTGGAACACCAGAGCCAGCCGCGCAAGGCGAGAGAGACTGCGAACAGGAGGTCAAGATCATGGTTGCTCAGACCAAGAGCAAGAAGTTTAACCGACGCACAGTTGTGGAGCAAGCACAAATCACTGCAGCTGCTTTGATGAATTCATTTCTCGAAGGCCCGATCTTGGCTATCGAGATGAGCGACCATCTAATGGAGCTCGTGCAGGAAACCAGCCTATCCGACCCAGAGAGCTGGCGAACGGCGGAGCATAGCGTCACAACCTCGGAGAAGAAATGCATTCGCGAGATTCGCGACCAGCTTACTACATGGAGGCGGAAGTATGAAACAAAGAATGGCTCCAAGCATTCGTTCTTGTACAACTTCCGATCAGGCACTTGCATGTACTATGATTTATCAGGATGAAGGGGATTTATACGCATGATGTGAGGAGTATCTGATGATGGAATCTAGACTACTGTAATACGAGCAGTTTCCAAGCATTATTCTTTACCCAGTGACTGCCCCTCCCTATTCACAAGCACGCCGTTTGATGCTATTGCCATGTATAACCACACAAAGGCTGCAGGATTCAGCCGCATATGCATCATCGAGACACCGGGAGCTGATCGAGCCATTTCCTGCGTCGCACCGCTGCTGATTAGCGCTGGACGTATTTTTAGGAGCCTATGAAATGAGAATGAGCCAGTCCCTTGCATCAGTTGGTGCGCGCTGAGGCGAGCTGAAGCGATTCCCATGGATCTCACTGGCACAGGTTGGTCTCCTTGCTTTGCAAATGCAACTAGTAAGATTGGTGGCTTTTTCTCTCATCTTCTTTTCTTTTCTTTTTTTCCCACGGTGGCTGTCTGACCTCATCCCTTAATAAGTGCCTACAGTGGCAGTAAGTATTCGGGCTACTCCGAGTGCTGGACTAGATGGATTCATGTAAGGCACAGTGGATGGTGCAATCGAAACTCTTCTCTGAATGTACTATGTACTAGTAGTACTAGTAGTAACAGTTTTCGTATACAGCAGCATGTCATGCCGGCTAATTGCCAGCAATACCTGAACCGTACGAAACTCAATATTATCTCGTACTGCATGGTTCCTTTTCTCCCTGTCTGAGACGATCCGGGAAACTGGCTTTGGCGGCTAAAAGAGTACCGACCAAGTACCTTCCGGCAGCAAGCTGACATGAAGTGTACTTGAGAAGACCTGCCAGTCGTGATACGGGTGGCTGATACGCGCCTGAGAATCAATCACCCCTAAAACAGTGCTAGGCCCAAGCGAGGAACTGCCTCCCATGTTGGCGGGACCCAAGGAAGCGCTGGCCGCCAACAGAGCGAGAGTCGGGGCCTTCACCGCCCGGTAATTGCGGCAGTCACCTGCTGCAGCCACCTGATGCCGTCACTCCTCTGCTTAGGCCCCGGCTGAGTCTCGGAAATTCCCTTTCATCTTTCAATCTCTTTGGGAGCCGGCAACTTTGCTCTCTTTTGTTTTTTTCTCTTCATTTTGGATCTCTGCTGCGTACACGCCTGTTCTCTTTCCCTGCTTTTCTTTTGGACAACGGCATCAAGCCTTCGCTGTTCTTAGCCGTCACTCGCCCTCTTTGTCCCGTTCGCTCGCCCCCTTCGCCCTTCACTCTCTCCCCGGTTGTTACCGACAGCCACCTACCAAATACGGCTGCTCTCGTGGCATCTTCTTCCCAAGCAGTCGTAACGAGGAACAGCGAGGAGAGAAAGGGTCTTCTGCATCGATAGACCAACTTTTCGAACCCCAACGAAAAATCCATTCTTTGATACCACCACAGCGGCATCATGGCCCAGAAACGTCTCATGCAAGAGCTGCGGGCTCTCCAGAAGGAAAAATGGGTAGACATTACCGTAAGTGCCTCCGAACCGATCAAAGCATAGTCGACTTACCTTGCTCACCATATCAGACGGACGAAGTCAACCTCCTCAGGTGGAAAATCGGACTTTGGGTCGTAAACCCTGATAGCGTTTGGCATGGAGCATTTCTCAAGGTAAGACGCCCTGCACCAACTCATCTCGCATTGCGCTTGTTCTCATTAGAGTGCGACGAGGGACTGACGTAAAACCTTAGGCCGAGATGAGATTCCCAGCCGACTATCCCTACCAGCCACCTGCCTTCAGATTCCTCACTCCCAACATCATCCACCCCAACGTGTATCTCGACGGAAACCTCTGCATCTCTATTCTACATAAGCCGGGCGAAGACGAGCAGTCTGGTGAACTGGCGAGCGAGCGATGGAATGTGCTTCATGGAGTTGAATCGGTCCTCCGATCCGTTCTTTTGCTGATGGACGACCCCGAGATTAATTCGGCAGCCAACGTCGATGCCAGTGTTTTGTACAGAGACAATCGTATGTTTTACGACCGGATGGCAAGAATTGTAGTGGAAGAGACCCAGAAGGGCAGGCCAGAAGGTGCGCGTATGCCTTCGATGGAAGAACTGGCTCCAACGCCGGTAAAACCGGTCGATGACGATACAGACTTTTGGAACATGACAGACGAAGAAGAGGATTTTGGCGGCAGCGACAGCGACGAGAACATGGAGGACGACTTTGATGATGATTTCGAAGACGAGGATGACAAATGAGTAGCAACGACAAGATTCTACGAGCTGCTCTGCTCTCACACTCTCACACCTGTTGGACACTTCGGACAGTTTATCGAGAGCGAGCGAGCAAGCAAAAAGTCGGATAGCATCACGCTTTGCTATTACCGACAAGGCATTTCCTACTTATAAAGCAGTTGTATCTTTGCGGCGTTTGGCGGCATCTTCCCTACCCATGCATGGAACGATCCAAGGGAAGTTTTGGTGTCATGGCGCGGCATCTCTCTACTCTGGAGCCATGAGGATGATTTATTTATTTTTCTTTCCGTGTCCTGTTTCCTGTAGCTTTGGATTTTTTTTTTAGGCCATTTGGGTTATGAGGCTTTCATATTTCATTAGCGGGATTATCGTTTATTATAGCTTGCGTCTTAACAGTCTTTCGCATTTATATAGAAGACAGAAGCGTATAGACGCGTTGTGGTACCAAGCATAAACACTTTACTTTTTCTTTTCATTTGGTTCTGTCTCTTAAAACTCAATACATTGCTCTTTGGAACATGCAGCCCAAATTACAAACACTCCTCCTCGCTGGGACCACGTGTAAAAATTACGTGGCAAACATTAGCCGCTCGTGGAAGCGTATGCTCAATCACTTGATGTGAAAAGCCGCGTAATCTGCGAGGAAGAGCAGCTATTGCTAGCTACCAGACTAGAGGATATAAGTAACTGCGTGGTCGCTTTCACTCTCGGCAGCAACATCTCTCTGCAAGGCCCATGGAGTTGTATGCACTGCGATCCAAAGCAGACAAAGAAACGCAGGTACCTGAAAGTGCCGCTAGCATCAGCAGCCATAACCGCTGCCAGTAGCCAGTGGCCCCTCTATCCCGCCGGCCTAGCATACATAGCTGCCCGCAGCTTATCTTATCGCCCCGGCATAGTCCCTGGACTGACGTTTGCCCGCAGTGGGACAAGGACATGGCAGCTCCATCCAACATCAACATCAACCACAGTCCTAGACGCCTCACTCTCCATATCCAAGAGCTTGCATATCCCCGACTTGTGCAGCTTGTCCCCGCCGCTTTTTTGACACGTTATTGTTAACTCTCTTTGCTCTCTGTTTTCGCTTCAAGCATACCTTTGTTCATGTCTTTTGTCCGCAGACGACGACGTTTCTGGGGCTAGGGTCAGCTGTCCCGCCTTGTTGAACGAGAGGCCGCTCCCAGAAATCGCACTTCCAGTTTGGGCTCCACCGTTCTTTCGCTACGGAATTCATATAGCTATCTGAAGAGAGATCGGTATTGCTGCTATTCATAATGGCTTCCATGGAGCCTTCCGAAGACGAGGTGTCGCAAGTCGTTGACTTTGCGGGCCTCAACCCCGTCGATGACCGCATTATGATTATCAACGCACTGAGAGTTTGTTTACACATCACCACCGGCTCATCTCGAGGGATGAAGGGATACTAACTGCAATTACTTTCTTGCAGAATAATAATCGCAATGTCGAAACTGTTGTTATGCAATACTTTGACAATTCTGAATCGGTATGCTGCACTACCCCTCCTGCATGCAGTGGGCGGAATGAAAGCAAATGTTGACTTGCATCGTCGCAGTTCCGACAAAAATATGCGTTGGCCTGGAACGACTCAATGTTTTCAGCAGATAGAGACGGCACAGCTGGCAACAACGCAGGCATATGTATGAACCGGCTGACTATCCGCGACGTGGGAATGGATGATGTGGTGGCTGACGCTCCTCGCAGCATTTCATATCGAATCGTTAGAAGGCAACGACATTGTACAGGGAGTGACGCCTCCTCCCCCTAGCTACCCTATTGGAGCACCATCAAGACCACCATCGCGATCGAACAATAGATCTCCACTTGGTAATATGATTGACTGGGCTGCGGGAGACGCAGCTGGTAGTACTCTGCTCTTCGCACGGGGAAGATGACGTTCTGACAATGTTAATAGCAGGCCCCACCATGAACTCTCAAGAAGAAGACGACATGCAACGAGCTCTGCGAGAGTCGGCAGAAGAAGCAGGGTTTTCTCTGCCTCCACAGGAGTCTGGAGTGATGGACCACTCCACTTCAACACCGTACTTTGGCCCTGCGAACCGCTCCGATTATGATCAGAGCAACTGGGCTATGGTCCCTGTTGCGCCACTAAAGGCAAAGTTACCAGGCGCTCCTACGCCGTCTCAAAGAAAGCGAGATCCCGAAGTTCCCGCGTTCATCGTTACAGGATCCACCTCGGTCGGTAACCACAGCTTGGGCGGCCTGCTTACCATTCTTCACGAGATTCCATTGGCGAGAAACATTCTACTGCAGTGCGGCGCTCCAGCGGCCTCGTATGGGTTTAATAGCCAGTGGTGGAATGGGCAGGAAATCCTCCCTCCAAATGTTTTACGCGAAATACAGACCGAGAACTCGACATGGGGTGACGGCAACTATGAGATACCGAAGGCAAATTTCGAAGAGGAAATACATCGGCTCATGGCATTCCTCGATTCGACGGAGAGAAGTTATGGAACTGTTAATACGCTAACCGAATTACTTGCAAACGCCCATAATGGTGTAGAAAGGGCATTTTACGAACGCTTGGGGTATGAGGAGATTCTTGCGCCGTTATATCAAGAGGCGTCTTTGGTTAATGTTGGTGGTGACGATGTAAGCGGCAAAACTTATGACGATGCGAGGTTTGGATTACTGGTACTCGACCATAGGCGGCCTGATTACACTCACATCAAAACACTCTACGAGGCCCTCGATTATTTGATGTGGGGTGACGTGCTGTCATGGGCGGATCCTAATGAGACGTCAAGAATGGCCATGTTCCAGAATATGGGCGAGGTGTTTGTCATCAAGGTTGGCGCTGAAGGCCCCCCCGAATCATTTGAAATTCCCGAGGTCTTCTATCCTGAGCGATATCTGGCTAGCCGTAAGGAGGAAGCCAGACGAATAATGTCTGCTTGGTGCAAGACTAAAAACGACATTGATAGAGTGACAACGGAAGAGCGGCGGTTGCAGGAATGGCATAATGACTGGAATCAACTGTCGCTTGATAAGAGTGAAATGATTGCCAAAGCTAAGGAGCAGTGGCAGGTATTCTTCAATTATCTAGAAACCGCTGGACAATTCCAAGGAATGGAGGCTTCGGCGTTCGACATCAACAAGTATCCTGATTATAGGACCGCTCCTTGTCAGATGACTGACGAGCAGGTTACGCATTCCAAGCAGGTGAATGAGGTGCTCCTGCTGACAGAACGAATACTATCCGACATCGAAACAAGAACTGAAGGTAGGAAAAATTGCATTCCGTCTCTACAAAGCAAAATTTTAACGATGGACATACTGACTCTGAGCTTTCTAGACCTCCGTGCCCAGCTGGAGCAGATTCAAGCCAAGCAGCGCTTCCTTGGCAGACTGTTGACGAAGCCGGAGAAGCCAGGCCGGCCAAAGCCCATGACATGCAAGAAGTATCTCCTCCGAGGCATAGCAACCGATAAGGATATTGTCTATGTCTGTCAGCGAGTCCCTTCGGAGTCGGCGGGCCCAGAGAGCTCAGACGTGCCGACTGACCAGTGGTGGCGACTGGAACTTTGTACCGACGAAGACCAGCCAGTCAAATCAGAGGTAAGCCCCCTTTTGCTTCAGACATACGACCCTTTATAGCTCGTCCGGAATTGATGCTTATTTGTTTGGTGATAGAAAATCGATATTGAGCGAATTTTGAAGAGTGTATGGTACGAAACAAAGACACCGCTGCTCCTATATGCTACCGAGGAAGCAGTTTCGACGCCAAAGGCGCCGCTGTCAGATGCTTTGAACATGTTTGCCAAATCGGATAATAAGGCATTCCGACAAGAGCTTAGACAACCTGCCGCTGACACCAGAGAGGAAAGGGTGCGCGTATCTGTGGATGCTTTCTCACCTTCCAAGAGAAAACATAGAGACAGTATGGATTCGATGGATAGCAACCGGGCGTCTATTGGCAGCGAGGATAGAGACCCATTTGCAAGTGTATTTGATGGACAGCTTGAAGAAGCGCAGACGGAAATGATAGACATGTCTGGAAGCACTGTGGAGCACGCCAGGGGCTCCGAATTTGAAACCAAGTTTGGAGATCACGGAGTCTCTGCACAGATGAACGCCGAGTCTGCAACTCTGACCCCGGATACGCTGGCGGCGGACGAAGGTGAAGCGCAACGGCCAACACCCCCGTCTCTCGAAGTCAGTCAGCCAAACGACGAGAACAATGTGATGGATGAAAGCATGAATAAGGGTCCGGAGATGCAAGAAAGAGCTCGACCACTGACGTTGGTACGACCCTCACAAGCGACCGAGGGAGGAAAGGACTTGAGCATGGACATGGAAATTCCGGATGTTCAGGACTAGAAAGAAGCTCTTATAAGGCACTGAAAGACTATGGAAGTGGTTATGATACCAAGGAAGAGAAAAGGAAAGCGCTGGCGGCCCATTGTATAGGGGGCTAACTGAGTAGGCCAACTGTCTGCTCACCCTGTCAGTTGATACTGTAGCATATTTAAGCGGGTTTTGCTGAAAACTATAATGATATTGTTTTTACTCTGAGGTGATGGAGTTGGCTGATATTAGTACAGCTTAGAATCCTCAGGCACGATACGAAGAATCCGGTTATGTTGTACTTTGCTGCTCTATTATGCCTTATTGTACACATGAACTGTTTAATTTATATACAATTACTGTCAATTGCTTGGTATCATTCATTAATGTTTCAACCATGCCTTGATTAATCTTGCGATGTTTCGTTGTCTAGGCATAAAGAAGTTGAGGCATAGAAGCTTCTAGAAGCTTCCATGGGACCCTGGCGGAAAGCTGTGTATGTTGCACAGAGCACAGTAATAGCGCTTTGATGCTTTAGAGGTTCAACAATGTCTACTGAGATATGGATACCCTTTATTTTAGCTGCTTCTCTAGGTGCTCTAGTCTGATGATCTGGAGGCATGTACCCCGAACTCGTATGAGCATGCACGTTCTATCACAAACCCCCTTGTACCTGTGTCGGATGCATGTGAGCCATATTAATGGGCGAGCAAGGATTTACGACGGGGTACTTCGTCAACAATTTGAGAGGATAGTAGTCGTAGGTGCAGGGGTAATTGCTTCGACTGTTTATAGTGAATGCCTACATCGTGACGTGGCCGGGGCGGTGTTATTGATAGAACAGCGCATACATTAGCAAACCTCGTGGTTTCAAAGTGGTCGGTTGCCAAGTGGGGCTTAGCGCTGCCAGCGAGCTGTTTTGGGGGTTCCTGGCAGTTGGGCTCGAATCTGTTTGTCTTGCTCGTGGGCCGAATGGACCTGCAGTGTTGTTATTGTTATTACAATTTACTATACGATCATTTGATTTGAACGTAAAGGTAGCATTTTGTAGTGTAGATATGTGGTATTTTAATAGGTAGAGTGAGCGGCAAGGTAACCTGAGCCGGAGATGAGATGGCTGAGACGAGATGAGATGGGATGAATGTAAGAAAGAGAGGTTTTTTTTTTTTTTTTTTTTTTTTTTTTTTTTTTTTTATTTTAGTTTGTGTAAATGAAATGTGCTCTTATCACGAATGGAATATCGTTTT